TACCGCTTAAAAGTACTGAGCCTTTTCCCAAATTTAAGATCTGCATACTGCCACTACCTCATTGTGTGAAACTTGTGTGTTTTTTACTTCAATTGCTAAATGTTTGTTTTTAATTGATGGAAATGTGTAAACCTACTTTTGGGTGTGTGCCAACTGTGATGAAATGAATGTAACTGATAGCAGAAACACTGAATTGTAAAATTACATTGACACTGCATTTACTGTGATCTCTTATATCTGGCTAATAACTGCTTTGATTTTCTTAACATCCCGAAAAGCTTCTTCTCGGCTCAATGTTGATGTTGTACAATCCTAACAAAGTGCTAAATGACTTCCTTCTGACATCTTTAAAGCCTTTTATCAAACTTTAGACCCCTTCAAATTAATAAACCTGCCTTAAAAAACAACAACATAAATCATATACTGCCCTCACTGCTGTGAACCCTCCATTTGAATGTTTCCTAATTCAAATGTAGTATTTACAGACTGGAACATGCTGTGTTTGTCTCATAGTGTCCTGAAGCTGACGGAGAGCAGAGCGGGATCAACAGAGACTGCAGGTCACTGTTGACTTTGGCCATTGCACAGTCAAAAGTCCCTCAAGCCAAACTAAACCTAATATGCCCTCCGTTGGTTTAATGGTGTCCATGCCAGAGGAAAGGGTTGTGAGTCACTGGTGAAGGGGCCTAAAACATCATTACATACCACAGTAGCTCTGAATGAAAACACCAAACTGTATTTCGAGTGGAGCATAACACTGCCTGTGGTTGAACTTTTCTGGTTCTGTGTGGCTCCAGCTGGCCATCAGCCTGTTGAACATATTTACCTTCCACAGGTGATGTCCTAAGTCTGGCACACAGACCGTTTACATCTCCGTAACTCTGCTGGATCCTGGTCAGTGACTCTGCTCCTCTTAACTCCATAAGGGAGCGCAGCTCCTGTAGTGAGCAGCTGAAGTCCACCTCGTGGTTGGCCTCGCCACGTCGGCCATGTTTCGACCCACGAAAAGAGTTGGTGGCCATGTCTCCTGTGGGACTCGACACAGGTCTTCCCGAAAAACACAGACTCAGTGGTCAACCTGAGGTCTAGATCTCTCCTGATGGGGACTCTGTGACTGTAGGGGGATAAATTGATCAGGTCATTTCAGAGATCTCATGGGAAAAGAGTAAGTAACTGTAGGGGAAATATTTAGAAATATTAATACACAAAGGGCATGATTATACATAAAATATATGGAATGTGGGGTTTTTCACTATAACTACATACAATTACACATAAATTCCTCCACAAATTCAGATTTTCGGGGGGGGGGGGGGGGGTGCTTCTCTACCAGAATTATATTCCTGAAATTGTGGAGGATTTGAAATAGCAGGTAGATCATCATAAAGAAACATTCAATTTAAACAAGAATGCTAATCAGAAGACAATATTTATTTTGGTGGTTTGTGAATGTTTGTCGGCTGGGATTACGCAGGGGAACTCTGGCTAGGCAATATAGTGGAACCTATGCAATATTTTTCCAATATTGATATACATCAAATGGCAAATGTGGGGAGGATTACAAATGAAATAATCAATAAAGTGACGTTCGGAGCAACACGCCACTTTATTCCAGTGTCAAACTGTGGCATGACCCTACTCTATATGAAGTGCAATGAGAAAACTTTATGAATAGGCGAATATTAAAAAAATGTAATCAGTGTCATTAGAAAAAAGTATTTAATAACCATTTTGTTAAATTTTTAGCATCATGCTTGTTACATCGCTCGTTTCACCCATGAGTGAAAAGCCTTCCATAAACCAGGTAACTGTGAAGCAAGACCTGACAGACCTGATCAAACCTCCATCTAGCAGACTGCTCTGTTCTCCATTTGCAGTTCACAAAAAATTACATTTTAACTGATTCACTTTGAACAGAGTCTGAATAGATATCTGTACGTGGTGTAGAGTATTGTGTTTGTGGCTGCTGGTGGGTGAACGGAAAGCCTTTATATTTGTTCTTCACAGGTTGTGACCTCTGTGCCTTCAGCTGTAATCTGTGTCAATCAGTCAGCCAAGGCTTAATCTGAGCAACACAGAAGCAGCCTGTTTAAGGCTGATGGAGAGAAAGAAAACTCAGAGGTGAGCATGCTGAACAGAAGTCATGACAGCCAAATTGGTGGATAAAGCTTTGCTGCTCTGTACAAAACATAATCTACGTTAGTGATGGCAACCAACAGTCAAAAAAACAAAGAGTTTCAGTTTACAACAGGAAACACAGAGCGATAATAAATCTTTACATCATGTTGATCTAAAGATGTTGATCAGTTACTACTGAATAAACCATCACAGTACATGAAACTATACAAGCTGTAGCAGTGTGAAACAGATGAATAAACTCAGCAGCCAGCCCACTACACTGAGCAAACACATTCAGGCTTAAAAAAAATAAAATAATAACACTATTCAAAGACAGTCATATCTGATCAAACATAATTTCATTACTGCAGCACTTAAGAGAAGAAAGGCTTTACTTACAAAAACTTCCCCCATCGTATCCTGTTAGCAGCAGCAGGTATTAGTGGCAGTCAGATTACTCTGTGCAGCGTCGGTCTCACAGCTCCAGAAACAGCCCATAACCCAGCCACAGCTCCTCAGCTGGCAGTCTGCAGACCTGCCCCAAGACCGCAATTTACTCCCAAAACCAGCCTGTTGTTCAGAAATTTTGTTTGACCTTCAGCAAGCTCACAGTCACAAGCGGCGCTCCATCGGAGGAAAAAACAGGAGCTGGCTAAATGATTATCTGAGGAAAGCCTCGCTTAATCTAATTAGACAATCTGTGGCTTCAGTGAGTGGCAGAGAGACTACTGCTGCAGCTCCTCCTGCTGAGAGTCTATAAAGACCAGGTCTACACAGACTACGTCTCAAACACCAGATCTACACAGAATCACAGACCGGGTCTACACACACCAGGTGTAAACCTGCTGCTGCAGCCACTCCTGCTGAGGAACACATCAGCTCAAAACTGACTTAAAAGACAAGGGAGTCAAAGGCTACAACTAAGGACGCAAGATCCAACATCCAAACAACCCGCTAACTGTAATCTATCCTCTTCTCTGTGCTTTGCCTGCATTAGTTGTTGTTCACTAATGTAATTTTTTTTGTCACACATAAAACTCACACACACTTCCCTTCCCCCCACCTTTTGAGAAGCAGTGATGCAGGCTGACGTCAGGTGGCACACACACACACGTGACACACACACACACACACACACACACAAACAGGTGGATTACAGTACATAGACATACAGGAGGATTAACTCTCTCACACACACACACACACACACACAGTGATATCACAGTTTCACGTTTGCATGATAGTGTCTTCACACTGAGCAAGATTGACCTTTGACCCCACACTCTAAATACGAGCAAAGAAGAAGTTTAAGGCCTCAGTGGACAGATCAGTCAAGGATTGGCCACACCCCCACACACATCCACCAGCCTATCAGAGCTCTGGATTCATGCTGCCACAAAATCATTGCTGAAACAAATTTCTGACACACATTTTTTTTCAAGTGCAAACTGCATATTACAAATCGGATGATTGGTGATGAAAATAGAGATTGCTACAGTTTAAATAAACAAATTAATCTCAAACAGAATATTGAAGTCTGTGAAATAAACATGTTTGATAAACTTATTTTGGGTGAATTTGTTCAGTTATCGAACTAGTTAGTTAACACTCTGGGCAAGTTAACCTGGGATCAGCTCCCCAGTCTGTCTGTACAGTGTGTCTGTGTGTGTTTGCTGCCATCCAGTGGTCACACAGTACACACTCAAGTTATGAATTGCAAGATTATCTCCTATCTCCTGCATTTACCATTATTACTGTTGGAGGATACCTTATATCTCTACCACATTATATTGTTACTCGGTGACTGAATGATGGAAGCTGTAATAACAACAGCAAAACAAAATACTGTCAAAAAGTTCAGGGTATCAGGACCAGTAATGATCTGTGCAACGCAGTCACCAGTCCGAGATCCAAAAAACAAAGTGCAAACTACACATCCACCAGCTTTTCTGTTTTAATCCTTTGAAACCCTGTAAAATGCCTGATAATTTATCAGTATTTACTGTGGAGTTGGTGGGTGTTTGGTTGGCACTGTAGTGGGTAGAATAAGTTCAACCAGCGAAGGTTACAATTGGTTCAGACTCTAGTGCAGTTCTAAAGAGTTTGCAATCATTCAAGTCAAAATCAAAACAGGACATAGCATATGAGGTACTAGAACTTCCCTCGCGGGTTTGTCAGATGGGGATTAGGGTAAAGTTTACATGGGTTCGAGCACATGTAGGGGGGAAGGGGAATGAAATTGTAGATAGATTGGCTAAACAAGCTAGTAAACGGGAAGCTGTCGAAATAGCAATTAAGTAAAGCAGAAGTTAAGCCACAAATCTGGTCGAAAATTAATAAAAGGTGGCAGGTGCGTAAGAACGAAGAGAAGAAAGGGAGACGTTTATATTGCATTCAACGAAAGGTTGGGACAGGGAGGGTCACTGAAAGAAAATGGGAAGGCAGGAAATCATTAGGCTAAGAATTGGACACTATGAGTTAAATAAGTACTAACATATTATGGGTAAGCACATATCGGGTAAGTTAGGTGTGAATTTTGTGAAAGTATTTTTAGTCTATTGTTATTGCTAGTCTGTGGAACATGTGGTTTTTGAACGAGAGGGAAAGGATAAATAAGAAGAAGGTTTGGGTTTCTAAGGAATTCCCTTACAGACTTACTGGGAAAGTCATTAAATGACATTAGTGCACTTTAGTTGGGTTCTTCAGGGACACGGGATTGGCAGAAGGGATATAATTTATTTTTCGTTTTGTTATTATTTTTGTTTTTTTATGTCGGGGTCCACACTCCAGTACAGTAGGTGGCGGTAATGCACCATTTACGTTGGATGCCAACGCCGTGAAAGAACAATGAAGAAGACGCAAACCGCAACTGTTTGCTTCGTGGCGACCCCCCCCCTGTGGGATTGTCACGTGCATCTATCAACCCTGTACACAGCTGATCGTGACGTCACTCACCAACATGGCGGACTGGAACAGAGGTATTGCTTTTTGGACACGTACTCACTTCTAAAGTGTTTGACAGTTAACTTAGTCGTCTCCAGCAGTATAGAGCCAGTGTTACAGCCGTTGTGATGGAGTGTTTAACCTAAACGACAGATTGGCTGCGTGTTTAACTAGTGTCTGGGTCTGTAGTTCACTTTGACCCGAAGACAATCCCTGAGATCAGCTAGCAGGCTAACTAGTATAGCTGAGGAGTTTAGCTGTTTAGTTCGTAGCTGTTTGACTGCTATGGACCGGAAATGTTTACTCCCTCAGTCCACAAAATTCTATTTTCTATTTTTTTCCGCAAGCGATAAGATTGTTAATATATGCATAACCAGCTTAAAATACAAGAGAGTCCCTTCCTGTTTAGTAGTGAGCGACAAAGTTGGCTTGTTTAACTTTTTTGTAAGTTAAGGTTTGTTTGGAGAGACTAGAACAAACGTTAACATGACCGGTGTTTTGACGATTTATGGTAACTGTTAACTATCGAGATGTGCTACTGTTTGCATCCGCATTGGGTAGGGTTAACTTGGACACCATCGATTTGCATTAGGGTAGCATTTTTTGACAAAGAAACATAAATCGTCAGATCACCGGTAGTAATTTACAGTCAATCTTATCTTCTACACCAAAACTTAACCTGAATCCAAACTCCCAAAACGGGGGTTGGCTGTAACTTAACTAATGTTCGCTAACGGTCTGGGGCCAATGAGAATCCGCATTTGACAGTTAACAATGTGCCTGATCTTTAACGTTAGGTAGAAATGTGATCATCTCTCACTCATTTAGCGTGAATTTACTCTGTAAATGATATACTACTAATTAAATAATATAGAACTAATAATATATAATATAATATACATAACGATAGATAGATACTTTATTTATCCCGAGGGAAATTCAACATTAACCGAGGGAAATTAACGTTACTAGGAATTCTAATTTATTAATATAAAGCCAAGTCTTTATCAAATAGTGGGCCGACACATGGTTTAAGTTAACTTAGTTATTTTACTTTGGTTGTGAACATTGGTTAGATTAACGTAACCTAACATTAACGTTAGCTAAAGTTAATGGCAATTCCGTGGACCGCTAACATTAATAGCATTGGAGAAATTTAACCGTTTCACACTCAACATGTAACGATAATGTTTTTTTCTCAGCCTAATATCGACGAAATTTTTGTAATTCAAGTTTAGTTTAGATCATACAGATTTCGTGATTGTCATAAAACGTTAACTTAATTGTTAATAATGACGGATTAAGTTCAGCTAACATTAGTTGACTTACCATTGACATTAGGTTGCGCCTTTGGATTAGTGGGCTGTTTAACTATCTCTCTTAACTACATTTATTACTTACTAAATAAATCTGTAGAACATAACATTTCTGTAAAGCTATGTTTATGGTTTATAACCGTAAATTAACCCTTAGCAGGGAATTAAATGGGCGCCAATACTTCCACAGTGTAAAACCCTGCTGCAGAGATCGGGAAACCCCGGGCAGTTGGGGAGGGATGTGGGTCCAGTTGTTAAAAAATCTTTTTATCTGGATCAGAATGATCCGGATGTGGAAATCCCATTTTGCTCATGGATTTCCTATCCAGGATCACGTAATCCATTTTACTTTTGCACCAGTTTTTCAAACCAACATTGCATTGGATCACCCCATAGACTTTATGATCACCCTGATCCAGATATAAACTTGTCAGGAGTACCAAATCCGGATTTCCAGTGTTGTGGGACTACATGTCACAACATAGGCGTTTAATGTTATAAAGACCAACAGGTAGAACAGCCAGTGTGGGGTCACTGTTATTTGAAGAGACAGAAAATGCACAGTAAAAGGACAAAAAGTTTTCCTCCCATTTTCAATTTCTTTCAACTGTCAGACCCACAACAAATCCAAGAAAACAAACAAATATACATTATTCACAAATGCACATTGGATGTTTTGAGCACATGTTGTCCAATAGTTAAAATAAAGATCATTCCGAGTTTAGAGAGCAGCTTTTACATTCAAGAGGCTATCTCAGAATGAGGGACTGACTGGACCTGCAATAAGGGATGCAATTGTTACAAACTACTTTTGAATGGTTAACCTCTGATAATTGTGCCTTTTTGTAATTAATATACAGCAGTGGTTCTCAAAGTGGGGTCCAGGGACCCCCAGGGGTGCTTGAGGGGGATCCAGGGGAACCCCAGCAAAAAGGAATAATTTCTTTTCAGTACGTCCATCCGTAAGTTCCATAGTGAAGCTATGACTATTTTGGTCATGAATTTTATACACTTTTTGGAATAAAACATCTAAAAGCCAAAATCCTGTCAGATGGGATGACCCTGGGACAAAATCTTATCAAATGGGGGACCCTGGTCTAATTTGTGTCAGTGTAGGGGTCCTTGACATGAAAAAAGTTGGAGAACCACTGTTGGAGTACAGTGATAAGTTACAGTTGAAATTAAATACATTATTTTGTTTGGTATTGACAGCCGTTCGGGGAATTATTATATTTTTTACTTCACTGTACTGAATGGCTTATGGGTAATGTCTACTTCATCTACTTTGTCACTATAAAGTTTAAACAAATCAAGTGCAAAATATAATATAAACAATGTGTAGATTTGCTACTACATGATAAAAATGTTGTATTATTTGGAAAGACATTTTGGTCCTAAAATCCACCTTGAATCCACCTTCTGTTGGGGTGTTCTGTTTTTTCGATCAAAAGGATCCCAATCCTACTAAAAAGTTTAAAACAACCCCAACATGATGGTTTGATACAGATCAAAACCAGGATTGGATTAGGTAATCTGATCCAATTTCAGAATACTTTTTTTCTTTAGAAAACCCATTTCCAAGATTTGATCCAATCCATAGCCAAAATATGATCAGAATACTTTTGAACAACTGGGCCCTGGGCTCCATTTGTGCAGAAGTAATCTGCTACTATAGGTAATTTAGCTATGTTCCATGCAGAAATGTGTTTTGCCTGATGTGTTTAATCCATCTTCTCATGTAATGTCTTTGATGTTAGCTTCAGTAACATTATCATACACAACTTTTGTGTGTGTGTGATCTTTATGTATTTTCAGTCAGTTTTACAACAAAGTGCAACTTTCTTGACTTTCAAATGTATATTTTAAATTGACAAACGTCATATGTGTAATTCAGGGCAAAATAGAATCAAAAAATTAGTTGTCTCTCACGTTGACTACCTTACATATTTTTTCCGAAATAAGGTACCATGGTGGTCCATCAGAAGGGGAGGGACTCTCTATATGGGACAGGCCCTTAATTCTTTTCACACAAAACTCTCATTCAGAAACGATGTTTATTTCAACCAGTATGAATATTTCTTATTTCGTATAAAAAATAGGCTTTTTTCGTCTAAATCTTAATTGTTTCTGTAAAATTAACCAAATTTTGGAGAATGACTGATCTTTTGTGTCTTTTAAAAACAGACCAGGCGTCTAATTGAGACCTGCATTTATTTGTCAAAATGTGTAGCTACACTGGGACAGTAAATTGAAAGGCATCTTATTGGGACTAGGCTTTTAAATGAAGTTTTACGGGATGTAGAGTTCATTAGCAGCTATTTATTATTAAATGATTTTTTTTAAGAACTGTTAAATCCACATTGATTGGAAAACCGACAAATCTATTTAAACACAATTAAAATGATAGATTTTCTTATGTTCTGCTGACATGCAGTGTAACACGCAACCTATTGATTCAAATGAATTATTCAATTTTCCCTATAATTAGTACCAGATTAAATACTTCTTTCTATGAACCTTCCTAAGAAACTAGTTTGCATATGAGTTCAAAGTGTTAACAGGTTTAGCACCTGATTGAAATGTTACAGAGGACCCAAGACTTTGCTGTATTTATTTAATTATAAATCTCACATTTGTAAATGAATACAGAACCCAGTGTGGACTTTACATGGAAACCTAATGTCTACAACAAATGGCTTCACAAAGTTTGTACTTTAACCACTGTTTCATTTCTAATCTGATGTGGTTGTGCGTTTTCCAGGTCATGGCTCTGTGGACGACATGCTGGATGCTGAAAACAAACGGCTGGCTGAGAACCTGGCCACCAAAGTCTCCAGACTGAAATCTGTGAGTCACAACCAACAGTTACACTCTTTATACACCAGTTTCATAATTTCTAATACATTTGTCAATATATATAAATAAACATTGACTTGCAGTTGTTGTATATTCCCAAAATCTGCTTTTCGTTTTCTCTTTTTTTGTCTGTAGTTTGACTAAATTTAATGTCGTTAATCATCCCTTTTCTAATAAATAATAAAAACATAAGGTTGAGACCTGCCTGTCTTGTCTCTGAATCTGACAGCTTGCATACGACATCGATAGAGAAGCTGATGATCAGAACGAGTACCTGGACGGCATGGTGAGTCCTTCCGGTCTACAAAGCAATATAGAAAAGTATAATTAGCTTTTGTTTTTATTTACGTGCCATGTCTTTGGAGAGAACTGGTTTCTAATTTAATTTAATTGGATAGTGCAAGCCCCTCCCCCTCTAGGCTGATTTTATTTCCCTCCCATTCACAAAAGTACACTTTTAAATCCTCAAAGAAGCTTTTGAATGGCAACAAAATGATCATTGTTTTATTTCCATAAAGGCTCCTCTACAATGTTACTTTGGGCTGTCTTACAGAAAAGTGTGAGATAGACTGGGTGAAATATTTTGTCATCAATCCAAAACTATGGTCTTACAGTAGATACTGTATCACAGATTCATTTCACCAAGAGCGCAAGAGGAAAAAAAAAAAAAAAGAAAAAGGAAAGAAAGTCTGAGCGTTAAAAACGAGTAGTGACGTGTCTCTCAGAATCTTTGTATTGACAAATTGAAGTGCATCTGTTCTGTGAGTGACGTGACATCAAAAAGGCTCCTGGTGTGATTTGACCTTCAGACATGTCCCTACAACTCCTCTGCATTTGAATGCATTTTTTTCAGTATGTGAAAGGGGGGGGGGGTATGTTCACGCTAAAATGAAATAACAGGTTGTCTCAACTGTAGACCTGCTTTTCTCATAAGTTTGCGGTTTATAAAAGTCCCCTCATTATATTTTTCCTGCCTCTCCTCCTCTCCGTTCAGGACTCAAACTTCCTGAGTGCGACGGGGCTGCTGACTGGCAGCGTGAAGCGTTTCTCCACCATGGTCCGATCCGGCCGAGACAACCGCCGCATCCTCTGCTACGTCTCTGTGGGCCTGGTCCTGGTCTTCTTCTTGTTTTACTACCTGGTCTCCAGGATTCAGCGCTGATAGGAAAAACCAGATCAGACCAGGAGCTGGTCCTGATGTGGAGCTGAGACCATGGACACACATGTGATGGGTTTAAATCAACTCTGTGGTTCTCCTGCACAGAAGAAGACTTTTTATTCCACCAAAGTGAGAACAGAAAGGAGACTGAAAACATTTTGATGATTGGGGGTTGTCGAACAGCTCAGAAGTGGAAAAAGCTGTGGGCGTGGTCGTACCACAGATACAGGTGTCTATTAAAAAAACATGCTTGGACTTCAGGGCTTTTCCATTGGGTACTATCTTTCTCTCTTCCCGCTGAATGCAGCTCAGGTGGGAGATGGCCCCCGGCACAGCTGAGTGTGATAGGCTGATAAACTTGCCCCAAAACATGTTTCATCACAGAGAAGCTGTGTCTTAATTCCTGACTGCACAATAATATAAAGCAAGTTTTATGTTGCAGCTACAGTTCAAATTGCAAATATGACAAAATTACAACAAATATATTGCATACTAAAAAAAAAGCTCTTTTTTTTTTTTTTAAGTGTGCTGCTGTTGATGTATGCTATTATCTCACACCAATGCACGAAGAAAATGAAGAAAACTGCAAAAAATCTAATTAAAGTGCAAGTTTGGTGGTGAGACATCCACAGAGGTCAAGAGGGGGAAGTATGTGCTTTTTCTTTGTGAATGTTTAATTGGCAGTGTTATTCCAAGGTCAAAGTTTGGTCAGCGTCTGCATACATATTTTAGTATTTCCTTTCCAAAAAGGAACTAAAACCAAACTAAAAACTAAATTAATATATAATATGCACACTCTGTCAATTTGGATGTAGTGTGAAATTGGGATACAGTAGGTGACAATCTGCTGGCGAGAGCAGGAAGCAAGCCAGGTGACGTTGCCAAGTTTTTAAGAAGTGACAATCAATTTTTTTTGGACATCTTAATACAATATGTTAACAAACGTTTGTATTAGTTGGCAGATAGCTCTTGTGAAATGCAAACACTCACATACTTTTAACATATGTTTATATTTTTTAAACAACCAAAAAACATTTTAAACGTTTGTCTTTTCAGTAACTTTGCTTTAATGAGCAGTTTTAGTTCAGTGTGTGTTTGTGGTTATGCCTGTTTCCTTCTAATAATTAACATTAAATGTTGGGACCTGTTCTATTTATAGTTTAAATGTTGTATTTTTTTTTTAAATTTCATGTTCAATCTGTCAGTCTCCGCACAACATATCCAGCCAAAAAAGAGAGAGGAGATTTAAGAGGGATAAACGCGTGTACATGTTTATGCATATGTGTTTACATTCCCGCTGTCAGGACTGCTAATCAGCCACAGCAGACATTTAAAATGATTATTTATACATGGGCAATAAATGGTTTTAATTGTGTGAACTTGTTGGAGATACTTGATTGACTCCATGATTTATTTGGCTCCTGGTCATTATGTGAGGTGTACTAAATTTATGACTTTTATTTTTCATTAAAAAAGCTGCGTATTTTTATTGTCATGATCATACAATTGTAGAAAATTTGTTTTAATAACCAAATTAATAGTCTCCTGTTTCAAACCATGAAAACTTATGATAGGGAAACCAGAATCAGCTTTATTTGCCAGGTATGTGTACACATGTGAGGAATTTGACTCAGGATTGTACATTGCTCACGATGTGCTTACTTACAATACAATATTAAAATCACACACTGGCTACAGTATAGAGAACACACATGTATATGGACACACTATAAACAAAACAAAAGAAATACAGTATCTTAAACTAGTCTGAGAAAACTCAAGAGACTATGACCTCAAATTTATTTTATGATACAGGAATTTATGATCCATCTGAATCCGATGCCTGCACAGGCATCAGCAGCGGCTTTTTTTTTTTAAAACCTGGAGGGGTTAGTTTATATTAGGCAGCGTTTCCTACAGAGTACACTACAGATTTTATTTCAACAAATATATTTTGTCAGAAGTGTAAGTTTCAGACGTTTTTCACTGTGGTGCATTCACATGAAAACACAAAGTATGTGTTTATGTCAGCTCTGGAGTTTTTACATCAGCACATAAAAATATAATTTTCAAATTTAACAGAAAATAAATGTAAATAATAGAAACATATGGGTCAGTTGAAGTACAACTGAACATACAATGTCTATAAAAAGATTTTCTGATTCCTGTTTTTGTGTGCATTGGACGGTGTCGCTTCGGATCGGCTCGTGTTCTTTCGGTAGTCTCCGGTGCATCTATTTCCTGAGACATCGTGAAAAACAAACAGTCGAGCGCCCGAGCTCCTGTCCTCTGTTCGGATTCGCTCGCCTGACGTTTCCTGCTAATTTCGTAGAAAGTGTTGTTGACATTTGACGATTATCGTTAACGAGTTTCGTGTTTGCTGTTCTTCTCTGGTTCGTACCAGGCTCGGCTGCGTTCGGACCGCGCTCTATCCCGCGGCTGCTCGTTTATATTCGGCTCTTGTCGTTCGGCGGAAGAATGGACGAAGCGGACTCGGCTACGAAGGCACTCGGGTTGGATGAACCGCCCATCGGCATGCCGCCGGGGAACGGCTCGGATACCGAGTCGGAGGCCGAAGTCACCACGATGGCCGTGATGGGCGAACCGGGAAACATCGACATGGGAGCCGAATCCCTACCGAACCCAGACGAGGCCGAGGCGGCATTCGCAGGCAAGGCGGGCTTTAGCTAGCAGCAGGCCGCTGCTGAGCGGGGTGGCGCTAAAACACAAAACGTGATGATAATGTTTGGTAACTTAGCTTACTCTGTGTTCAACGGGGAGTAACACTACTGCAGGGTGAATGTATGACTTATTGATTAAAGATAATAACGATTCTCACATGAAACTGTACAGCTCTTCAATTAGTAAAACAACCAGCTACAGCTTCCAATACGTAACTTACGTTGCTAAACTTCGTTCAATCATTGTGTAATTTAAAGGTTTGTAGCCTGTTGATAGCATAAACGCAACATATATCACAGCGTGCATATTTCATTTTCTAACTTAGCAAGTGTCTTAAAATTCGGCAAGGACAGACATTTTTAAGCAACTACCTAACCTTAATAAAATTACAAGTTTTAGTGTTGGTTTACACTGCAAACGATAGCGCACCGCCCACCAATGTGAGGTAGATTGAGATTAGTTGATTGGATAAAATACTTTACTTAACTCTATAATTTGCTTAAATCGTTTTATGATGAATTGCATTTATGTACAACTAAAAATTATACTTATAGGTTATATCTATGCCTTTCCCACCATTTTATAGGATACAAATGCCAGATATTGAATGTAGTTTGGTGAGTGTACATTGTGTGTCAGGGCTGGCCAGGCTGTGTCAGCAGGCTGGATGAGTGGTTTCCAAACAACTGTGAAAATGAATAATAATAATAACGAACAGGTTATAATAATTTAAAATTAATATCTTTTCAAACTATAGTTAAATTCTGTATTAGGTTTCTCCCACTCCCAGAGATAAGCAGAAAATTAGCTGTTCATTTAACTTCAATCACTGTTAAGTCTCCTTTTAGGTGTGTCAGGCACACCAGCTAAAAAGTGTACCTACTGATTTTTCTTTCTTCTCCATATTCTGGCTCTATAGAAAAGGTCTTCTGGTGATATTTATCATTTCCCACATTGCCCCATGTAGCCCTACATGCTGTCAACATAACACTCCAGTTTGGCTGTGATTATAATTATATCTTACATTACAGAGGTACTGTAGTAGCTATAATACAGTAGAAGTACTGATCTGAAGAGGGATGCGATGATAAAATATCTGAATCTCTTGTTGTTGATCAGAGGTGACTGCTGTGACAGTGGCAGGTGTTCATGCTGCAGACGACAACGTTTTTACCACAACGGTTGCCACGTCAGGAAGTCTCCCTGAACATATGCTGGTAAATCTACACACTCTGATGGTCATGGTACTGCACATGCTCAGTTTCGCTCAGTATATACAGTCTGTGCTGTAAGATCAGATCAGCTTCCAAGAGAAATAATCAGGTCAGGCAGTTTTACTGTTTTCATTCCAGACCTTATTAAACGGACGTTTCTCATCATTAATAATCATGAACAACCTCAGTGTCTCATCTCGCTCTGACGTGCCCAACATAGTGATCGGACCAGCAGACAGCAGCAACAGGAAGGTCTCTTGGTTACACTTTCACTCTGGAAACTGGACTAATCCAAATTAAGTTAAAAACTGAGCTTCTGTTTTCTAGAAGAAGACGTGTTTAAATACACTATTAAAGTGGGAAACTATGACGTAACTACCTGAGTGTTCAAAAATGTTAATTTGTTAATTGTTCATAAAAGCTCAGATCTCTGCTCATACTTCCAAAATCCATTATAGACAGCCGGTACAGAGCCCGGCAGGTTTCAGGTACTTTTTAATGGGGTAATTTGTGTTACAATAACTTCTATTATTTGCCCCCTCAAAGGAATCATTCTTTTGCATAATTCATACTCCCATATGCTGCAGGTACAGATCTGTAGACTGTAAACTTTATTTGTTGTATTCCGATAATTGTGCTGCAGAGTGTTGTCACTCTAAAATCTCATAAAGGTGTTCAACCTCTCAAAAGACCCCTTAAAAAAAACTAGAACCTCTATCATTGTACCTTCCAGTGTCCTCTGCTGACAGCTGAGCCTCCTGCTATACTGCAACACTATCTTTGCAAGTGTATATACTGTGTGTTTGTGTATGTGTGTGTGTGTTGTGTGTCTCACAGAGTGGGAGGACAACCCTCCAGCTGGGTGAAGGTCTCAGCACCCAGAAGGCCACTTTGATTGTAGTTCACACTGATGGCAGCATCGTGGAGGCTGCTGGCCTCAAGTCTGCTGCGGCCATCGCATCAGGTATGTGTGTGTTTTTACAGTACGGAGAAGGTGCTCTGCGGTGTCCATATTGAACCAGGTTGTTAAAAAAAATTTATATACAAACCTGAACTTGGAAGACAGTGACATCCATCACTCTCTCAGACTGATCGTTGCCTGTTTGTTTCGTCTTCCTGTGCGTCCCTCAGGCCGGCAGACTCCACCCACACCGCTGACTCCTCCCCAGGACAAAGACTCCTGCTCCAAGTACAACTGGGACCCCTCAGTCTACAACAACGAGCTGCCGGTCCGCTGCAGGAACACTAGCGGAGTCCTCTACAAGAACCGACTGGGATCAGGTGACCCACACCGAGGGCCGTAACATATAGCCACCAGTAAACCAAAGCATCTTCTCTTTCATGAAGAAGGTTTACATAAGTCTTACTGAAGTTAAACCTCCAGACCAGTCTGGTTTGGGAAAATAAGATCTATATATTTGCTTTAGGATTAAGCTAATAGAAATGTGACACATGGCTGTAGAATCAAAGGGAAAGTAGTATGATCACCATTTGCTGTCACTGGAGACAAAAGTGAAGAAAGATAACATCTCAAATCATCAGTTTAAGAGAAGAAGACATTGTAATCAGATCACTTAGCAGCAAAAAAAGTTAGTCAGTAAAAAAATGACTAATTCCAAGTATTGCATTCAAAATGTTACTGAAGTAAAGGTACTATCAGTAAAGTATACTTAAAAATTCAAAAGCACAAGTATTCATGCAGATTTCTTTTTTTATTAGATAGTTGCTGAAATATGTCATTAACTTAGATTGCTGTTCAGCTTGTTTGATTTATTATTTCCCAACTTTGTCTGTAAACAGAATTCTAAATCAGAAAGTGACGCAGCTAATTACAAAGTGCCTACATATTTTAGTTATCCGAACTCATTCAAATGAGTCTGCACGTATTTCTGATGATTTGTAAAAAGCAATGTAGTGCTAATCCTACAACTGACAGTCTATCCCGGTTTTGGGAAGAAAGTGAAGACGGGTAGTTGCGTTCCATTTAAATCCTTTACCCACTTTCGTTCTCATCTCCAACTGGCCTCCATGACGACGAATGCTGTTACTTAAAATGGTTAGTGGAACTACTTGTAAAACGCGGAATGACAGTATTGTGTCGTGTTCAGGTGGTAAAGGTCGCTGCATCAGACACAACCAGCAGTGGTTCACTCCCACTGAGTTTGAAGGTCTGGCGGGAAGAGCGAGCAGCAAAGACTGGAAGAGGAGTATCAGATACGCTGGCAGACCTCTGCTGTGCCTCATACAGGTACTACTGCGCAAATACTTCTGTAATTCTACACTGTACTACTGCAGAAAGATGGAGTTAAATTCTTCTTGCAGGATAACCTTGTGTTTGTGTGTGCATAGGAGCGTATCCTGAACCCCCATGCTGCTTCCTGTACCTGTGCAGCCTGCTGTGATGACCTGACAGGGGTGAGTCAGAAGTACGGAGAGAAGATTTAGTGTTAAATACAGAGAGACGGCACTAGAAACAAGACAAATGGCCCAAACAATGACGAAGCGACAAAATCGGGGACAAAGATTCGGCGTGGCATGACATTCAGCGCCATCTCTCGCTCAGCTATACTGATCTGCAATAGATGTTGTGTGTACAGAATAGATTCACAAGAGAAAGGCATAGTGTATATACAGTTATGATGACAAAATGGGTTTGTTTTTGTGTCTTATTCTCTGCTTCTCTGTCTTCAGTGTCCAAAGGAAGCAGACACTGTGGTAGCAGAAAACATCAGTATGGTAAATTTAATTTAATTTTTTTTTTTTGTGTGTAGCTGTGGCCTCATTATCTCCACCTGGTTTTAACCTATGATCTGCATTTAGATGTCATTACATGGTGTTAAGCAGCCTTCTTGTACTTTAAGCAAGTTGCATTGTAATGACATCTCGTTATGCCAATTAGGTAAGGATTGCTGAAGAGACTTGTCGACAAACAAGGCCACAACTAGTCCCTTACACGTCCTTCCATTCCCCAATTCAAATATAGCAGAGAGACCCAACCCGGGCTGGATATTTTAGAGCGGTCTGTAGCGTTAGGCCAGTCTTGATTTTGCTTCAGATTAATCTAGTACAAGTTAGATAGTTTCACAAAAATAGGGATAGACTTACTTTAATCCACCCCACCCCCGTGTTTACTGGTAACAATCAGGGACACTTGCTGATTAGTGGAGCCAAATGACAAAAGGAGCTCATAATTTGTGGTTTGCTTACATGTCCTGGAGCGAGAGATGAGGGTTAAGGAGTTTTTAGCGAGCGCAGTAACCAGTTGGAAATATAAAGCAACGAGGATGTCGTCAGTCATTTTCGGTTGCCAAAAAAAAAAAACCTATCCTGAGTCTGACTGAAATATGGAGTCCTACCACATTAAGAAGCCACGGCATCTCAGCTCTGCTACAGAGGCCAGAGATTTGATGCTTTGAAGTTTTTTGAATTCTGACTTTCCCCATTAAAATGTCATGTAACCGTTGGGGGGAGGGCTAGTGCTCATGAATTGAAAATTTAAAATAAACAACAAATGTGGTAGCAGAAAAATATTTTATGGAGTAGGGTTGCTGCCACTTTTTCTAAACAGTTTAAACAAACTTGAACTAACAGAGCAATAAACTACTTTGTAAAATTGACTTTCTGTTCATTACATGCTAACGGCCGACTTCAGATTTGTTGTTGTTGTCAGGGTAGATTTACGTTAAGACTGTCAGCAAATGGCTTCACCTTTTTAATCAATTTTCCATCTATGATTTTGACCCCAAAATGTTTCCTCACATTAACTCTCAGACGCACGGCTCACTAGTTTCCCACACAGTTTGTGTTAACGAAGAGAGAAACCATCTGGTTTACAGAGGACTACAGGATGTCAATAAATCAGTATGAGAGCTTTTCAGTTTTACATTGAGAATTTTGAATTTCACCAGCTGATTACAGATTAAATGTACATTCTTTTCCCATATTCAAATGAAAGTGAAAGCCCTAGTGGCAGGTCAGCCTTTTAATTATGGAGTTGTCTGCACAAAGACTGTCCACATGCCTAAGTGTCCTTGGGTAAGACATTGAAAACCCAAACTAGCTTTAGACAGAGTTCTTGTACTGCTGCTTTTATTTTAACAACTTTGTTCAATGAAAGAAGTCTTTTGGTAAAAACCAACCTAAATCAGAAATCATACTCTTGTTGTTTTTAATCTCAGTGTCTCTGATTTTTAAGCACCGTCACTGTTTGTTGGACGTTCTGTCTGTTTCCTCTCGCTGCTCGGTTCAGACTGGTCCAGTCCGCCTCTTCGTCCCTTACAAAAGACGGAAGAAGGACACCGAGCCTCCGGTCAGCCCCCCCAAAAAGGAACTTCCTGCCACCAAAAACATCACGCTGACCCCGGGAGCCACATGTATGTTGTGTGATTTGTGTGACTATTAAATCAGTTGATTTTTATGGAGTCATGTGCTCACAGTCACAACAGCTTGTTTAAAAAGTTTGAGAGTTAAGGAGGAGAAATGTCCTTCATTTATCAGATTAGACCGTTTTTTATTCCTTGACCTTTTGACACCTTGAAAATGACCCTAAAATTCTTGTCACCTCATCCTATAGAGCAATTACTGACTGAATTCAGTTTGATATTTAATTATTAAATGAATGAAATATTGATGAACAGTTGGACATCCTCTGAGTGAGACATGAACGTTCATTGAAAGTCCTGGAGTTTCCATCACATCATTTAAACTTTGACTTCACAAGTGATTGTCCAAACACGGCTGAGAAGTCTGTCTTCCTCCAACAGTCACAGTGTCCCCGTCAGGACAGTTCACCACCTCCGGCACCTTGACCTTTGACCGCACTCCAACGGGTGATGCCGCCGCCGCCGCTGCCGCTGCCATTATCTCAGAAGGGTCAGCGCCAAGCGAGGTGTTTGCCAGCACAGCAGGTACAGTTCATCACTGTTAAACTGTACGTGTGTCCATCATCTGTTGGACGTCTGTGTGTTGTCAGCTGTATCTGAGGGCGTACCAGCTGTTGTTTTATTCCAGAGAGAGGTAACCTTGAGAGAGAACCATGCAACATTGTTCCCAGTTACGGTCACATTTTTAGTCTGTCTTTAAACAATACTGACACATACTGTATGTACACAGAAGTAGTTTTTGGACCCTGTAAACACGCTTCCTATCTTTGTCCATAAAGAGATCCCTTCTTAAAGTAATTTTGGCGTAAGTGATGGGGAACAAAATACAACAGTCCAAAAATGCATCCGAAAGTTAAAGCTGGGGAAGGCAATGTTAGAGAAACAACCGAGGGACTGCTAGATTTTGAAACTTGGTATATGGTTGTGGTTGTTACTGTTCTGCAACAGCTGCAGAAACTGTGCTTTTGTTTTTGTGTGTGTGTCAGAGCATTTGATTTATTTATTACTGTGGGGATGTAAAGAAAACTTCAACAAATAAAAAAAAATTATAAAAAAAATTATAAAAAAATGCTTGTGAAATAAATTGCCTACCCAGAGCTTTAAGCTAAGGCTGATATGAGTCTTCAGCAGTCTGAGTTAGACAAATACTTTGGGTGTCTTCGAAAAGTTAATGTCTTTTAAGAACCAAATTATGCCTTGTGTTGTTATCCCTCCCCTACGCCTCAGTAAGGAAGCACTTTATTTTAGTGCTGGGCAATGATTAAAAGTTTTAATCACGTGATTTTCTTGCGATTAATTGTGATTAATCGTATTGTTATGAAGTTGAATTCTCTTGAACTTTTTGTACGCGACGCGCAGCACAAATCACTGGAAGAGAGACTGATCCTCGCTGTTTGTGAGTTTCCAGAATCTATTACTGTTTACTAAATAGGACATCAACAGGAGGGAATTCGCATGGTAGAGCCACAAACTAGATGAAGGCCTATCTGGTAAAGTTATGTAGCCTATAATTTTAACTTAAGTTAAATAGGATATAGCTGTGGCCATGGTTACCATCCATAGAGCACCTGCCGTTTACTAGCGGAGCGCTTCTCTCCATTTCTGTTCACCTGAGGAGCGCAGAGCAACCCTGCGGGGCCAAGTGACTACGTTGTGATTTCAAGAACGTTCCTAAGACAGACGTCTTCCCCAATACTGATCAGCATGCAGTGTGTAGCTATCCACTTCACTATGGCATTTGATCTCTCGTCTTGCTTATTTCAATCTACTTCTCCCACACGCTGCATCCAACGTATTCTGCCGAAGGCTTCCTCCGCTGCTTGTTTTGGTTGCTGATTTTCAGACTGATCAACATCCCACCCCTCCTATGACCCACGGTTTGACTGTATGTGTATTCAGAGCCAGAGAGCAACGGACTTTGAAAATAATAACAATCTTTATAATAATAATCATCGTATTAATAAAAACTGCGTTAATGTGTGATAAAATAATTGTCAGAGTTAATGCATTAACGGAATAACGCGTTAACTTGCCCAGCCCTGCTTTATTTATTTTATTTATTTATATAAATAGCTCAAATAATTGACCAATTATTTCAGTTCAAAACATAATTTAATTTTTTTTTATCAAAAGTTCACTTAGTTAATTAGTAGGAGTGTTAAGATTAACTGTGATGTGTGAGAGTTCAAAAATATATCTGTCGATTATAACATTTGTAAAGTAAACATTTTTGATAAATATCATTATATGTGTTTGTTAAAGAGATTGCGTTATGCTTTTTGGCTTTTCCCCTCCTCTCCTTTATTGAGTTATATACCTTTTTGGGCATGTAATAGGTTTGCAAAGTGAAGTCCAGCCCAAAGGGAGTTCCCATCTCCCACAGAAAACTCTGCTCTGGACTGCCTGAAAACAGCTCATTTGTAGTCCAGCTGTTTCCCTGTGACAACACAGGGATGAAAGCTAAATGCGCCTCATAACGCTCGCCAAGCGGCTAGTCCGACACGCCCTCAAAAACAGTGAGCTGCAGCACACAGCTCTCCTCTCCCTTCCAAACACTAGCTACCCTCCAGGCAGTCAGCGGACATAAAGTTTTTCCTGTGATGTAGAGACAGAGCTCAGTTAAAACTTTATGGATGAAAGATACTTTTGTTACAGATTAATAACTCACCACTCTGAAACTCTTGCTCCAGGACATGTTGCCAAGCTGGTCGGCAACATGTAGCCTACAGCTGATCCGAAGCTGTTTACCGGCTTCTCACTAACTCGCCTTTCTCTGCTTCTGATTGGCTAGTAGTCCTTAACTAGGAAGTGCGCATGTGCAACTCCCAACAAAGATAACTTGGAGACAAGATGTATCACTCCATAGCTAAAACGAAGCCTTCAACACAGGGTGAAAAGAGGAGCTGCAGCAATGTGCAGTATGGGGGGAAAAAAGTGTTTTTTTGAAAATCAAACCATGTGAACCTGTTCTGGTACAACCCCTAAATAGGATTTTGAACCTGAAAATGAGCATAATACCACCTCTTTAAAAGAATATTGACATAGATAAGTGCTGTTACTACTTTACATAAATATAAAACAGTAAATCTTAGATAGTAAACTTCACTGGAATTTAAATTGAAATGTCAGCACCATAAAAAAAACAAACTACTCTAATTAACTTTAAATGAAGTAGTAGCAGTGTAACGTCTCTGTGTTTAGTTTCTGTTTCCTCTGAATGCTTTAATGTTTCGGTCGTCCTGGCCCCCACAGCTCCCTGCACGGCCACTGACCGGCAGCCCATCATCTGACGCCATCAGACGTCAGGGAAGTACCACAGCTGCTTTCTGATTGGCTGTCGTGCCATTGTAATGAGCTCTCAAGTCAGTGGAGCAATCAGAGATCTGACCATCTCATCACTCCTTCTGTTAGCACAGGGTCTGACACCGACCTGTTAAATCTGAGTTTGTAATCAGAAGACATACACATAAACTGGTGATATTTCATCCAGAACATATGAAATGATCTGTAGTTACATGTGTTTGTTGACTGGAGCTGTAGTTAGTCCTGGGACTGTTCTGATTGGCCAGAAGGGGAGAGACACACACACACACACACACACACACACACACACACACACAGACAGACAGCAGTGATCCAGCTGTCAGTACTCTCTCTGTCCTTCACCCTGAGGTTAATGAAGCACGCTGGGTGTGTGTTTGTGTGTGGTTGTGTGAGTGCATTTGTAAGGAGTAAGAGATGTGCATCAGAAAATACTTGAAAGATTCAGATAGATCAATTCAAATGGACGGATTCTATTCTACATCTGTTATAGTAGTAGTAACATCTGAGATCTTTATTTTTTTAAACGCTACGAACCAAGTGTGTTTCTTTGCTCAGAAGTACAAATAATAACAGTAGTATAATTAGAATCAAAAGGAGCTTTATTGCCAAGTAGTGTTTTACACATACGAGGAATTTGCTTTGGTGATAAGGTGCTACATGTAGACAAACATACAGTTGACATAAATAAATCTAGAAATATATAAATATGGAATAAACAATGCAAGTTATATAAGAATAATAAAAAGAATAGAGAAAAATTATACAACTATTTGCAAAGACAGAACAATGTGGCAGATATTTACATGTGCATTATTCTGGGTTTTGTTGTGCAGAGGTATTGCAACGGAAGAGAATATTGTGTATAAATTGACAGTATAAAAATATACAACAACAACGATTAAAAATGAACAACAAATATGTGCTATGTGCCAGGTTTGGGCATGATATGAAATGAAATAATATTTACATGTGCAGAGACATTTGTATTATTTGAAAGGGAGGAGTGTCAGTGGGGGACCTGGGCCTTGTTGATGAGTGTAGCTGCAGACGGGAAGAAACTGTTATTGCGGTGAGAGGTTTTGGTACTGATGATGTAAATATGTAAATAAATCTATGTATTATTAATGCACTAAATCTACTTAATCGTGTTTAGTTCACTTGATAGAGACCAGTATCTATCAGAAATACTACTTTCTGATAGATACTGTTGTATTTGCACCTTTTTAAAACAAAGAATATTAACAAAAAAAGTACATTTTAATTTATTTTTACAAATAAATATGTCCAAAAAAGGCTAAAGCTTGGAATGAGCAATTTATAAATCTAGCGATCTCTTGCTAGTCTCTCCAACGTTGCCTACCTCAGTGCTCATTTCAGCCCTTGGTGGGTAGTACTATTCACTTGGAAAGAGTATGTATACATTTCAGCCCTGGCTGGCAGCTCATAATGATGGATAGGCTGCATGTCATGTCAGGGGATTGTGGTGAAAACCCCTGCACAGATCATTATGGAGAAGGACACATCACGGACAACTGACTCACTCAAAAGGGGGGGAAAAAGTACAGGGCTGAAAAGTCCAACATACTCAGTAGGGCAATCATTGAAGGCTGCTCAGTTGAAAATATTAACAGCTCCTCTCTTGTCTCATCTGTAGTGGCAGGACAGTAAGAGAACAAAGTAGATTTTAGTCCTTAGAATCCAGTAAAGTAAAAGTGCTAATATATATTCTCCAAACACTGATGAGAACAACGTACCCAGGACATGTTAAATCAAAGTCTGAGACGAATGTATCGTTATTTCTGAATGCGTCTGTTGTCAGCAGAGCTCTCGGCTGTTAGTTTCACCACAGGAATATATATTTTGCATGTAGGTCAGGAGTGAATGTATGGAGGAAGCAGACACACTGGCCTGAATCTGTTGAGACCACCTGCTTGGTTCATTCTACATATTTCACTTCTGCATTAAATATCTGGAGGACTGTAAACCTCAGTCACGGCAGGCGTCCAGTCAGGAGGCTGTGATATTTGTGGCGCCTCCTGTGGGTCTGACTGTGAGTGAACTGCACACACTAAACGTACCAAATTTACATCGAGCCACCTCATGCGTCTTGGGTGGATCAGTTAGATTACAGAAAACCAGGTTTCTGTGACGTTTCGCAAGATTACTGCAGGAAACTAACAGTAACCCAGTTACAGAAGTAACCTCTGTGGTTGGGTGTGGTCAGAAGTTTGCTTTGCTGCACCTGTAACCACACCCAACAGTGACCCCACAGAGTCCTGTCACTACACCTTTACACCACTGGAGGTCAGCAGAGACGAGATTAAACTGTTAAATTACTCTGTCAGATGATACATGGTCTACGATTGGGTACAAGAAGGATAGAAATACACACAACAATATAACTTAAAAGAAATTTTTGATCTTTTATCAGTAATAAACTCCAAACATCCTCATTTTCTTAAATGTGAGGATTTGCTGCTTTTAGGTTTTTTATTTTTAGCTTTAAATTAATATATTGTTGGGTTTTGGACTGTTGGACGCTTGAAGATGTCACCTTTAACTCTTGGAAACTGGGATGGACATTTATTTTTTACTGTTTTCCAACATTTATTGTGTTATGAATAAATAATCATTAGATGCATCCCTAATACTATTTATTATAGTGCCTTTTATTAACTACAGTTGTAGAAGTCTTCAGACAGCTGGAGGTTTTTGATGTGATGTACTAGTCCTCTGTGCGACTGTGGCGTATTTTGGAGGAGGCTTGTTGATGACGTAGCCTATCGAAACCAGCGTGGTACGGAATCTGCACTGGTGTGTTCACTGTTGCTTTACTGGGTCGGTGCTTGTAACATAATACCAGATAACCTCTTTCTCTGTGATTCTCTGCAAAATGCTAAAATGGGTCACCAAACATACCTGGGCAGCCGTTAATATACCTGGGCGGCCCGCCCAAGTAAAGTCTATATGTGGGAAACACTGTTTATTATGGTGTCTGTAGGTTCACACACAGGTTCAGACTCTCCACCACCTAATCGCAGCGTCCTTAGTTTGAATATGACCCTCATTTCCTGTCAGCTCTCTACTGTCCATCATCAGTTGAAGGCATAAAATGACCAAAAGAATAAAACTGTTTCTCTTGTGGTGTCTCTCTCAGTTTTGACTGCGTTGCCGGCGCTGGCCATGTCTCCCCAGCCCGTTCAGGCCAAGATGACAATGGCGGCGGCTTCTCCGTCGGCAGGGCTGGTGAGCGGGCTGGAGGTGGGGCCTGTAGGGGGGGCAGGGACGGCGATCAGCGAGGGACAGAAGAACACCTGGCTGTACTTGGAGGAGATGGCCAACACGCTGCTGAGCAACGTCCAGCAGCTGAAGGCTCTGATCGAACAGGCCAAAAACTGTGGAGGGGACACCGCAGGGGTCAGATATCAGGGAGGCAGGAAGGAGGTGAGAACACTCTCTCACACACTAGTCGCATTAACCATAAATGTAATTATTACACATAATAATTAGACATAGAAATAAGATGATTGCTTCATTACTGAGTTATCGTCTTGCCTGTGTGTTTGTGTACAGTGTGGTCTCAGTCCGTCATTTCAGAACCAGATCTCGTTTCAGCAGTCGGACGACTCGGAAGCCAAGAGAAGCTCTGACCTCACAGAGATCATCATTAATGTATGACACACACACACACACTAAAAGTGGCTCCTGTTCTATTCTCTTGTCTCCTCGCTGGTTCCTTTATGTTCTCTTGTTTTTACTCGGCAGCAGATGTGTGTGAACTGTGGTCGGGTGGCGATGAGTGAGTGTACAGGCTGCCACAAAGTCAACTACTGCTCCACGTTCTGTCAGAGGAAGGTAAGACTCACCTGAACGATCCTCTGGAGTACAGACATGTTTTTCTTTTAATTTAAACTCTCTTTTTTTCCCCACTTAGAAAGCCTCATTAAATATCATGTTTTAAAGAGTTCAGGCTTTGAATTAGAGAAGATAGAAGGCAAACATCATATGGCAAGTATCATAAGCTACCCCACAAAATCAGAAATAAAACGTTTTATTGTAAAATCAAGAATAAAATCAGACAATGATTTGTTAATAAACTCACATGCAAAAAGATGTGAGATGTAGTTAAAGTATGTACAATTTATACATTTCTTTTACAGGAAGAAATTACAATATCTTAATTTATTAGCTCTTAGCAGCAGTTAGCTGTTGAGAGCCTGTTACCTGTGTGTGCTTATCCATTCTTTCATCTATATATATTCTTTGTCTTTACGATCGCAATCTTTATAATAACAAACAGCTGTTTCGTGTGTAGGTTTGCGTTTATTTCCCGTTTCACATTCCACGTGTGTTTTCTTGACAAAATGTGGTTTGGAGACGAGACGCCAGGTGACAGTCGTTGTCAGCTTGTGTAGTGTGTGTGACCCCCTGTCACCGATCAGTCACGTAGTGTGAACGCCACACGACTTCAAGACTGCCGCCCGAAGACGGCAAGTTGTGTATTCTGAACAGCACAGCGATCGGCCGACGCTGAAAGTTGTGTAGTTTGCACGAGCCTTAAGCAAACTTGGATTATTTATGCAAAAATATGATGCCAAAATCTATAAATAGCTTAATCTCATAATGATATTTACCAATACACCACATTACATTTAAGCTAAATGAATAAATGTAATGTAAATGTAATACACCATTTACATAATAGACTTATTATGACAGAAGTAAACAATGGCAAATAAATATAAATTTAAATTGTAGCCTATATGTAATTTGACTCCTCTCAGTCTTGTCCAGTTACATCAAAAGGCATTTATTAGTGCATCTTACATATATTGTGCAGTACTGCCAATGCAGAGCCTCGTCATGCACATTATGATCTACAAAAATAAAAGATTTTTCCTCAATCTCGTCAAAATAATATAATTTTCTGAACACTTGGTCATCAAGCACACCTAAAACATCTTTCATCTCATGGAATTATCTCAGCTTAAACGCCATCTCCGGGCGACTTCTAACAGGTCAGGATCATTAGCCGAAATAGGAGTAGGACCAAACGTGTTACTTTTGGTCATTTAGGACAGATTTCCTTCTCTGAGACGGTTGCGTACAGGCCCTGATTATCAGCTGTTATCAGCACTTAATTAGGATGGAATACGATCTAATATCAAAAATATAAGTAATAATAAGTGAACAGAATCACAGATCAGTTTGTTTTCTCTCTGCAGGACTGGAAGGATCATCAGCACACCTGCTGTCAGTCAGCAGGAGGCGTGGCCGTTCAGGAGGAGGAGCCAATGACAGCCATGGACATGGACAAAGTGAAATGAAGGTGTCCGCAGTCTGCATGAAAACATGAGCGGCATGTCAACGAGCTCCTCAGACAGGACGCCCTTATGTGGGCAAAGATGAGATTATTTTTAACACATCTTTTGTGGAGACTTAAAATCTCGTCTCTGGAGCCGCTTTTGTGAAAGTGTCTCCTCAGGACGGCATGAAAAGTCAAGTCTCTGGTCTCCTGAGAGTTGAACTTTATGTATAATACCTGCACTGACTTTATATTTGTATGGAGAAGGTGGGTGTCTAGTGGATGTTAGATGAACAGAAGCGCAACCCTGAACAAAATTCATATTTCATTAATTATTAAAAAATTAATTCACTACCAGTATATTATGGCGATTATAGGTTGAAAAGATGGTAAAAAGCTATATGGCACTGCTGATTTTCATTATAGATTAATCTGTCAATTATTTTCTCAATTAATTTAGTTAATTATATACCATAGTGATGATTTTTATTTCTCATCTTCCCTCAGTGACTGTTATCTCTGTTGTTTTTTTTATTTCTGTGCCATTTTAACTCTTGATAAACGGATTTAAATCTACAGAGACTGTCCTGCTTAAATAAAGGTCAGACATGTCGATAAAATGAAAGATAATATTAAATTAAACCCACCCAACCTTGACCACTTCTTCGACATGAAGGATCTGTTGTTAATGGTTAATGGCATTTTTTAATCTTATGATTCATGATGAATTGTGACCTGATTTTGTTGTCTGGATCAAAACCTCCTCATGTTATAAAGGTTTTTCTTTGTGGGGTTTTCTTCCAGTGAAAACACAGTTTTTATTTTCACGTTATGTGAACGTTTCAGTTTAAGTCTGTTTTCTATAGAAAGTCCTGGAAGATACTTTGTACAAGATCTTGTGTGTTCAAGAAATGATCATCTTTCAGGGTTTTGAAGTTTTGTATTTTTCTGTTTTAAGTGGAAGCTCAGAATGACAGAAACTAAACTCTTGCAGCAGTTAAGTGTGCAGAGTTTGCATGCTGTATGGCAACCATGACAGAAATCAGAGCAGTTTTTTTGACAGATTTATAGGGAAATCCTGTAGTTTGAGTAAAATGGACATTTCCATTTAATTTTAGTTAGAAATTAACCATATTCTGAACAGAATTTACATTTTAAAGTCCAGTTTGCAAAATGTATCTTGCCAAAAGAGTTTACATTTTACTTTTGATCTTTTTAATAAATTACATTTATGTTCTCCCCATCTACTAAACTGCTGAACTAAATAAAATAAAATAAAATAAATTATTCATTAAGAGATGGATGGTTTTCTGTGAGGTAGCACACTTTAACATAGTAAATCACTTTCTGCACCAGTCTATAATAATTACAGACTGGACTTTCAGACTTTCTTCTGTGTGTAGATGACGTCTTTTCTTCCGTCAGCAACAGTCAGAAGAGTCTTCTGTCTTCATTCATCTCCTCAGATGTTTATTTAATAAGTTAATTTATTAATGAAATACTTATTTTTATCCAACTGGAGTCTCGGAGGTAAAACACAGGGTTATTCTTCCTGCAGAACTCCAGCAGACAGATTTAATTTTTTTGTTTCACATTAAGCTTTTATATTCTGTTTTTGTGTGTGTGTTTGTGTGTGTGTGTGTGTGTGTGTGTGTGTGTGTGTGTGCAGCTGAAGTGAGAGTTTAGTTTTTTAATGTTTCTGACAGTCAGGTGATCTGTCAGAGCGACTTCTGAAGAATCGCCTCAGACATGATGACATTTGATTCTGCTGTGTCTCCAGTCCCAGTGGCACTCAAGTGTCTGCTACTGCTTGTGACAGTTTAGGCCCCCTAAGACCAGACATTTCCTACATTAACAGCCATGTCACCTGAACTGTAAATGTAGGACACTTTAACAGAAGGAAGCTACAGCCTTTTCTAACTTCTCCTTTGAAGGATAAGTTCATAATTTTTCAAATCTGTCAGGTGCTCAAATGAACATTGACACTGGCTGAAATCCTTCCGGCCCTGAAGAGGTCATATCCTAAAGGGATTTCAGTGTAGGTGATGGGGGACAAAACCCAGAGTCCTGATTACATTAAATATACCTTCGTGTTCACCTTGAGTTAATAAAATATGTGTCTATTGAGTGCTGCAAAATCACAGGTGACCTTCTCAATGCCGTACCTGAATGCATCCTTTGTAGACACTGAGGGAGGACTGAAGCTTCTGCTCTTCTGACATGCTTTGTAAACAAATCAAGTATCTTACAACATTGACGTCATTTTATAACTCAGACAGTTGAAGTCTCTAACTTCAGATACAGTTTGGACATTTTTGCACAGAAGAATGTGGATTTTACTTTATGCTACTATACTTCTACTCCACTACTGGGAAATATTGTGCTTTTTACTCCACTGCATTTATCTGATAACATAACTAGTTACTTTGCAGAATAAATTATGATATATTTTTATAGCTTACTTTAAGCTAAGCAGTAATCAGTTGACATCAGCTCCACCTTTACCAGCTAAAACATAAATATATAGCATCACTACTTATTATCCAGTCTAGTATTTTCACTTTTGGATAAATTTTAAGATATATCCTCTACTTTTACTTTAAATACTTTGAATACTTTTTACTGTACTTTCACTCAATGTGAATTTTGATTTTTACTTGTAACAGAGTATTTGTACACTGTTGTATTGGTATTTTTACTTTAGTAAGAGTACAGCACTGCTTGCCGTGTACTTATGGGCATGTGAGTATTGTTTTTAGACAGACTAGAAAAAATGGTGAACCTACCATATAACATGGCAACTGACGCCACACCACAAGCTCCACCCATCTTTGCAGAGGGCAGGGCGGGGCCAGGGGGTTTAAAATGATCTGAAAGGAACACCAGAGGCATCATGAGATTTCAGCTCTTTGACTCTGATTAAATCTGCTGAAAAGCTTTTAAAGCTTCACGTATGTTTGTGATGTCAGACCTTCACGTGACTTTGTGAAGGTCCCCTTCTGCAGGGACCCTGGTCACTCAGGACTCTGGAATATGCTGAGCAGCTCTGACGTACTTTAGTAATGAGCTAGCTCGGGGGTGAGTTTATAACTCATTTTATCCCCCCTCCATGAAGTATTCCAGTTACAGACAGTAACTGAAGAGTTTGCTGCTTTTATAGTGTAGTACACATTTTGGCTTGGAGGAGGCACTGCCTTGAATACTGAGAATTCAGGGAACAAAAGTCCCCCAGAAAACTCCACAGATTAAATGAAGTATAAACAATGACATGCATATCTTGGTATTTTAGGAACACTAAACGCAGCACTTTTGTTTTTGCGGCCATTTATCATGACCTGAACTCTCAAATATTGTTCAAATTGTACAAATCTGTCAAAATCTGCGTTAGTGAGCACTTCTCGTTTGAGATAATCCATCCACCTTACAGGTGTGGCATCGCAAGATGTTGATCAGACAGCATGGGTATTGCACAGGTGGGCCTTAGGCTGGCCACAATAAAAGGCCACTTGAAAATGTGCAGTTCCATCACACAGCACAATGCCACGGATGTCGCAAGTTTTGAGAGAGAGTGAAAATGGTATGCTGACTGCAGGAATGTCCACTAGAGCTGTTGCCCGTGAATTGAATGTTCATTTCTCTACCATAAGCCGTATCCAAAGGCCCGTATCCAAAGGCCTTTCAGAGAATCTGTCAGTACATCCAACCGGCCTCACAACCACAGACCACGTGTAACCACACCAGCCCAGGACCTCCACATCCAGCATCTTGACCTCAAAGATCGTCTGAGACCAGCCACCCGGACAGCTGCTGCAACAGTCAGCTTGCATAACCAAATAATTTCTGCACAAACTGTCAGGAACCGTCTCAGGGAAGCTCATCTGCATGCTCATCGCCCTCATTGGGGTCTTGACCTGACTGCAGTTCGTCGTCGTAACTGACTTGAGTGGGGAAATGCTCACATTCGATGGCGTCTGGCAGTTTGGAGAGGTGTTCTCTTCATGGATTCTCACTGTACAGGGCAGATGGCAGACAGCGTGTATGGCGTTTTTTTATTGTGGCCAGCCTAAGGCCCACCTGTGCAATACCCATGCTGTCTGATCAGCTTCTTGATATGCCACACTTGTGAGGTGGATGGATTATCTCGACAAAGGAGAAGTGCTCAAATCAGCTCCAGACCACAGTTCACTTCACAAACAAAGTTTAACAACCAGCTTTTTTTGTGAAAACTTTTATTCTGAAAAGATGACTTTCAACATATAAAATCAGTTCTTGTCGGTTGTGTGATGTAGATGTGTTGCTGATCCTCTCAACAGTTTGTTCCTCAGACTGAAGCTTCTTCACTGGAAACATGAAGCTCAAACAGACTTTGCTGTCGTCACATGTAGAAAAATAAAAACCTCACAGTGGAAAGAAACGATGGCAACATACAAAGACTACAGGCAGTAAATGAACAGTCAGTAGCATCTCTTGCAGCTGTTCGCATTTAAAAAATCATCCAAGCAGCAGCAGCAGTGGCATCCTCATCCGGCGTTCTTGGAGCAGAGGCGGTGCAGGAACTTTTTTGAAGAAATTCCTGAACTCTGTGTTGAAGACGGTGTAGATGACGGGGTTGAGCGCACTGTTGACGTAGCCGAGCCACGTCACCACGCTCATCAGCGCTGGTGGGATATGGCAGTCCTGACAGCGAGCTCGCATCGTGTGAAGGACAAAGAAGGGAGTCCAGCAGAACAGGAAGGCACCTGCAGGAGGAGAAGAAGAAGAAGAAGAATCAGAAGCTTTTCTACAGTAAGACAGAAACACCAAGAACATTTACTTTGCTTTTATCAGTAAAACTCCTTCTATCCACAGTCAGATATATCAGTCAGATATATCAGAGGGATATCAGTTTCATCTCTGAGCAACCGGTACTGAGATGTTGATGTAGGGGAGGATGTGTTTAGTGTCACGGAGGCTAAACACATCCTTGTGTTGTTGCGCTTGCTTGATCTTTACCTGTGTTACCTAAGTTGTTGAAGCAAGCAAAGTCAGCCAGAGGTTTCACAGACAGAACAGCTAGCTATAAATCTAAAATTCATGTAAGCAAACTAGATAACACCCTCGGAAATCTGTGTTTCTACCGGAATAAGTGCTCTTGCATGAATTGCTATCCAGCTTTGTTGGCTGGCTTGCCACCCAAGTTTCAGGCAACATAATGCTGCATGTGGTGGAGAGTGGAGTCGGTGTTGTGCTGCAGCTGGGCGAGCGGGCAACATAACCAGGCTCAGCAGCCTCTGTGGATGCATTAGCTAATGGCAGAGGTGAAGAGGATATTGATGGAGATAGCTAACAACTAAAAAAGAGAATGACTAAGCAAGAGGATGCCGAACCTTGGTGAGTGCTTTGTGAAATAAAAGGCTGCAAGATGCCCAACTGGCCTTCTTTCTGTGTACGCAGTTTGACTAGTTAGTCTTGTGTTGTTGCACTTACACCTACCAAATTACTTACATATTTTACAAACCTACCAACTTTTCTAAATACCTAAAAACATACCTAACAATGTACAAATTTACAGCTGGTAGATTACCTTCAGGTTGACACCTGTGTAGTCAGATTAGCTAATGAAGCAGAGCTTCACCCGCTTACCTACGAACTACTTTACTTACCAAACTCACCTATCTTCCAACCAGCTGACCTATTTATCTAACTACCAACCTAAAAACATACCTACCAGCCACCCAACAGAGTAGCCACCTTGTAATGTAGCAAGTAGCACTGCACACTGAAAATCGTGTCTGACCAAGCTTACGTAATAATTGGATTTCAGATTAAGAAGCTGCAGGATTAGCTGCTGTGTGCTAAAGAGAAGCACTTCTGCTCATTAGGACCAACACTTGCTGCTAATAATAGGCTGACCTTTTCTAACTGTTGTGTTAGTGCCTCTGAACAGACATCAGAGGTGGAGGTGTGGCGTTCAGGTACCTGGAGCCTCGGAACAGACATCAGAAGTGGCGGTGAGGCGTTCATGTGCCCATTATAACGCTATTCATGTAAGTGTATGAGGCTGATAGATGGATTACTTTTTACCTAAATAATGTTTGTGACATGTGTCACCAAACATGTTGCTGTTGGTTTTTCAGGCCCTCTTTGTTTCTCTGGAGGTCAAACACAGTAGACAGTCAAATCTTAAGCAGCAGTTGTAAAATAAAAAACAAGCTTGTGGACTTTGTCAGGTTCCACGTTCTTTCTGATGAAAGCTACAAGCTATAACACGTTGGCCTTATAATCAGTGTTGGGCTGTGAACGTATATTACTTACTGACTCTGTCTGACAAGTCACTTTGTTCAGTAACAGTTGTGTAAGGGATTCAGCTATTACATTACAGTTACTAATGCCTCTTTGATAATTTCACATTTTGGGGGGTCGCCTTATTTGCTGTTTTACCAGGAGTTGGAAGGTGGGTTGGTATCATTTTCGTATCTGTGAGTTCAGCCGACACCCTTGTCCAGAGTGTGTTAAGCTGGACAGATAATAAACAGATTAAACCTGACTTTAAACCTGAATTGGTTGCCCCCAACTAATTTTAGAATCGGACAAAATGTCCACCACATCTGCTGGCAATCTTTCACATGTAACCTGGAAAACACAGCATACCACACTCCTGGTACATTTTCTGGGTTTGTATCAAGTTTAATCCTTAAACCAGATAAAGTAATTACTGAAGAGGATATTAAAATTCATGTGACTACTGACAATGACAGCTTTAGTACTGCGTTTATCTCTCTATAAGATTCGATTGGCTTCTATCAGAACTTTCATAAACACACTCACTGTTTTAACCACACCCTCGACCTTGTTCTGGCAAATGGCATTTAAATTGAACATTTAATAGTCTTTCCAGAGAATCGTAACACTATTTAATAACTTTTGAATTCCTATTGCTGAACTACACACCATTAGGCAAATATTCCTACACTAGATGTCAATCTGATAGTGCTGCAGCTAAATTTAAGGTGGAAGTGATTCCATTGGCATTTAATTTTATATCATGTCTTAATAGAACAGCAGATTCCTATGCTAACTTCAGTCCCTCCCAAATTCATCATCTAGTTGACAGTGCTGCTGGCTCACTGCAAATGACACTCGATTCTCTTGGCCCTCTAAAAAAGAAAATAATAAAAATAAGGATGGTTAGCTCTATGGCATTCTACCCAGACATCCCTACTCGGCTGCTTAGAGAACTTTTACCCTTAGTTAGCACTTATTTACTAGACATAATCAATATTTCTTAACTAACAGGCTATGTACTACTGTCCTATAAAGTAGCTGTAATTAAACTTCTATTTAAAAATCCCACTCTTGATCCAGGGGTTTAAGATCCTTGAGAAAGCAGTCTCTGGTCAGTTGTGTGACTTTTTAAATAGCTTAGATTTAGAGTGCATTATAGCAGAGACAAACTGGTGAAAATTACAAATTATCTTCTAATTTCATCAGACAAAGGACTTGTGTCTGTACTTTCTTTTTAGATCTTAGTGCTGCATTCAACACCATTGGCTATCATATCCTATTACAGAGAGTCGAACATTTAAGTGGCATTAAAGGAACAGCACTAAGCTGGTTTAAGTCCTACTTATCAGATCGATCTCAGTTTGTACATGTTAACAATGAATCCTCCACGCACACAAAAGTTAGTCATGGAGTTCCACAAAATTCTGTGCTTGGGCCAAACATATATATACAGTATATATATGCCGTATACGAATATGCTTCCTTTGGCGATATTATCAGGAAACACCATAAAAAATTTGTTTGCTGATGATACCCAGTTATTTGTAGTGATCAAACCAGGCTGATGAATAAGTCCATTGAGACTCTTCAGCTGATCCAGAATGCTGCAGCACGTGGTTCTGACAGGAACCAGGAAAAGAGATCATGTTTCTCCTGTTTTACCTTCTCTGCATTGGCTTCCTGTAAAATCCTGAATAGAATTTAAAATCCTTCTGCTCTCCTACAAAGCTCTTAATGGTCAGGCACCATCTTATCTTAAAGAGGTCATAGTACCTTACTACCCAACCAGAGCACTGCGCTCCCAGAATGCAGGGTTACTTGTGGTCTCCAAAAGTAGAATGGGAGCCAGAGTGTTCAGCTATGAACCAGGTCCCAGTTTGGGTTTAAGAGGCAGACGACATCTCTATATTTAAGATTAGGCTTAAGACTTGCCTATTTGCTTATAGTTAGGTATCCCTTAGTTATGCTGCAAAAGGCCTCGACTGCCGGGAGACTTGATGCACTGACTTCCTCTCTTCTCCTCTCCATCTGTACGGATCCTTAGCCCATTAATGCATGTTGCTAACTTGACTTCTTCCCTCTCCTGTAGTTTTGTGCTCTCTCGTCCCTCTCCTCTCTCTTTCTCTCACTTTTATGGAGGTGCTTCTGCCTCCAGAGCGTTGGGGTCTTGATATGTGGTTGCAGGCCACCTGCTGCCCCCATGTTCCTGCTCGACCCCACCATCTTAACACATGGCTGTCCACCTTGAGTCTAGGCTCAAGGTTTCTACCTGTTAAAGGTGAGTTTTTCATTGCCACTGTCACCAAGTGTTTGCTCATGGTGGGAATTATTGAATCTGTAAATAATATTAAAGAGTATGGTCTAGACCTGCTATATAAGAAAAATGCAATGAGATATCTTCTGTTATGAATTGGCACACAAAATAAATAAAGTTTTACTGAATGTACTTAATCTGTGTGAAATCGCTCAGTTTGTTGGTTATCCAGCCTTGAGTGGTTGTGATGTAACTACCAGGAAGTAAACTCACCCACAACGACAGGAAGCACCTTCATGGCCTTCCTCTCCCGGCTGTTGATCTTGGCTGTCTTCCTCCTATGAGGATCGAACTTGATCTCTGCGAAGCTGACCGTCCGTACAGGGCCGTCTTTGTACTCTGGCGAGTGGAAGGGCCGGTCTGGGGATGGCAAGGTGGATGGCTCATCATTATCGATCAGCTCCCTCTCTATGATGGGCGGCAGCGGCGGTGGCAGTGAGGCCAGTGGTGGCAGCGCAGCGGCGGCCTCCTGCAGCTTGCGACAGGCCTGGATGCTGTTCTTCAGCTTAGCTTTACGCGCCTCCTCCCAGCGCCGCAGGCCACGGAACATGCCACAATACAGCAGCAGCATGATAGGACAGGGGATGAAGAAGGAGCAAACGGACGAGTACAGGACGTAGTCGTCATTCTCTAGTTTACACTCGCTGGGGTCGCGGCCTGGCACATTATTGATGAACATGACGGGTGAGGCTACGGCCATGGCCAGGAGCCAGGTGGCTGACAGTAGCACTGTCTGGCGCAGGTCCACGTGTTTCCTGTTGTAGTTGAGAGGGATTAACACAGCGATGAACCTGCAACAAGTGAGAAATTTTAGAATCCGCTGCACCTGAAATTAAATCACTGACCATCTGAACAAGCTGAGAGCTGCCAGGCTATTCAAGGAAAAATTTATACATGAGATTAAATGTTTGTCATGTTAGAGTTGATGGCGCTTTCTTAGGAAAAATCTCACATTTTTAAATTTGTTCTTTAGAAATAAGCACGATCTACTCGTGTCTCCTAGAGGATGTCCTGTTCATTACAGCGACAATATCAACAAATAACATCCTGATGATTTAGCGATTCTTACGGTCTTGCCACTAGAGGAGCTAAACACGTTTGTACTGAAGGTGGTGCTAAAAGGAAAGATCTGAAGTGTTTTTCCTTTGGGGAGCAGGAATATGACAAGGACATTTCAGGACAACCTTCATGCTAGTTTTTTATTGGAAATTTCACAAGGACACAAATCATAAGGGTTCATCAAGGGCGTAGGTGTATATACATTTATTTAAATAATGGTAGTATAACATGTTTAACCTTTGCATTGTTAATACACCAATCATAATGTTTAGTTTATTTTCTTCTGGTATACACTGTTGCATTTGTATCTTCATTATTTGGGTTACTCAGGATTTTTAATCCGTTCCACCTCATCACTACCAGCACTCATTATTATTAAACTATTTATCATTAAAACTCTGTTAATACTGTATAGTACTTTATTACTATATTCGATATTTATATATTATATATTTTTCTTATTTCTATTCCTTTTAAGCTTTGCCGAGTATCTGTTACAAAGAATTTCCGCTCAGGGATCAACAAAATATTCTGATTCTGATTTTCAGTTCTAGGGTCTGTTTAGGAAAATATTAACCTGAAAAACAAGGCTGCATAAAGCCTGACCTTAATCAGTAGTTTGAGCAATATGTATATCACCTGAGAGGTTAATCTCAAAAAAGCCCATGAAGCACTCACTACTGCTCGTTAAGCTTATTGCTGAGAGGTTGTAATAACTGAATGCAGCTCAGATGAGTGTAGAAACATTTTTATCATGTCCAATCTTCTTTCGTCTGGATGTTGATGGCTGGATGGTGAGAAAACAATGCTTAGAGGGCCTTTATTATTAATATAAACCTGAAACTAAAAGTGAGGGGGACAAAAATAGGATTTGAAAATTACACCCTTGGAGTTCATCATCTGAGGATCATGAAAGTTCACATCAGATTTTATGTCAGTCTTTGTCGAGATGTCTGTCTCTGATTGAGTGTTGAATGGATGGACTGAAAGCCCTGATACACAACAAAGAGCAAAATTTTCCATCCATCCATCGTCAACCGCTTATCGACGTACAGGGTCGCAGGGGGGCTGGAGCCAATCCCAGCTGACATCGGGCGAAAGGCGGGGTACACCCTGGACAGGTCGCCAGTCCATCGCAGGGCCACACATAGAGAAACAACCACTCACACTCGCACCTAAGGACAATTTAGGGTCACCAATTAACCTAGTCCATGTCTTTGGACGGTGGGAGGAAGCCGGAGCACCCAGAGAGAACCCACACAGACAGGGGGAGAACATGCAAAATCCACACAGAAAGGCCAGGGCAACCGGGGTTTAAACCCACAACCTTCTTGCTGTGAGGTGACAGTGCTAACCACTGTCCCACCGTGCCACCCAGAGCAAATATTTATTATAGTATTAAGTTTCTTTTGGACAAATAAAAAAAATGATTTAGTTAAACTTTGTTCCAAACTGACACAGGGCTCTTCTGCATTGCAGACAGTGAAGACAGTGACATGTCAGCCTGATGATCATCGCCTGTTTTTCCTTTCTTCCCTGTCAAATCTTTCCATCTTGTATGTTACATAATAACAACAATGATCATAATAATAAAAATACTCCATTTTCATTTCAGTTATGTTTGTAAAATAGTATTTAATAACAGTTTTTCCAAGTTCTGTTTAAACATCTGATGCAGATGAAGTAAAAAGACAAAAGTCCTGTGACCAGCTATTTCCCCCTGTTTCCAGTCTTTATGTTAAGCTGCTACAGGCAGCCAGCTGCTTCATATGTAATGGACAGACAAGGTTGGCATCAATCTACTCATCTAACTCTCTGCAAGAAAGCGGATATTCGTATTTCCTCAAATATTCCTTCAAAGTACTTTGATCAGGAGGATAAAAGAATGATCACCTTCCTACAAGAAATATCATTAACCGACATCATTCAGAGGCCCTTTGGATCAGGGGCCCCTGGTCCTGTTCAGTCATCCATCCATGAATGACAGCAGGTCATCAGTCCGTTTGATATAACCATCGAACCTCCACAGAGACCAGAAGTTTTTTCCCCTTCACCCTGTGGATAGCAGCAGCAGATGAAGTCTCTGCAGACCTTCAGGATCTGTTTCCTGCCCAGTCTGTTGAATTATTTAGACTCTGTCACACAGTTAAACCTTTAACCGCTGCCTCCTCCTTCAAAAAGCTTCAGATCATCACCATCAGTCTTCATTAGCTTCACTGCATCCATCAGTCTCTAATGTAATCATATTTTCTGGAGTTACAATGTCAGATTTGAGGAGCAGTCCTGCTTTTTAGCTTTTAGAGTTTCATCTTTCAACATCAGCCGAGAGATCAGATAATCTCATTGAGTCTCACTAACGAACGCAGAGCGATGCTGACAGTTCATCACCGCAGACGCATGCTTCATTTGGGGGCTTAAAATTGTTTGGCCTGCTCTGATATTTCTTCTTTTGGAGCTTTTACAGGAAACAGACAAAAGGTCATTGTCATATTTCCACATCAGAGTGGACTGTGTTGTGACTGTCTGACCCTGATGACCTTCAGATGGAGAGCTGAAAATCTCAGCGAGGTGTTCTCCGTGTCTTTGACAGACACCCCAGGGTTATGGTTTGATTAATCAGCTGCATGTTGCTGGATGACCCTGACCTGAGGCTGATTAAAGCGCTGGTTATTACACGAATTCTGTGAGTTACGACTGAACTTTGACTTCTTCCTTTTAATCTACTGCACAATTTCCTCTGATATTCCTGCAGGGGTTTTAAGGTTGCTGCAATCGTCTGCATGTAGATGGACTGCACGTACTGGGGTGCTTCTGACCACTCGAAACCCTTTACACTACACACCACAATCTTGCATTGATGCCAACTGCTAATCATACATCAGTGTGTGAGTAAGTGATAAAATTTAAATCCCAAGTACATATCTTCATTTTAGCCATGCTAGCTGCATGGCGCTAGGGATGTGGTCGGCCATTTTACCTCTTTGCCTTGTACAGACATTGGAAATCCCCAAATAATGAATCCTGTTGACTTTGTGATTCCCTGACTTTTCCTCTAGCGCCACCATCAGGTTGTAATTTGTGCTTTTGGGTAAAATGTTGGATGGCTTGCTATAAGAAATCCTTTTGTTCCTCTTGGGATGAATTGTGATAACTTTGGTGATTCTCTTACTTTTCATCCAGGCGTGAGTTTTATAAAATTCCACCCCTGTATAGTTCTCAAGAAGAAGAAGAAGATGTACTTTATTTTCTCTTTCTACTTTATTTCCACTGTAAAATTGCATTTTAACATGGGGGGTCTTTGGGTTTTGACTCGCTTTTGGAGCTGGCCTCGAGCAACCATTTGATGAACTGCAGGTTTTGGCTTAATTTTTCAGCCCCAGGTTGCCGCTTGGGTCAAACTTGTGGCTCAGGTTGCCCGGAAATCGGAAAGTCCTTGGGCAAGATACTGAACCCTGAATTGCCCCTGGTGACAGTTCCACCAGTTTATGAATGTGGGCGAATGTTAGTTTCTGTTTGAGCACTAAGGCTCAGTGTGTGAATGGTGAATATCATGTAGTGTAAAAGCGCTTAGAGTGGTCGAAAAGACGAGAAATGCGCTTTACAAATACGCAGTTACATACAACTAATGATTTCAACATTCATATTTTCACATAGACTAACCCACAGTTTACTTGTTTACTTGCACCTGTACAGGTGAGTACTGACCTGTCGATGCTGATGGCGCAGAGGTTGAAGATGGACGCGGTGCACAGCATCACGTCCATGGTCATCAAACAGTCACAGATGGTGGTGTTGAGTGTCCACATGCCGTCCTGGAACTGAAACCCAAACACATGCTCAGTATGTTCACTCATATTCAACATTAGCATTCAACTGTATGTACTGTACACACATAGACATAACAAATATACATCATGTGACTCTGAAGTACTTGAAGTACTATTTAAATTATACTTCTACTCCACTACATTTATTTGACTGACAATTCTGTCTGTTTTTTAGATGAATATTTAAGATCACCTTATAAAATAAGGCACATTTTTATAGAATAAAGTACCGAACAGTGTAAAGTGATTTAAATGAATCATCCTTTAACGCACCAGGAACAATTACTGCAATGACATACTATATAATAACAATTTTTTGCTTGGGTGCTTTTACTTTTCATACTTAAAATACATTTTGCTGAAAATTGTTCTGTACTTTTACTTAAGTAATTTATTTAGAAAAAATGTATAAAACAACAATCAGTAAGAAAAAATAAGGTACAAATGAACAAAGCATACATGAAATATACATACCGTACATTAGACATAATAAAAATATAAAATAAATAAATACATGAATGCAAGAGGGAAAATCTGAAAACACAGAGATATATATATAAAAAGATAACCTCTATAAAAAGCTCTTAAATGATTTATTGCAGAATTTATTAATTCACCCACAGAGCTGCAAAGCCTTTAATACGTCCATTAATTCACTTATAGTGGAGTAATTTTAAATTGTGGTATTACTATTTTACTTAATGATACTTTTTCCACCAGAGTGCAGAGGTCTGAAGAAGGACCCTGAGGGTGAAACTTGAATCAGCTGATCAGCAACTAGTTTCTGTGGTCAAATGTTTGTTGAGACGTTGAAACCAAAAACAGTTCAGATTACTAAACGCAACAAAGGTTGACGGTAAGGAGGAAACAGCAAAATATGATGAATGGATAAATATACACTCAAAGAAGACGAAACACAGCAAGGACAAAATAAACACTACTGACGGACTCATTTTGATTGTTTTCTTAAAATCCTTTGTTCCTGCGGGGCCCCTCGGCTGACCTCTGACCCCTGAGCCAACGTCTGGAGGGATGTACAGTACGCACTGTATTGAGCTTTGTTCTCTGAGCTCTGACAGACAAAGACTGATAGATTGGGATAGCTGGGAAAGATTGTTTTGTATTCAGTTAGTTAAACAAAAGATCAAAAAAGTGAGGAGTCAGGGGGGCGGAGCATCAGCAGAAGGTCAGCAAGAGTTCAGAGCTGACGGTTAAAGGGACAGTTCCGTGATTTTAAAACCCGGATCTTACTAACATGTTGGTTCCCTGTAGGACCGCAAACAGGAGCATAAACACTCCAATGTAAACATTAATAGATATGTAAAATTCATTAATAAAAACATGATCTTCATCAGCAGCGTTGAAACTTTCCATTTTTCTGTGCACGACTTGTCTTCTACGCCGACCTATAGGTCGATCTTGGCATCTGCTGATGAAGACTGTGTGATAAAGTCAAAAGCTCCAGAACAAGTGAGGAAAGTGGACCTTCAATGAAATGGTTGTTTCCAACAGGTCAACAATGAACTGTCAAACTCAACTTTTAAGCCAACCCGGATAAGAAGCTCTGGAGGCGATGAAATAGTTTGCAATTACCAAGACACTCGTCTCGGTCTGCTGATGAAGACTATGTGATGTGGTCGAAAGCTCCAGGGCAAATGGGTAGGCAGACCTTGAGATGAGATTGTTTCATCTGATACGTTTGAGCTGGTTTCTACAAACTGCAGCTGCCACTGAAGTTGTGTTAAGACTGTATGTTGATGAGGTCTTGGCTGTAAAAACATTGAACTGATCCTTTAAACCAGTGTTTCAAGTAAAAGTAGCAAAACCACAGTGTACGCTGTTATATGTAAAAGTCCTGCAATTAAAATCTTACTTAGTAAATAAGTATTAACATCAAAATGTCCTTGATTATGCAAAATAGCTCATTTCAGGAAAGAAAAACATTTTTACTGTATTATATATAATTAGTGACGCAATAATGTGTAAGCATCACTAATACTGCAACTGGAGAAGGTGGAGCTAATTTTAATTACTTTATCTGCTGGGTAGTTCAATCCATAATATTACATCATAAAGTATTAGTTGATTTCTATTTTTTATAAATCATCTGAATCTGCAAAGTAACTAATAACAGATGTTGTGAAATAAATGTAGTGGTGTAAAAAAGAACAATATTTGAGTCGAAAACACAGTGGAGAACAAGTATAAAGTAGCATAAAAGTATGTAAATAAGGTACAAGTAGCTCAAAATTGTACTTAAGTAGAGTACTTGAGTAAATGTACTGAAACTACTGGAGGTCACGAGAGGAATCTTCTTGGGTTGCCAGATTTGTGATTTTGTTTTTGTCAAGAAATAAGATAAAAACAAGTTTCTCTAATCTTTGCTTCATTTTTCACGTGAAATTTTGTAATTTTACTCTTTCAAGCCTCCAAAATTTTAATCTGAATTCCACTCAGAATTTATAGATGTGCAACTTGTGATGAGACACTGCTTTATATTCAGGTGTAACAAGCTATAAATGGCAATAAGTGAGGCTTGCACATGTTCAATCTCGCTGTCAGTCAAGATCCAAGCAACATTTGAGCATCAGATTTTGGTCCATGGTGAACTATTCACTTTCTAGGTCTCGACCCTTGAACCCTGTGAGGTCAGAAGTAAAGTAAAAATTACTTTGAGATTTTGTTGTTCTACTTTATTAATTCTCATCTGTTTTATTATTGATTATGCTGTGAGCTCATACTTGCTGTCACTTTCACCAAAAACCTCCCAGACGTCACTGATTAGTTTTGTTACTTTTCTGTGATCAGATTTTATGCATTTAAAAATCTATTAAAAAGCATTTTGTAACAACTTTTCCCAGGCAAACCTAAATTCTGCATGTTTGTATAATCTATTATAAATCATGAATGCAACACTTCAAATAAATCTTCATTTTTCAAGGAAACCCAGTTATAATGACAAAGGAAATGTGCCATTAATTCATTTTTGAAGCTAATAAGAGACTTTGGGAGGCTAAGAAATGGAACAAATATTACAATGTTTATATTTCCTGTGGCAGCTGAAAAAGTTAAACTTGCAACAGGTTTTGTACAGATGTGATAGTTTGAACCCCCCAATTTAGCATTTATAAATAGAAAATAAATGTTTGGCTTATAACCAGATATAAGGCCTTTTTGAGTGTTTATACTGTAAATGTATTTGTCAACAACTTTAACTCCTCCCGTGATGGTATATAACGACTGTCAACATAGTGTAACCTTAGTCCTTACACATTATATTTTTGGGTTACTTTTTTAAGTTTATCATCCTAATATATGTTGCTTATAAAACTGTACAGTATACTGTGGTAAGATGTATGTTTTAGTGGGAGTAAGTAAGTAATTAAGATTATTATTAGTAATCATTTCATTATCATTTGTCGCACTTAACTGTTAATTATACTATTATTAATTAATTTATTATTGTATATTTTACTGTATTTATTACTGTATTTATAATTTGTGTAACATTCAAGTTGCCATTTCATTCCAACTTGGCTCGGAGCAGACTAATTTTGGTTCCTACCTGCCATTGTTTCTGAGGGGACAGTGTGTTGTAGACACAGAGAGAGAGAGACGTGCAACAACAGCGTGAAGTTGTGTGTGTACAGTTATGCCATCTTGGTGTTGAATTAAAGCAGATTATACAAGAAGGAAGTGTAGCCGCTTATTAGCCACAGGCCCGTAGGACAGGAGAACACTACCAACCAAGAAATTAGAGTTACAAGAGTAGATGTAGTTGTGATTATATAACATACAAGCAATTGCTTAAAGTGATGTACATTATTAAAACAAATGTCTTTATATCTGCTTATAACTTCAGTGAGAACATCATGAATAGAGAGAGAAGAAGCCCAAACACCAGTAGACAGTTTCACAAAGACAGACTTTGACTCTCACACTTCAGACAGACGTCTAAATCAATTGCGCAAAGCTGTCTAGTTCTTGACTATCTTAAAAAGAACAAATTTGCCGTGAAGTCTGTAACATAATAAAATAACACTTTTTTAAACTAAGAAAAAATCCAGTTACAAGTAAAACGATTGCTCTTCCTTCAGAATAACAAACCTACTCTGGGTTCCTTGTTGTCACTTGATGTATTATCTTTTAACTACCTTAGCCTGTGTGCCTGTGTGTGTTCTGTGTTTTTACCTGGCTGCAAGACAAATTAAAAGTCAAAACTGAAGTTGATACCCGATCCAGAGATTGCACTGTTTGGGTTTTTGTGTTTCAATTCAAAGTACTACTTTTATGAGTCTGTAAGTCAGATACTACACATTAAGACCTGGTAAATTACATTTGGAAAAGGTTCAATTCATCATGATGCACAGTCTTAATACATTTTCTGGTATATGGCAGCCATTTTTGGATCATCTTGCTCGATATGACACTGCACCTGACCAGCAACAGAATGTGCCGTCAATCTCTCTCTTGGAGTATTTGTGCTAAGATCCATCCATCCATTCATCGTCAACCGTTTATCCTGCGTACAGGCTCGCGGGGGGCTGGAGCCAATCCCAGCTTACATTGAGCAAAAGGCGGGGTACACCTTGGACAGGTCGCCAGTCCATCACAGGGCCTTGTGCTAAGATGTGTTGTGAAATTCAATATTTTCTTTGAATACGCCTGGTTTGTTTGTTTGTTTCTCTTCTTTTTCAACTCTGTTTTCTGTCTATTTCTGTATTTCTGTGTATTATGAAAAATACTAACACAAATATTAAATCTCAGCACAGTGCAGGATTGTTTCAGCAGTATATTTCCAAGAGGTTATTTTGCTCTCTAAAAACTCTCTCCCTTCTCATCACTCGCTCCACAACATGTGAGAAACCCACAAATTATGAGCCATGTTTTGTCTGTATTTTGTGATCAGCAGGTGTCACTTTATTACTTCATCTAAATATTTCCATTTTCTCCTATACTTCTTACTCCAGAAAAAAATATTGTGCTTCTTACTCCACTGCATTTATCAGTTGACTTTAGTTACTTTGCAAAATCAGATTAGAAATATAAAATATAATCAACAAATAAATTACAATGTATTAATACAGTAATTAACATTAACTCCACCTTTACCAACACATTAATGCATCAATAATTATAATCCAAAATGCCATTTGACCTCTTAAGTACTTTTATTTTTGGTATTTAAAGTATATTTTGAATGACCTTTTTAATGCCTTACTGTGTTATTAGGCCTACTACATTTTACTCATGTTACCACAATGCAATTCATTTTATCTATATATTTTATTTGTATATTCCTGTTTCATGTTTGTTAATGTTTAATCACACTTTTATTAAGACACAGTAAATGTGGACCATCGTCCCTTTAAGGAATTTAAGAGATGAAGGTTTCTTACTATTTGGTGCATCCGGTTCACTTTTTCATTGATCCCGTGTGGAGTAAAAGCTTTTCTGATATCCCTGTTCTTATTGTTGCTGTTTTTCTCAGCCCTTTTCATGTCTTTTACTATGTTTTTATTGCATTTATGTTTGCCTTACAGCAAAAGAAATTCCTCTTGTGGGACGATAAAGACCTGAATGATGAGAACAAACAAATATCTAGTGTAAAAATTCCTGTTGTTTCTTCCTGTTTTATGAGCACGATGAAACTGAAGCCCATTAATTTACCCACACAATACAATAATAATGTAATTAAGGTACTTTTAATGGGATTAGGGAGAAAATTGATGGACATATTAATACATTATGATATTGGAAGGAGTGATAATAATTTATTTGTGTGGTTTTAGGGATCTTTATGGTATAAAAACATCTTACCAAGTGATGATTAAATGACATGACAGCCATCCCTACCTTCATTTTTAATCAATGTCACCATTTATATTTGAATGTCATGCTTTGTGGTTCATTTTAAGAGGTTTTTAATTATTAAAAACCCTTTTAACCCCAAGCATATAATCAATTTAAACACCCAATAGACACAATCGATCCATTAATTAATGGATTGAGCTGGTGTTGCTGCATTTAGAGTGTAAAAGACAGAAAACATGTTAGCAGCAGATGACTAATATAGCAATTAAGAGGAAAGCATCATGTGCCCCTTGACACTGATTTAATTTGATGATTGAGGGCTCTGGCAATTGAGTTGTTTTTAAGAGGTTTAATTCTGCATCTATTAGCCTACATAACTAACTCCTTAATGAAAATTATGTCTTGGTGTCCTGTAGCTTAAGAAAAAAGGAAGCACCCATTTGATTCTAGCATACTTAACTTGTTAATTTTACTTTTAAACGTGTTTTTAAGGGGCTTGGTTATTGCTGTTCCAAATGAATGGATGTCTACCACCTTAATCTAAATTAAGGTGTTTGCTGCGTTTTCATGGCTAAATTAAAGTTTATTTTTGTGTTTAAGGGCTTTTTGTTAAATGGTGAGAAGTTCCGTTAAGAGGTCGGCTCTTAAAAAGAGGTTTGAAAGGAAAATGTTCCAATGAATCCATAACACCTGCTGTGCAGAGACCCGACAGACCCGCACCTGAACTCTGAAGTCATGCAGCTCTGTGTGGCCCCTGAAAGAGTCGGGGGGGCTCTGGTCTGGATGCAGCTGTGGGGTAAACATCTAAAGTAGTCAAACCACAGACGGTTCAGGTGCTTACCTCGGAGTAGACGAAGAGCGGCAGCACGAGCACAGCCAGCATCAGATCCGCCACCGCCAGACTTACGATGAAGTAGTTGGTGGTGGTCTTCAGTGCCTTCTCGGTGAACACGCTCAGACACACTAACATGTTCCCGCAGATGATCACTACGATCAGCAGCACCCCGAACAGCAGGGCCGGCACGTTGTGTCCCCTCGCGGCCGCCTCCGGCGACGCGGCCGCAGCGCTCAGGTTGTCCGCCATGTCCGCCGCGGCTCCTCCGCTCCGTCCCGGTCCGAGCCGCAGCAGCGCGGCCAGCGGGCTCTCATGAAGGCCGGGCAGGACTCTGGTCTCCGAACTGTAATCTCATCATTGTGTCATGGAGACGACTCTAGGCCAGACTCTACTGTGGAGCTCCAAAGCGCTCCGGCGCACACTTTACGCAAAATACACCGCGTAAAACAGATTGGAACCCGGGGAAGTTTGGTCTTATTTACAAAATAAAAAAGAAATTTACAGTTAACTCATAATTATAAAATAGATACGGATAAAGTTCCGTGTCTTCTTCTTAAGAAAGAACATTTTGTGTCGTAAAGATGACAAAACTCAGAAATAGCCTATCAGGCGTACGTAGTTGACCAGAAGCGCATTAAAATCCTGAAATCATTAGAAAACTTAGGAGGAAATACATGTCTCCTCAGGTAACAAGTCAGGTTTTTGAGTGGCGACTAGTCTCTGCGGTCTGACAGCGGTATAAGTGCGTCGATCTGCGGGGGATGCAGCTTCGGTGAGTTCACCTGCAGCCTGTTAAAGGCCATCGGGGCCAAATTAGCCGATTAAAGCTGCTTATCAGCTGCGCTTTACGATGTCCTTCAGTCCTTGAGCTCTAGCAGGAGATTGTCCATCTGTCTGTTAGTCTGTCTGTTCATCTGTGTGTGTGTGTGTGAGAGAGAGAGAGAGAGAGAAAGAGAGAGGTGCGGCCTCTGCAAAAAATATCCACAACTTTATTTAACAGTTAGGCTAATTGATGGACAGCAAAAATGTAGGCCTAGGCTATACTTAGACTACTGCATATAAGCTACAAATACTACAAGAATCCTCTGAATTTATTTCCTTTCACATTAATTAAGGTATTTTAATGGACTTTTTGAAATTAACAGAGAGATGAATGGATTACGGAATTAAGAAGTAGTAGGCTAGTCAATCATTAACAATAGAGGTGATTAAAATTAAGAAGGTTAGCAAAAATACACTTGCTAGCATCAGAGCACTTTTGTTTGTTTATGTCACCACATGATCCTTATTCATGCTCAACATCCCTTACCCACTAGCGGATCTACACCCCCTAAGATTTTCAGAGTAAAGGCCTCAGAGAGATTTGGAGGCTAAAACATGTTGGTGGGATATTTTTTGCAGTGTCGAGTGAAGGACTATGGGTCAAACTGGGCAGAGAGCTGCAGGCAGAGAAGAGGAATCCCCCAGACAGCAAACTGCAGGAATCCTCTGCTGCTGTTTAGTGTCAACATCTGGATTTATTTAAGAGACTGGACAATGTTTGCTAAGGTGTAATTAGTGGTTGCAAGTGTGCTTGACATGAACTCTGAAGTGTTAAGATTGGGTGATTGTTGAGTGGGTGTTGTGTTGTTGATACCTCGTTAGGGTGGTTGTTGAGTGGGTGTTGTGTTGTTGATACCTCGTTAGGGTGGTTGTTGAGTGGGTGTTGTGGTGTTGATACCTCGTTAGGGTGGTTGTTGAGTGGTTGTTGTGATGTTGATACCTCGTTAGGGTGGTTGTTGAGTGGTTGTTGTGTTGTTGATACCTCGTTAGGGTGGTTGTTGAGTGGTTGTTGTGTTGTTGATACCACGTTAGGGTGATTGTTGAGTGGGTGTTGTGTTGTTGATACCTCGTTAGGGTGGTTGTTGAGTGGGTGTTGTGTTGTTGATACCTCGTTAGGGTGGTTGTTGAGTGGGTGTTGTGTTGTTGATACCTCGTTAGGGTGGTTGTTGAGTGGGTGTTGTGTTGTTGATACCTCGTTAGGGTGATTGTTGAGTGGGTGTTGTGTTGTTGATACCTCGTTAGGGTGGTTGTTGAGTGGGTGTTGTGGTGTTGATACCTCGTTAGGGTGGTTGTTGAGTGGTTGTTGTGTTGTTGATACCTCGTTAGGGTGGTTGTTGAGTGGGTGTTGTGTTGTTGATACCTCGTTAGGGTGGTTGTTGAGTGGGCGTTGTGGTGTTGATACCTCGTTAGGGTGATTGTTGAGTGGGTGTTGTGTTGTTGATACCTCGTTAGGGTGGTTGTTGAGTGGTTGTTGTGTTGTTGATACCTCGTTAGGGTGGTTGTTGAGTGGTTGTTGTGGTGTTGATACCTCGTTAGGGTGGTTGTTGAGTGGTTGTTGTGTTGTTGATACCTCGTTAGGGTGGTTGTTGAGTGGGCGTTGTGGTGTTGATACCTCGTTAGGGTGATTGTTGAGTGGGTGTTGTGTTGTTGATACCTCGTTAGGGTGGTTGTTGAGTGGTTGTTGTGTTGTTGATACCTCGTTAGGGTGGTTGTTGAGTGGTTGTTGTGGTGTTGATACCTCGTTAGGGTGGTTGTTGAGTGGTTGTTGTGTTGTTGATACCTCGTTAGGGTGGTTGTTGAGTGGTTGTTGTGGTGTTGATACCTCGTTAGGGTGATTGTTGAGTGGTTGTTGTGATGTTGATACCTCGTTAGGGTGGTTGTTGAGTGGTTGTTGTGGTGTTGATATCTTGGTAGGTGATACATGCTTAAGGTGGTTGATGGGGTATTTCTCGTGTTGATACAAGGTTAGGGTGGTTGCTCAGTGGTTACTGTGGTATTGGTATGGATGGGTTAGTTGAGTGTTGTGGTTGCCACAGTAATATTCCAGAAAGAGATGGAGTTGGTTCACTACAAACAGATATATTAAACATTTTAATTGTAATCAATGTAATTACATACTTTGTAGTTCCTTTAGATAAAAAATAAAAATAAAAAGTGGCTAAAAATAATCCTCAGAGTGAAGGAGGTCACACGGAGTCCCTGAGGGAAACTGATCGGGCAGACAGGCTGTTGGTCTCCTCTGCGGATCTGTGTTTTATGCTAATTAGACGTATAAACGGGTATGAACGAGTATGATGATTGATGAATGATTCAGATCCAAAGTGTTTGTCAGGACGTCAGAGCACAGCTGCTGTTTTAATCCAGTCTGTCAGAAATCACTGCCGCCGGTCAGACTGAACATCTGAACTGGGTCAGTCTGCCACTCAAGAGCTAAGATCAAATGAGATGATGCAGTCACACAACCTCACCTGTTTTCAGGTGAAACTGTTCTCAGACTAGTGGTTTAATTTTGTCATTGTTTTGGTGGAGGGATCTTCTCTAACCTGTTAAACTCATTGAATTGCGTGTCATTTTATTGAGAAATTAAGTTATTAAAGGAAAATTCTTGTGTTTTATGCTTTTATCCATCAAGGGAGCGTATTTTCTGGTTCAGTTGAAATTTGAAATACTTTTTCTTTAGCTTTTACTACTGTAAATCCTTTAAACATTCACACTATGAATCTGCATCAGAAAAAAGTAATAAATACATAGATAAATTAATTAAAAACATTTTTATATATTCAAATAAGTAAAGTAATAAGTAGCCATTAAACTGTCCAGAAACCCATTTCTATCTATTATATAGTCTATAAGAAGCATGAAAAACAACAAGTTTTAGAGTGTTTAATAACCTGATGAGATGACATTTTTACAGCTGGATCAAGTATCTTATCAGTCCAAGAATGTCAAATTTAATTATAAATATTAAAAAAGACTGTCACATACAATTTACAAAAAATAAAACTGAGCTGTTAAATGAATATATAGTTGGGGAAATTTGGACTTATGACTCAAATGGGATCAAATAATCATAATAGCAATATTTTTCTGACATGTTTCTGTGTCAGGACAGGGTCAAATCTTTTGCCACATGTTTTATCATTTTCCCACTGCTGCGGCCCTCCAGTTTGCTTCAGGATCCAACAGATGCTTCAGCATCTTCCTCCTCCTCTTCCTCCTCCATCATCACATCCCTCCATCCTGACTCTCCTGCCTGTGGCTTAGAGCAGAAGGAGCAGAGAACAGAGAAGAGGAGCGAGGATCAATGCTGTTAGTCTTGTGATATACGTTACTTCCCTTTTACCAACATGTAAGCAGCTGCAACTTCATTGTTCACTTTTAAGTCTTCTTCACTGCAATAAACTCACCAACTTGCAACATTACAGAACTTTTGGTACGAGGTGTTCGCAGTTATATTTGACAAATCAGGCAAGTCCTCCAACCTAAATGACAAAATAGGTCTTTTGTCAATGACAAACAATGTTAGTTGAAATAAAACACGTGATAAACGTTGAGAAACTGTCGCAGTTTGGTTAGGTTTAAGCAACAAAACTACTTGGTTTAGGTAAACATCATGGTTTGGTTTAAAATAAGTACATTATGGATATACTCACCTATACCTGGAGTACCTTTATACCAGTCTATAAAAATAAAACATAACAATAGACAACATTTAAAATCTCAGTTAAACAAAACATTAATTAATATACTTCCTGTCACAGTACATCCTGTGTCCAGTCACATGATGTGACAACCGTGTGTAAAGCACAGGGCATGATTTTGTTTTGTTATATTTAATTTTGTTTTGGTAGTAATCACTTTTACCAACATTGGTCTTCTTCTTCAAGGTCCCCTGAAACCTCCTGAAGGACCATGGAGACTCTTCGTTGTTCGCTGGAACAAGACACTGGAACCATCTCAAGGGCCCCTGTAACCCCATTAGGACCATGGCCTTTTTCCATGACCCCTGGAACCTCTACTCAAACACCTATCTTACCCCCTCAAGGATCCCAGGAAAGCCACAAGCATGTACCATTCAAGAATACAGGGGAACCTCCCAGACGATCCCTGGCATCCTCTCAAGGACACCATGAACCTTTTTAAACACACCTACTGTAGAATTCTCATTCTTTTCCTTTATATTGACTGCCTCTTTTCATGTGTGCATGTCTTCAACTGATTCTCTGCAAGGTTTTACAGACTGAAGTTCTCTGCTGCCACCTGCTGCTCCGCTTTAAACATCACAGTAACAAAAACACAACAACTGTATTTTCCTTTGCAATATTTTATATGTGGAACTTCCTAATCCTTGTAACCAGACCACATGTGCATATTGAGATGGACGTTCTGCACAAAAATCTTATCATTCGGGAGTTCTGGAGCTCTCTAATATCTCACAGGTTTAACATACAGTGTTTCAGAAAATAAAAAGATACTGCAAACATGTTTTCAGTCTGTTTTAAAACAGAATTAGCAAATGAGCAGAGATGCATCTAGTGGGGTTAAACACCTGGAGAAGCCAGTAAATATAATCCTGAACTAAGATACTGAGCTTGTCGAAAAACAGCAGAAGCTTCTAAATCAACAACATAAACTTTGAAATTAATTGAAGTGATGAAACTGAAGAAGACAAGCAGCCTCTGCTCAGAAGCCTCACGTGTCAGAAATGGTTCAATTTAGTTTAAACAGGTGTTTAATTTCCGAGGATTTGGCAGCTTGTTTCAAAGACACTGAAGTTTGTTGTGAAGTCATGTGACAATACATCCCTTCATGATGTCATCACTCGTCCAGGCCGATGAAGCGGTCACTGAGCAGGAAGTGAGGTCGGAGAAGGGAAAGGATGGGGCCCCGCGGGGACCCGGCCAGGCTGTATGCCTCATCTACGCTCACGCCGTGGGACCGCAGCGTCCGCAGGGCGCTGCCACAGCTTTCCCTCCCGCCACACGACGTCACCAGGATGATGCTGAGAGGGGTGTCCAACATGCCGAACCTCCGCCGCATCTCGCCCAGCTGAGACGAGAAACTCTGCAGAGGAGGAGTGTGAATTATCAGCTTTGGGAAAAGTCTGAATCACAAAGTAAAGATGGGTAGATTAGCAGGATGTTGCTGTGAGCACCTGAGAGGCCTGTTGGCTCGGGCCAGCGTCGGGCCGGATGATGGCGTCCCCGCAGAACATGACTCTGAGCTGCTCTGATGGACAGGAAGCTATCTGCTGGTCCAGCATCACCGAGAGAACACCTGGACCAATGACAAGGAGACCAAGTCACCTTCTAATATCACACTCACTGATCAATACTTGTTAAACTGAACTTTTAGGAGGAAACTACACAAGATGAAAAGGGTCCAAAATCTCATTATTATTATTATATAATTTCCTCTTCAACCATCTTTCAGATTCCGGCATCTGACAGAGACTGATCAGCAGTCAGCAGTAAAAACTCCTGGAGGTTCACATCCGTCACACATTAGCTCTAATAAATGACAAAAGAAGAAGAAACTTCCTGACCATTCTGTGATGCCTGCAGCGCCTCGTTTCTGTCTGTTGTCAGGAAGAGCTGCACGTTATTTTTCAGTAAACTCTCAATGAAATCATCCTCGCTGGCGAAACAGAACCTGCCGACATCGAGGCCTGTAAACAAGAGTGGCGATGACATCATAACAGGAAGTCAACAATGCAGTCACCAACAAGCCTGCAAACTCCAACACTGATCAACTGCTGACTGTAATCTGTCTTCTGAAGGTTAATGTGAGATTACCGTAATGTCTGGTGCTGCTGCTGCTGGTTAAAGTGAGATTACCGTAATGTCTGGTGCTGGAGATGATGCGGGAGCTCTGCTGCTGTTGCTGGCTGTCAGTGGTGATCAGGATGACGTCAAACAGCAACGATTCGGCAGGATTTTGCTCCAGCAGACGTTCATTCACTCTATGAAGCGCCTGAAAAATAAAACATGTATATGAATTAAGATTAGCTGGTGTTCTTATTGTACCCCATCTGTGGCTCTCAGCTCCAAGCCCCTTGGAGATGTAAATCTTAAAAAACGCACACATTAATCAAACAGGAGGAATTAGATCAATCCACATCTGGCGCTCTGGTGAGCATTTGGGGCAGCAGGACAGTGTATTTGGGACTGAGTCAGGATAAACTACAGTGTGTATGTTCATAATGAAGGGACATGTCAACCAGTGAGGAAGTTACTGGTCCCAGCCAAGAAATAGTCTGGCACAAAACCCCCCAGAAAACTGAAAGTTGTTGTTTTTACGCCTCAGTTTTTGCACAAATTAAACAAACAAGATGCAATGTAATAAAGTAGTGAGCCACAGAGGTGATGCTTGGTAGATTTTGTTTCTTTTGGACATATCCAGACTAGTAGTTTCCACCTGTTTCCAGTCTTTATGCTAAGCTACACTTACCGGCTGCTGATTGTGGGCTTATATTTAAAAAGACAGATATGTCTGGTATTGATGTTTGCACCTAACTGTCATGAACAGGGGGAACATTATGGCGCAGGGACATGTGAACAAGTGCAACAGTGAGGCTCACTGATGTGTTTTTAACAGTTTTTGAACAACAATGGAGCTCTATAGCACAGAGGAAGAAGATACATCAGGCTTTGGATAAACAGCTGGATCAATTAAACTTCTGTTTGGGTCTGCACGTGGAATTTGTTGACAAGAAGAAAAATATTGAACATCAGCATACTTACATTTTAAATACCTGACGAGAGAGACTTCTTCAGAATAACAGGATTTTGTTCATAGAAACAATTTGGCATGAATGAATATCAATAAGCTCACATACATGCAAATAAGGTAGGTAATAATTTTATCCACACACACACAAGATTTAAATGTATGTATTTTAGTTTTAAATTCTGACCTTCAGCAGTGGGAAAGCCAAACCCACTCCGTATACGTCATCGCCACCATCATCATCAGCTTCACATTCAAACAGTGCGCGAGATGTTACAGCGACCACCACTGCAATATCAGCATCTTTCTGCAAAGGAGACACAGAACCTGCATCTTTATCTGCACTTTTTATCTGACCTGTAAATCAGAACCAACATGCAACCAAAACAGAACCTATATGAAATGACCAGAAGACCACCACACAACCAACATGGAACAATACAATATGATTAAAATAACAGATTTTGAAGTGAAAGATAAAATTCGTGAAAAAACACCATGCTATTGTACATTTTCTCACACAATAATTTTGTTTGTTCTGTGCAGACAGACTCTTTTGAGTTTTCACAGACACTGCTCCAATTTTTCCCGAACGCCAATTTCAAAATGTTCAATTTTAGCATTGCGTCACTAAATGGTGAAAATATGTCACAGTTAAAAAATGACTGACTGTGTGTTTTAAATGATCAGGCCTCGATCATAAACTCGGCATATGTTACATACATTATACAGCCATTTTCCCCATATAATTTAAACTTTTAAAAACACGTTTGACATTTTTTTCCACTTGACGGACGTTTGTAAGCTTCAAGAGGTCACACACTTTAGTGCAATAATGGACTGCATGTATAAATTAATATGAGCTTAATCTGCCGACAACACCTGATTTATATAAGATAAGATTTACGCTATGCTCTATTATATAATTATAGTAGCAGTAACGACAAAACGTGACATTAAAATACGTAACTATTTACATGTAATCTGGTGGAAAACTGACAAATGGCAAGAAATAAAATGTGATATTTCTAATCAATGTCCGGGCTGGGTGGCAGTGTTTTTTTTTATTTATTTTGCAGGCAGAGGGTCTAACTTGCTTTACTTGTCTTTCAGGATAGGACATTCCTAAATAACTTGCCCCTGGTGAGTCTTACCTGCTTCACGTCGGTGTTCAGGATCGTGGAGACCATCTCTGCAGGTTTTAAAGAGTCTTAACAGGTGAATCTAAGAGACCTGCTCGCCGTCACAACATCGCTACCCCTGAACCTGCTGTCAAACTAACTTACTCCGAAGTTCCTCCAGAAACACAGACCCGCCTGTTCGGGTTCCGCCTTCCTGACGTTCGCTTTAAGAGCGCAACGTGATGGCGTCACTTCCTTGTTTGCCTACCACTGGCCACCCCGCCCACAGCAGCGCTTCTGGTGTCAGGTAGAGGAACACGGTGCGGGTTTTACCACCTGAAAACCACCGCATCTGGACTAACTGTCGGGACAGCGGAGTGTGGGGGGGCTGATCTGGAGCCTGGCCCGGTTTGCAGCGTGTCGGTGACGAGTGCGGACCGCTAGGAAAGAAACCAGGAGGGAAAGTTTGCTTCAGCTTCGGTTCACGGTGAGGAACTCTTTCCTCTGCTCCCTCTTTCCTTCCTTTCTCACTTCTCACGCCCTCTTTATCTCGGGGCCCCTGAGGTTTTCAGGTGTGTGCAACCTGGACCCGCGGACCGGTCTGGTTCTCGCAGACCATCCTTGAGGTCCGCAGGTAAACAGCGGCTGATTGCGGGTGTCCCCAGGTCAGGTTGTGTTCAGCAGCGATACCAACAGCCTCAGATCATACTCGGGTGAGACCAGACACTACAGGTGAATAGGGTAAACATTTAAATAACAGATATTTAACAGACATTATCTAATGCTAACTTTTGGTGAAAATCTACAGACGCAAATACACAGTGTGGTAAAATAAACACATGCATGTTGTATTTGGGGGCATTTTCATTCTGCTAGTCTGTAAGTAGACTTGTTACAGAAGCAAAATAGCCCAAAATCTCAAAAATTGACCAGTGCATGAAAAATGTTCAGTACACTGTCAGTCAGCCACTTAAAAGATAAAAGTCAGTGGCTCAGTGAGAATTGGGAGTCACTCAACAGTGAGTCTGTAAGTCTGAGTGAGTCAGTTTAAAATCAATCACCATTTCTCTCCTTCAGTCAATAAACTGTCAATCAGTCAGTCTCACCTGTACAGACAGAGTTGAAGGACAAGACAGAGCAAGCCAGTCTCTCTGGCAGTAGATAGCGTGTGATCAAACTGAACGATATCAGTCTGCCCTACATGTTCAAACAGTGTTTAAAATCAAAGCACACAGAATCAGACAGAACATTATTGAAGCAGTCAGACCAGTCAGACAGCTCGGTGATCCAGCGGCTGAACACAGCTTCAGTCTTTTTTTCCAAACACAAGATCTGGGCTAGCTGAGCTTTAACTGAGGGCTGTGTTGAAGTGTGTTGAAGCCGGTTAGCGTAGCTTAGCAGTAAGACTGGAAACAGGGGGAAACAGCAGGCCTGGCCCGTCTAAAGGTAACAAAACCCACAGCACATGTAAAGCTCACCTAAATATCACATTATATCACATTTGTACTAACATGCAGGGTTCATACAAAGCCTGTAAAGTTTGGAAAATATTTAAAATAATAATAATAACATAATCTGGTGTTTAATCACAATCAATCTTGTAAATATTTGAAATTACATTTTGAATCTATTAGATCGTGTTTTGTGTTTACAAATTGTAATATTTAAATTAGTTTTAGATGTTTATTGTCATTGTGCTCAAAACAATGAAAATATAGCAGCTCTTCCGCAGTGTGCAGCATAAACACAAAATAAAAGGGAAAATAGAAGCAAATATAAATAGAAACACATTATATACAATGGCACAAATGATAAAAATGAGACACAGTGACCTAAAATAGTGCAGTAGTGGTAAAATAGCAACCTATGGAACGGTATGTGTAGTATAGCCTATATTTGTGACTCATAGTCTGTGCATTTACAATGATATTGACATAGATTTACCCCCAAAGAACATTGAGTACATTAAATATCAACATGCTAGCATTGTCGTTGTTATTATTTTTGAAGGTATTATTTTTAAATTAGATATATTTAGATATGAATTTAACAATTCATGCAGTAGTTAGTAGTACCCAAAATGTTAACCTTGTGGTTGCTCTAGAAGAAAGGTCAGGAGGTCAACAGTCATTTTTATGTATTTTCTGGGAACCGTGAATGTCTGAAACAAATTGTCCATCCAGTAGTTGAAATATTTTGCAAGCTAAGTGATACCCTTGACCTGCTGGTGGCGCTAGATGAAAAGTCAATGGATCTCCAAAGTCAAAAATCATCTGGGAATATCTGTACAAACGTTTATGGCGGTTCTTGAAATCAAGATTTTCCCACACTGCAAAAACTGAGCTCTCAAAAACAAGGAAAAAAAGTATTAAAATGGGGGAAATATTACTTAAAATAAGCAAAATTATCTACCAACAGAACAAGAATATTTCACTTGCTACTTAAGGCCAAAAACACTTGAAACAAGTGAAATTCTCTAACATAAAAGCCGCCTGCTAAGAAGAAATATCTTGTCAGACAAAAAACAAGTATATTTTGCCTTCAATTAAGATAATTAATCTTACTAAGATTTTAGTTTTTGCAGTGCACCCATAGAGCCGTGCTGCTAGCATGGCTTAAAACCTGACTCACCGTGGAAACACACATCAGTTATCAATGTATTGAAAACAGGGTATTATTTAATGTTTTGTGGATAATTTCTCGGTGTTCCTCTTGTCTTCCAGTCTCTGCAGCACCGTTGTCAGTCATGTTCAGGTAGAGACGGGCTCCACGGCGCCCACCATGCGGAGGCATCTGGACAAGATCCGGTTCCGGGGCCAGAGACGGGACGAGCTGGATCTGGCCGAGTCGCCCTACACGTCTGACACAGAATGCACTGAGGAGGTCGTGATTAAACCTCGCGTCTCTGTCAGAGAGGCGGAGGAGCCGAGGGAGGCGGAGGGCGATCAGCAGAGTTACGCTCAGGTACGCAGACACACCTGTTGAGTAGAATTTCAACAGATATTTTCACTTGTGTGTTCACTTTTTTCTTGGTGTGATTAATTATTGGGTCAAACTGCAGGTTTGATACCAACCTTCTGGTTCATGTTGCTCGGTTGTGAACGGATCTCTGTGGCCGTGTGATGAAGCTGTTGATGTTCTATAAACCGATACAGAGACGAAGCCACCTTGAAAGTGACTTGTGAAAGAAAGTGTTTCAATATCGTCTTTTACTGAAAGTCATTTTGTGTGATAATGGGCCTCATTCACCCAGATTAGGTTTTCTGGTGAGTTCTAGGCCATACAAGAGCAAATAAGATACAACTGAGGTTTAGAAAATACCAGATGTAAAATATTCAATTACACAATGAGGTCTTTCTTAAGGGAAACTCAACATCTTATTCTGGTTTTCTGAACAAATTTGGGGGAAATTAAGTATTTGTGTATGAGGCCGACCGCCTGCTGTTGAGATGTATAATGTTAAAAGTTTCTGTAAAGGTTAATAGTTGATTTTATTTCCCTGTCCTTGTATCAGCTTTTCAGTTTGTCTGTCTGTGTTTTGTATTTCAGGCCAGTTCAGGATCATTTTCTGCAGCTCTCCAAGACGAACCCAGGACAGATCTCAACGAGGTCAAAGGTCATCTAGAAATTGCCTTGTTAGAGAAACACTTCTTACGTGAGTATTCTGACATGAACAGGGTTTCTTTGGTTTCATAATAAAATAAAATGAAACGAAGACAAATAAAACACAAAATAAAAGACATTGTGTCCCTGTTTAAATTGGCTGTTGGGTCATTGTGGCTTGTTAATTTGGAGTAAAACGTCCCAAGGCACAACAGCATGCTGGGTAATCCGTCAATATCTCCTGGTCTGCTTTATGTAACACACACACGGCTATTAATAACCCTGCTGACCTCATCTTACACACACACACACGCACACACACAGTGGTGAATTTAGGACTTTATTTCTCCTTTCATGAGGTGTTAATAGAATTTACAGGAATTAAACCACAGTCCCAACCTCATTTCCTGTCATGCTCTGCTAATTCACTGTTGGACATTATAAAACAGGCTGCTGAGTTCTGTATAAGTGATGACACTAAAATGAATCTGTGGATTCACTGTGAGAAGAGGATGATGGTCATTAATTAAAACTAAACCCGTCCCTGATTAGAGGCTGCATTTTAAATTCATGCCATTAAAGGAAAGGTTCACATTCATTATCTATCTTAAAACAATAAATTCACATGTCCACATCTGTTTGCGGTCCCCCCCCCCCCCCCCCCCCCCGATACTGGTCAAAAAGAGATCCCTTCTCAATGGGTAAAAAGACATTGTACTGTAAAGGTGCTTTTAGACCTTAAGCGTTGGCCGCTGCATCTGCCATCCAGAGAAGCCGATGTTCAGTATTTTGAGTGGGCAGCCGCAGAGTGCAACTATAGCGCCTCCGGCTGCCTCCCAAACTCTGGGAGACTCTCGTACGCTACAGGCTGCTGCTTTCCACCTACTATAATCTCATCACACAGCTAAATAGAGCAGGTTGCAGCTTAGAATTATTGCATCTAAAAACACTATTAAAGGGTAACTTTGGTATTCTTTAGCGTGTGTGTATATGTGGCTAATGGGAAAAACATTTTTTAAATTGGTCCAGTATTGAGCGAGCGTTTGGCAGCAGCGAAACATGGCTGCATCGTCATCCTTGCAGGCCATTGCACCACGTCAAAGTACGTCCACTGAAGTGCTAGTTTTTGCCATTGACAGGCTCCCATTGTTATTATAAGTGTCCCTACAGAGATAGACCTTTTTTTAAAATAGTAAGATCCTTTTTTGTTTAACCAGTAACAGTCGCTATATTGCTATAGTCAAAGCCACCAGACTCCCTTGACAAAAATAGTCATTTTACCTTTCTGGTCTTGTTTGTTTAATTGTGTGACTGTTGTGTTTTTAACCCTTTAAAACAACAAAGTCACACAATAACGCACATGAACTAACCGACCAAGGCAGCGGTAGACCAGCAGCTCCTGTGTTCTGTGAGGTAAAATTACTGTTTTTATCAATGGAGTTTGGTGGCTTTGACGAGAACGATATAGAAAAAAGGTCTATCGCTCTATACAGTTTCTTCCCATCTGCCGCTGGCCACATTAACAAGACCCCCACTGTCACTGAATGTCACGCCCCCTGATAATGTTTTGTACAACATAAATCTGACAAAATTGCACATGTAAATAACTGCCACATTGCACAAAGTCTATTTTATTCCACCAAAGCAAAGTCCTTGTACATGTAAAAACTACTTGGCAATAAATCTGTTTTTATTTCTGATTCTGAATATCATAAATGTTGTTTATTGACCTGATAATCAGGCTTTGAAGCTGATGTCACTCCAAATAACATTTCTCTTCCTTGATCTGTTTGTTCACTGCCGGTAAAGAGGTATGTAACTCACCGAACTCACTGTGGTTGCCATGATCACCAGGCCATTAGAAGCTAATATTAAGCTTCAGCAGTCTGAGTTAGTCAAATCAGGTGAATACCTTCAAAAGTTAAGATGCTTTTAGGACAAAATGATCTTTGTGTTAACTTCCCTCCACTGCAGCTCAGCAAGGAAACACTGTCTGGGGAAACATGACATTTCATATGGAAAATACCCTAAGTTTGGAAGATATCTACTTTATTTGGCTAAGAATGTATATTTAAAGAAAAAGTGGATTTTGTGTTGGAACCATGTTAGAAGATTTCTCACACAACCAGTATGGACATGAACTATCAGTGCGACCAAAAACTGTTTAATGTTACAAATGGGCATGGGACTATTAAAAGAAAATGTGAATCTACGCTTTAATGCTCTTGGCTTGTGTACAAACTTTGCAGCAGCGCTTAAAATGTCACTGCGAATCCTTGGAGGGAAATCGGATAAGAAAATGTCCCTTAAGGAAGCTAAAGGTAGACATCACCAGGTAGAGGGGGAAGAATGCCATCTGGCTCTCAGTGACTGGAGAAAGTCTGAAAAAGCATCTGTCTGATTTATTTTAGCCTCACCGACGCTGACAGCAGTCTGCTCAGAGGACTCAGTTGTTAGTTAAAGAATCATGTGACCATCCGTCTGTTTCAGAGGAGGAGCTGAGGAAACTTAAAGAGGAGTCCAACGTGGATTCACTGAAGCAGGAGCTGGAGAGGGAGCGCAGTAGATGCAACGAGCTGGAGCAGAAGATCAACGAGATCTTGAGAGCCAGGTTGTTATTTAATAAAAAATTTATTCAATGAGCTGGTTTTGAGACATCCGACAGAGCAGCGTCTTCTTGTGGTGTTATATCTAGACCACAGACTGTATATAAAAAGGTCTGGACTGACTGGTCTGTTCTCTCTGCTGTTCAATTCACAGCCTTGAAGACTCACCTTCTCAGACACCTAAAGCCACGCCCCCTCCCCCGCCACCTCCACCTCCTCCACCTGCACATGCAGGCAGCGGTACAGGTGAGCTACAAAAAAAAAACACACATTCACTTTGCCTACCTCTTTTCGTTGGACCAAATTTCCGTCTGTTTGGTCCGGACCGTGGTCCGTGGGAGGTTTCACACCTGCAATTGTGGTTCGGACCCAAATGGAAAGTCTGGACCAAACGAGGTAGGTGTGAAACCCCCCTCAGTAGAAGTGTTCTGCCTTTGAGTTAACAGTATGTGTGCTCCATGCTTAAAATTAATTGTTTTCAACGACGCTGAAGTTAGCATCCGATTCGCAGCTTCCGATTCGGCAGTTAAGGGGAAACTTAAGGGAAAGTTAAGTGAAAATTAACTTACGTTGCTGAGCGACCGATTCTCCGTTTTTTTGCACCTCTTACTGCTGTGAAAGCATTTATGCATTTTAGGCAAAGCCTTAACGCTGTCTGAAACACTTTTTTAGGTTTGAAAAAACTTTATTCAATTTGTGAAAATACTATAAAGTGCCACTTAACTGCTTTTTCTGCTTGTAGACCATATTAGACCTGATCCAGATCCAAAACCACTATGCCTAGAGCTCTCAAATCTGGACTAGATTGTCCAAGAGAGGCTAAAGATTAAAGCAAACATAGTTTCGGGTTTGTGAAACCCTTTTTTTTTCAATTTGTGAAAATGCTTTAAAAGACGATTTCACTGCTTTTTTGCATGTAGACCACATTAGACCAGGTCAAGATCCAAAACCACTATACATAGAGCTCTCAAATACTCCTTTCCTTTGCCAATCAGAGTCAGAGAAGGGGAAAGGATATGAGGCAAAATGCGTGTTCTTCAAATGATATTTGTTGGATAAATGGAGGGGAAAACATGTAGTATATGTTGTGATTTTTTTATTGTATGTATTCCAGTTTTTAGCCTTTTTCTTTCTGCCATAATCCTGTATCTGTTTAAACTGATGTTGTCGTCTTGTGTTGTCCCTGTTGACATAGAAAACTCTGTAATGATCTTGCGTTTTGTGTCTCTGAGTCTGTCCAAAGTCCAGAGTCTTCAATATGCAAATAAATAAGAACATTAAACACATAGTTAAACACTTATAGCTATAAATGCATTGATTGCTGTTGTGACCGAGTACATTTTGTACTTTTGTTGTGGAGTATTTTCACAGTGTGGTAGTACTTTTACTTAAATAAAGGCTCTGACTAATTATTTCACCTCTGATTAAGTTGGTGTGTTTATATATTATGTATTTACTATATACTAACTATAGACACCAACTACAGGCATTCACAGAGAGATTGCAGAACCTCCACTTCCCGTTACATCCCAATAAAACCCAGTATTAAGACATTAATGCATCGATTCTGCTCTTTTATTTATCTTTTTAGGTACACAGTTTGGTTTGATCTGGTTTCAATCTGTAACAAACAACAAAAAAAATACGTAACACTACAAATACAGTTTATTTACTGTGACTATAGGTTAGCATTATTGCTAACAACCTTATGCCAATAAAGCCTCAACCATGGAGTGTTTTGCGGTTGTGTCCATTCTGCTGACATCGCTTGAATGCATCACAAGTAGCAGGACATGTGATCGGCTCTTTAGCGCCGGTAACCAGGTCTACATCATGGTACATTACAAAGTTTTTGCAGTAGCCCAACTTAGTGAAATCGCCCTTTAAAGCATTTTCACAAATTGAATAAAGGTTTCACAAATCTGAAACTGTGTTTGTTTGAAACCTTAGACTCTGTGGGACAATCCTGCCTTGAACTAACCGTTCAAGGCTGCGCTAGACCAGAGAGGTAAAATGACTGTTTTTTGTCAAGGGAGTCTGGTTGCTATGACGAAAGCGATACAGCAACTGTTTTTATTAAAAAAAAAAAACTAAATAAATAAAAATGTCACCTTTAAATATTAATTTCATTGGAATTTTTCTTCTATTTACTCGCTTTTTGTTAATTGATAAATATAATCTATTAACATGTCTATTTTTGAAAGCATTCTTACTTTACAGCATTTTTTCCACACCTGCCTAAAACTCTTGCACAGTACTGCATATATATGTATATATTTTTTGGAGTGGCGTTCCTTTTATTAGTGAGTAAATCTTTTTTTGCATTGCCACATTTGCCATAATATAAAAACACATTTCCTCTCTTACTTCTTCTGGTGTCTCTCCAGTCAGATTGGAGTTTGTTCAGGTACCAGCTTGAATGAATGTTGATCAACATGTTGGTTACCTCCTCAGACAAACAGAAGGACTCTCCTTCCAACAGCTTTTTGAAATGGCTTTATGAGCGTTTTGCCGTTTATATGGAGGACTTCCGCTTCCAACCGGAGGAGCAGACGGTGGAGACGGAGGAACCGCTGAGTGCCAAGAGGTGAGGAGGAAAACCCCGAAGCTGTCTGTACAGAGACCATTCAGGACACGTCCGCTTACTTCAACAGTAAAATCTTCAAAACACAGCAGATAGACTAACTCAACGACAAAAAGCAACTGAAGACTGTATGTTCATTATTGGCGCTGCATTTGTCTTAAATCTTATTAACATCTGGTTTCTGATCCACAGGTTGACTGAAAACATGAGACGGCTCAGTGAGTATTTCTTTCTGATTGAGCTTTCAGACTGAGGGAGTCTTATCCAACACAACACGTCACATTCACAGCTGTAATGCATCAAATACAGCAAAACCATGCAAAACAGACCCGGACCGAAAGGACAGGGGTGTCCACATACATTTGGCCACATGATGTAGTCAGGAAAAGCTTTAATGTTCGTTAACAGGTTATTTAAAACCTACAGAAGACACAGAGTTGAGGTTTTCCTGTCATGACAAATGCTCAGTCTGTGATTGGTCAGCTGTTCTGTTGTGTTTCCAGAACGAGGTTTCAAACCTTTGACCAACTTCAAGAGGAACCTTTCTGCCTTATCCAGCTGGTACTCAGTCTACACGTCAGCCATCGCCTTTATTGTGAGTCCACACTGACACTGACTAGACAGTCGACAGGGCGGCGTTCAATAAGAATGAGATTTGTAGAGAAACAACTATGAGATCATACCAAGATTTTGAAGTTTCAGACCAACACGGCGACAACTCAGCGATAACAGATGTGATGAAGGAAAAAAAAAAACACTGATTAAACGGTTTTGTCTGTATTGTTTTGCACATCAGACAAATAATTTTATTTTAATTTATGAAAATAAGCACCAGGAAATGCAACTTATTGTCAATATACTAATTTTATTTGGTAAATTTCAAGTCAATGTCCATATTTTCTAAATCTCTCCCATTTTTGAATTATTAAGAAATATGCACATATTATTAATGAATTAAATGAAATTATTTTAAGGGATGTAAGGAGGCTAAGTGTGTGTGTTGAACATAAATAATGACACAATGGATATTTTGGTTTAGTCACCCTTGTGACATGAAGTGAAGTCAAGCATTTTCTTCTCGTATCAATGTGTCTTCATCTTGGTGTGTGTGTGTGTGTGTGTGTGTGTGTGTGTGTGTGTGTTCTCTACAGGTCTACATGTATGCAGCATGGCGTGGCTGGGTCATCCCCATGTTCCTGTTCCTCGCCATCCTCCGCCTCTCCTTGAATTATCTCATCGCCAGGTCAGTGCAAGTCACGCCCACTCTCTGTCAGCAAATCACAGAGCCAGAATCCGTAACCTGTCTGTATCAGATCTAATGGCAGGTCCATGCTCAGTACAGATTTTTTGTTATAATAATGAAGTTAGTGTTTTTTTTTTTTCATATCTTTCTAGCTGTGGCATCCATCTTCTAGACAGCAGGTGCACATGCGATGACAGTTGTCACCCTGCTTCTCGCTGTTAGCTCCATACATAGACTTCGCCTAATACATCCTACGTACTGCGTTTCATAGTAGAATGCAGTATGAAACCATAAACAGATTTATTTTGATGTGTGTTAGGCCAGGCTTAGCCGGTTTAGCAGAAGTAAATAATAGGAAGAAACTACACTTTATATAAATATTCATGATTTAATCTTGTGTAATGCAAAAATGTCTGTTGTCAAAAAGGTCGATTTATAGTAAATTACTAACAGTAATTACAAGAAAAAGATAAATAAATTTCAGTTTTAAGGAATATTTATGGTTTAAGGGGTTATATGGAGTGATGTGTACTTAAGTCATTAAAAAAGGACTTGAAAAGTTTCTTGTTTCAGCCGTAAGTGATTTATTCCAGTACAGACACACAAATTACTTTTTACATTCTCACACACACACACACACACACACACACACAAAGCCTTCACAGTGTTTTAAAACCACTTGATGATTCTGATCAGTTCGAATTTAAATATGTAGTGAGCAGGAAAATCTCTCATATGTACTTGCATGTTCCCATGATGCACTGCTCTCAGAGGCTGGAGGATCCAGTGGAGCATCGTACCTGAAGTCTCAGAGCCTGTGGTGAGAAATCTCTCTTCACACCTGCAGACACTTTACTGTATCCAGTGTTTTAACACGTGTGTCTGCCTTTTTTAATATGTAAAAGATCCACATAAAAGTGACCTGACATCCTACTTGGACAGCTGATCTGAGAGTGACATCATAACACGAACTGTTAAATTATGTGCTAAAATGCTGCACAGGTGACGCCAGGTGATCGACGTGTGTGTCAGTGTTTACGACATTATTGTCCTCCTCTGTTTCCCATCCAGGATCCTCCTAAAGAAGACCTGACGGTATCGGAGAAGTTCCAGCTGGTTCTGGACGTCGCTCAGAAAGCTCAGGTGAGACGTTGCAGAAAGGTTATAGCCTCCACATCACGACCCTGAACACCTGCCGACAGATTTCACGATGACTGTTTTTCTTTTGTCCTCACAGAATCTGTTTGGGAGGATGGCCAACATCCTGGAGAAAATAAAGAAGTGAGTTTGTCTGCACACAGTTTGTTCCAGGTCAGAGAGAGCCGATGGTTCCAGGCTAACATCATTTTGTCCAATCTGTAGTCGCATTTTCAAAACTCTAAACACAATTAGCCCAACATCCATACCATACCATTAACACAATTCATGTTGTTCCAAAATATGCAGTCATTCAACCCATTTTTGAAAGTTTTTCTTTACTTACAAGTTTACCGAGTGTGTTATTTACAAATGCTTGCAACATGTCAGAAATGAAGACACTATTATCAAAACCTTAAATTATGTATAAAGCATCTATGTCTGCTACAGTTGAGACTCAAAATCTATACTGAAACAGCTGACAAGCATTTCTGAATAAACATATCATTGAAACACTGAGAAATAGCTCATTTATAGTAATTTGGGTAAAATAGATCAAACAAAGCTAATTCCAGTCTCAACCAGAGACATAGACAGGTGTTGAAGGTCTTTCAATTACATACACAATGCAGTAAAAAGGGGACTTTCTGGAGCATCAATACACTAGTAAGAGCTATTAGCACGGCCAGAATCAATACGGTAAACACATTACATTTATTCATTACCTGACGCTTTTATCCAAAGCGACTTACAATTGCTAATTATGTCAAAGATCGCACGCCTCTGGAGCAACTAGGGGTTAAGTGTCTTGCTCAGGGACACATTGGTAGATGTGTCACACTGGGGGATTGAACCCGGGTCTTTCACACCAAAGGCAGGCATCTTATCCACATACCTAGGGGAAGAAGTAAGAGTTAACGGATAGTGCAATCAATACAAGAGAATTGTAAGGAGATAGAAGAAGAGCACAGGAAGTGCAGAGGTTAGGGGTTAGTGAAGTTGTAAGAGAAAGTGTTCTAGGAAGAGATGAGTTTTCTTGAGCTTCTTGCAAAAAAAAAAAAATAATGCACACATTTGACCCCTAAAGCCCAAAATGTAGGGTGGTTTACAGTAAAAGGAAACTGAATTCTGAATGCAGGTAGAGCTGAAACATCAGTAATGCAGATTTTAATGCCATCAACTGTTTGTATTTAGAAAGTCATTGTGCAATGATTGATTGATCTGGTCCTCTTGGAAAGAAAACGTGCTAATGATTTGATTTTGAGTCGGGTTTGCTGAGACCGTTATTTTGAATTTTGAAATGTAGAGTTGGTGTTTAAAGAACAAAATTTGGTTTTGAGCAGAAATGTACTATTTGGCTAATTGTGTGGTGCTGTTAAGAGTTTCGAGAAAGTATCTCAAGTTTAGGTAAACAGTTGTTAGCAATTGAAAAAAACTGTAATACTATGCGTGTGTGTGTGTGTGTGTGTGTGTGTGTGTGTGTGTGTGTGTGTGTGTGTGTGTGTGTGTGTGTGTGTGTGTGTGTGTGTGTGTGTGTGTGTGTGTGTGTGTGTGTGTGTGTGTGTGTGTGTGTGTGTGTGTGTGTGTGTGTGTGTGTGTGTGTGTGTGTGTGTGTGTGTGTGTGTGTGTGTGTGTGTGTGTGTGTGTGTGTGCAGTCTTTTCATGTGGGTTCAGCCAGAGTTGACTCAGAAGCTGTACGTTGGTCTGTTGGTGGCCTTCATCTCCTCCTGCCTGCTGCCGTACAAACTGCTGGGATTCATGATAGGTACATCCCGTATAGTATAACACCTACACACTATTTTCATTGAATATATTTATATTACTTGTGTATGTGTTGCCCCTCACCTTCACACAGTATTGGTACAGTACACATTCTGGCTAATTTGTTTAACATTAAATGTATGCAGAATTAGTTATTAGCAGATCTTGTTTACAGTTAACTCATTGATATACAAACGACTATAACAGGATTACTTACTGGATAATACTGGAGAACACTTAAAAACATGATGAATCTCAGGGAAGCTCTGATGCGTCTTTTTTCCTATGATTTATAAGCCGATTTATGGGCGTTTATACATCAACGATAATGATGGTCAATAACCCTCGGAAAATGTAAGTCACACTGAATCTAATCTTATGTGTATTGTGTCTGTGTGTTCAGATTTGAGTTTTGAATCAGCTGAGAGCTTCGCAATTTGAAAACCTCTGATCTAATAACACCCAAACATCTGATTTCAGACCCACTTCAAATATTAACTCCATCTGTAGACAAGACTTCATTATCCTTTTTTCAATTTCCCAAAACATACATTTTGTTTTACTCAAATTATTTACATCAAACCACCTCTGAAGTTTATCCATAAGTATCTTTAAATCATCAGCAGCAGAAAAACCACCTGTAAAGAAAACATGCACTTCATTTTAGATATAACAGTGTTTGTATAGTGCCGAAATATTTGTTTGTCTACAGAAACTTCAAAGGATCATTCTGTGTTTTGCAGGTTTTATTACTCTACAAATTCTGGATAATTTTCTTAATCATCCATCTGTTTTAGATTGATTTTCTCCCTTTTCCCTGAAGCCATTGGCTTCAGTCCATTTCTATGAAAATCCAATTGCAGCAGTTTGCCAGAATAAGTCTTCAGTAAGTGATCTTTGGGAGCAGAAACAAAATTATAGCAAACAGCTGCTAACTCCTACATCCAGCAGACACAGAGCAACATGATCGTCCTATTAAAGTGCTTTTTGTCCAATATTCTCTCAGACTGTGATTCAATGACACCCTGAAGAGTCCAGTTACTGCCGAATGCCTCTGATTAGAGTCTTCCTCCTCTTCCTCAGGTGTGTACGCAGGTATAAAGTTCTTCATCATCGACTTCATCTATAAGAGTTGTCCCAAGCTGAGGCAGCGCTACGACACACCCTACATCGTCTGGACCAATTTACCCACCGACCTGCAGCTGAAGGAGCGCAACAACGCCACGCTGAGCAGACGGGTCAGTCCCCACACTCTCAGATATCCACACGTGCCGCTTGCTTCATCCTCGAGTGACACGAGAACACAGATCCTTCAGGGCTGTTTCCTTGTCAGGACAGCAAGATTATGTGAACTAAATTAAAATAGTTTGTAATTTAAAGTTGATTGAATTGAAATTTAATTTGACCAAAGTGAATCTGTATTCCATATGTATTGAGGAGCACTGCACCACAGTAGTGTTGTACTCCTAAAACATTGTCAGAATGAACATTTTCTTATTCCACTATGCAACTCGGCCTTCGACAGTTCAATTACAGATTCATGTGTGTGATAGCAGCTAATGTAGCAACCAACGCACTTTTTATCAGACTTCACTCCGCTCCCTTTTAAGCCACGAACGGTTTCATGGAACGTTTTCCAATAAACTGACCTTGATCATACTTAAAATCAGTGTAGTTCTACTTTAAGTGTTTGTCACTTTTTATTGAGTTTAATATGGAGTTAATTTCCCACCCTAAACTATTAATGTGTAAATTTAAATAGTTTTACACAACATGTGACTCGAATACTGATTAAATTTAATCAGCTTTGGCCTCAAAGCTTCAGGCACAAATCTGAAACATAAAATACCAAAGATCTGATTATTTTACACCCAACAAGTCCAGAGACGACGTCTTTTTCTAGACCGACTAAGAGTTCAACTCCACTCAGGGTTAATACAGCAGATTTTCAATGGAAGTTCTGCACTGGGTTTTTGATAATCTAGTATCCAGTAGACATTTTGTTAAAGATAATCTCCTCAATTAATCTAATTATTTAAACTTGAATAGAAACTTCAAACTGTTTCATAGAACAAAATGTGAAATGTTTAAAGTTTCATATGAACCTCAGACTCCTCTGAGACCCGCAGAGGACACATCGGCTCAGATACATCATGGTTTCTGGATCACAAAACCAGCAACAGCACAAACTGGAACAGTATGTTGCTGCTTCTTACTGGTCCCAGTAGGTGGTCTCTGGTCTGGTTTCAGTTCTCTGTTGTTGTCTTTCTCTCTCAGCTGTCTGAGTGTGAACAGGTAGGATTCTGGTGTGTGTGTTCAGTAGTGAGGTCAGTAGTGTGTAGTGTAGTTAGAGATTACTCTGATTCCGTAATTTGTCCCAATACTGTCAGTAAACGTCCCGATTTCCTTCCTGCTCTTCAGAGGATGAATCCTCTAGATTTTAATGACCCAACAACCTTTCCTCTAGCGCCCCCTTCAGGTTAAACTTTGTTCAGATGTTACTTGAATTTTACCCAAACTTGGGTGCTTGTACCCGAACCTTCAGGTTTGTACGCAAATGTTTTTACCTGAATTGGGTCTTACTCAAAATGTTTGGGTTTTCTTACCCAGACCTTACGTGAGATTATGTTTTTTTTTTTTGTTTTTTTTTTTTTTTTTATTTCATGTTGGATCTTCTTCAAATTTGTGAATTTAAAACGGTTGTTTTTTTTGTTTTTTTTTTCAAATTAGAATAATTTTGTCATCAAACCACATCAACACACTGAAGGTATCCAGCCACACTTTATTAGTTAATCATGCTGATTTTACTCGAACATGCATAAGATTATCCAGCTTTTTGCAAGAGTTTACACATTGACGCATCACCAGGGTTTTGTTGTTTTTTCGCACTGTGGCCGTCACTGCAATACCTTGTCCGCTGCTGATTCGCTTATCCAGTGTCTGCCCCCGCCGCCCTGTTTAGGTTCCTGCTGCGGGGAGTCGAGTCAGCTCCAGCGCTGCAGCTCCTCTGAGTGTCGGCCGGGACGAGGACGGAGGACGATACTACAGCACCAAGAGAGGAGCTTTTCACGAAGTCTTTAACTTGCCGGAGAGTGAGCGTCCTCTGGCAGGTGGGGGGTCAATAGTGTAAAATGTTATTGCATCAGATTCAGAATGAGAGACTTTGTGGATTTCCTGTTTGTTTCAGCTGATTTAACCTGTCATTGATCCTTAGCTGGATCCTATATGTTGAACCTCATCCTCCAGTTTGCAGTCAGATTTAGGATTATTGAGGTCTTTAGTCAAATGAAGTTCCCCAACGCAGTATTTATTCAGCTAAATGTTAGGAATTATACCTTTTTATCTCCAAACATAAAGGTAAGTCAAAGTCTTCACAGTGTCAGGAATTGATGTGTGATGGAAAATACAGATCTTTTTTTTAAAGTTAATTATTAGTTATGGCCCTTTAAGATTTTAATTAAATACTAAAAACACCGGAATCAGTCAAATAACCATAATGTGTAATGTAAACTCAACTCAGGCTGCTAAAACCCCCAAATTTCCAGGAAAAAGGACACGACCTTACCTGCAGCAGGTGACGTAAACTGTTCTCTGAGCAGGTTTTTTTTGTGTGTTGTCTCAGTGTGTGAGAACGGCTGGCGCTGCTGCCTCATCAACAGAGACAGGAAGACCCCGACAGACTACATCCGCAATGGAGTCCTCTACGTCACTGAGAAGTAAGCTCAGTTTATTGTACAGACTGCTCTGCACAACAGATGATGACGATCTGACTGGGATACAAGCGTTAATTTATTTAAATGCGTTTGATGTTTGGAGCGAAGAAACGGTCACAAAAAGAGGCGGTAGCCAACTTCTCATACTCAATTTAGAGAGAGAGATTGAGAACTTTGCCATGAAACATCTGTCACAGCCGTACTGAATGTCATGTGACTCGATTATGATGGTCAACGGTCTAACACACGTCGTGTTTTCAAACTAGCAGTCTGTTAATTTTCATGATTGTGTTTATGTTGCATGTCAGGGTCAGTTAATCTGATGAAAAAGTGGTACAGTAGCTTGCTGCAGCATTGACTCTTTGCTGCAGGATTGTACACACGATATAGCTACATATTCTTCCAGCTATAACGCAAAAACACATTTGTTGGATGACACTATATATCCATCACTATCTTACAGCCACCGTGAAATGCTTGCACGGCAATGAAATAGTTTGATGGGTTTTTTTTCGCACTTAAAACATTTTAAAAATGTAACCACACCTTTTTTGTGTGTGTCACATTTACTGTTGAGCATGTAATTACTCACCTCTGATTGAGTAGGTTAAGAAGTTCATCTCTACAACAGTGTTCATTTGGATGGCTGCTGATGTCGCTGGATTTGTCCTTCCCGGAACCGGTCGCACAGCTTACATTATGTTGCTTATTAAGTCCAACAGGTCAAACAGCTAAATCAACTTCTGAACGAGAGATATTACTGGCTAATGAAGGATGCTGGTTGACCAATCAGGGCCTCCAAAGTGTGATTATGTATGCAGGTTGTTTAACAATAGAAACAGTAGTTAGTTCATTTCCTGTCCAGTCTATGACTCTGTCTGTGTAAAGGATTGTTCACTGAATCTCCTTTGTCTCCTCAGTCATCTGTGTTTCGAGAGCTCCAGCTCCAGGTCTGGATCCTCCAAGAGGAACAAAGTCATTAAACTCAAGGACATCACAATCATCCAGAAGGTATGCAGAGTCTCTGGTTCTGTGTCCTCCTCTAAGCCCAGAGGACGTGTCTGACAATGTTATGGAAAGGATCCCTGCAGAGATCGAGGGAGATCCTTTTTGTTTAACTAGAAAGAGTCACTATATCGCTCCCATCAAAGCCACCAGACTACTTTAATTTTACCTTTATGATCTACCACCTCCTCGATCAGTTAGTTTTTGTTACAAAATAACAAAGTCACACACTATTACACAAACAAACTAACTGACCGAGGCAGTGGTAGACCAGCAATTCCCGTGTTCTGCAAGGTAAAAATTACTACCCGCAAGGATGACGCTGCAGCCCTGTTTCACTGCTGCAAAGTGTAGTGTTGTCACAATTAGTCACATAGAAGCAAAAACATAGAAAAATAAGGTCCAGGTTTGAATAAATATCAACACAGCTAACAATGTGGAATATAATTCAAAGCTAAATCCTATTTTACCAACTCATTCTGTGTTTTGCTTTTTTATTTATTTATTTTTTAATGATGCCTAATAATCATTTCTGTCACAATGTTATTGCAAAGTCTGCAGAGTTGCCAACTTACGGAAAGTGTGCGTAAAGTCTGTGAGTGCGTAAGCGGAGGCCATTGGATCTGGGCCCCTCTGCTGCAGGAAGAAATGGCAGCTTTATATTCCTTATGACTTGTTCCTGTTTATTAATGTTTAGTGTCTGTGTGTCCTCTTGTTGTCGTGTCCGTTTTTTTTTTTTTTTATGCTGTGCCATAAACAGTTGCTTATGCTGATTCATCCAAATAAAGTTAATTTGAATAAACGTCTCTATCCCTTGCAGTACAAAGTGCTGTCAGTGCTTCCTGGTTCTGGGATGGGTATCTCTATAGCAACGCCATCCACCCTGAAGGTAAGAGCTGAGTGGGAGGAGCCTCATCAGGGGGCGGGCACTCTGACCTAATCTAGAGTAGTGATACAGTCAGCAGTCTGTCTGACAGGATTTCTGGTGAGTCAGACTTGAGTTTAAATGAACATCAAACACAGATTAATCAGAATAAAATAAATCTGGTCTTTAGTCTCACTTTCATCATTTAAATCAGTGGTTCTTAACCTGGTGGTCCCAACTCACAGGTCTTTGTGTTTTGTTGTTAAAGACATGTGCTTTAAAAATAAAATAGAAAAAACGGAGGTTGTCTGTTTGTTGAGCTCTCAGGCATGGTTTGGAGAGAAAAGACCGACCAAAGTTTATCTGGGAGTCGTGGACGTGGTGGTTAAAGATAAAACTAGACATAGAGACAGGTTTACAGCTCAGCTTCCCTTCTTCCCTTCTGTTTGCTGTGCGGAGTGTAAAAAGAGCTCTGCTATAAGAAATGCTGCAATTTTGGTCCTCAAAAGCACAGAATTTGTCTTGGTCAGATTATTGGCAGAGGGCCAAATCTTTAAAACTGCCTTCAAACAAATTGTTTTAGCACTGTAGTTTTTATAAAACGCTAGGAGGACAGCGGGAAATAGTGCACTTGTTGTGGACTATAAACTGATTTTCCATCTGTTCTGTTGTAGCCGATGGTGTTTGGTGCGATGATCCACAGAGACGAGGCCTTTGACGCCATCAACGCTCAGTACCAGAAGATCAACTCCACGGCTGCAGCCACCAGCCCAGAGCCATAGGCTATGTGCAAAATTCACTCCATACTTACTATAGTGCACTATATTTACTGTCCGCCATTTTATTTGGGTGCCTGAATTCCTGAGTATGTAAATGTATCCACTATATAGTACCCTCAAAGTACAATCCATGGCATTTACTCTTTATTACTTTATTCGTCAGTCACATTTTTAAGCCGCTGCTGACTTCAGTTGGAGCTGCTGGTCTGCTTTTAAGGGTTACCTGTTCAGTCATCCAAATAAATCGAATCAGAATCAGCCAAACTAACTACCAATCATTGTTCTTCAACAGTTTTTTACAGAAAGTTGCCACAAAACAGATCCCTTTTCATCACTCTTGAGTGTTTTTAATATACATTCTTAAGTTAATGGCTGGATTTTAAATAATGGATCTAATAATCACAGAAAGACCAGGTCAAATCATTGAGGAGGGTAAGGTTACCTGTACTCTAATGTCTCACTTATTTACTCATTTATTTACATCAACTTGAATTCAGTATAACTGCATTGAGTACAACAACAGTCGTGTCATTCTCACCACTCTGCTGAAAACGCTTTCAGTTGCTTCTACTTTTATTTTGTTTTAATTTGATCCCTGTGAAGCTCAAGACTTCCTGCACAGATGCTTCACATTAAAAGTCTTCCAAGGGCACAATCCCTTCCTTATACTTGTTAGGATTTTAATGTGAAACATCTGCGGGGAAACAGTTTTCTTAAAACTACAGCTGTTTTTGTTCTCAGAGTAAATCAGTGTTTTAAGATGTAAGAAGAAGCGGTACTTTCGAATTTGGTCCCCAACACAGCTTCCCCTGCAGCTCATCATGCAGCTGTGTCATGTGACTGGCTGCAGGTTGTGTTATTTTTAGTTTACTACCATAGATGTATATTACACTGGTACATATTGCGCTGGAAAGTTTACTAAACAGTGTGTTAGTGCTGAAATGAAGCAGAAAATCATTTAATTCACCTATAAATCAAAAACTTTAAACATTCCTTGCAATCTGGGGATTTGCTGCTTTTCTCTGTTTCACATAAACTGAATATCTTTACTACATATTACATATCTTTTTGACTGAAGTCACCTTGGACACGTTTCACTGTTTTCTGACAATTGACAGTGATTGATATCTGTTAATAAAGATACAAAATTATTTTTAAAAACTGAAGAAAGAACACAGGAGACACTTTTATCAAACAAAAATATGACATTTTCCTTGGTAAATTTAAAGGACTTGAACAATTCTGACTTTGACAACTACTAGTGGTAGTGACAAAATTTACATTTTGTCAACAATCACCAAAACTGAACTATAAATTGGGGCTGCAACTAACGCTTATTTCCAATATTCATCTAATAATGCTGATTTGGGAAGCCAAAATTATATAAGACAAAGACGAGCAGAAAATCCTCTGAATAAATTTAAATCAGTTCTTTTTAACGGCTTTATTAGCAGATAAACAATTTTAAACCACATTAATTTACATAAATGTCTTCAGGGAATTGTAAACTTCATTATATGAGTCGGTATTGTACTTAGCAGCTAAGCCTTACAGTTAATTTACAGTATGTGGTTTTTTATGTGGTGGTAAGAGACTGTTGTATCCTATAAATGTTTTTAAGCATTGCACAAAATGAACCTCCGCTGTTTTTGTTTGTTAGTAATTGTCTTTCACAATCAATAATCTACTTCTCTCAACTTGAAGCTAATCTGCTAAAGCTAAACTATTAACACATTTACCTTTTTAAAAGCAAGTTTATTTTTAAAACCACAGATTAGTCATCTTTTAGGTTTATAGCCAATAAGCCAAGAGGCTAAAAGTTTTTTCCCGGATACGGCTTTAGCTTTAGCAATCTGATCTAAATGAGGCACTTGGATTTAAAACTTTTAATTTTAAACCAAGATTAGTCGTTATACTTTAAGTTTTACTTTGGGCATCCGAACATCCATAAACATGTATGTTGATTCTTTTTCCGGTCACCATCGGCCTGTTACTGTGGTTTTTATACTGCATCAAATTAACTTAATTTTAATGGAAACGGTGGAAATAATTATTTTTTTTTTTTACTAACCTGCACATGCAACATCGCCACATAAAGGAAACCAGTTTCTTTTTTTGGACTCAGAGGTTTTGATGGATCTTTTCTCTTTCTACAGACCTCACAGTTTTAGCTGTTTAAATTTTTTTGCAATATTTATGACAGTTGTTAACGCCATGTTGCCTCATTTAGACTTTTTTGTTTCACGTGTGTCCGGCCTGTCTTTGCTCCTAATCTTCTTCTTAATTGTTTGTGGTTTCTTGGGTTTCGTTTCTGTCCTGTCTACGTTAACTCTGTAAACGTTTCTCTATCGACCTGTTGAATCTTTTCGAATTTAATGTTTTTTATAAAATTGGGTCATTGTACAAATGGGTGTAATTTTTTAAATGAAATGATTTCTGTTGTTAAAATGTGATTATCTTTTTTTTTTTTTTATTATTTAAGTAAAATCAAATGTCAAACAGTGACAGTCTCCTGTTGTTTTGTGCAGTACTTGCTCCAGCTGGTTAGTGTCACCACCTGGAGGTTGGATTCCTCCTCTGTGGTTTCAGAAGGAAAGTTTGCCTTTTTGTGTGAACGCCAGTGTATGAAAATTTAATGAGGAGACAAACTGACTTTAGTTTACAGTAATCTCCCTTTTAATTAAATGTCAAACGTCAGTCATCACAATTATTAACGACTCATTAAATTGGTGTTATTTGTTTGACTTCATAAAAATTGAAAGACAAGAATTTTAAACCACCTTATTTCTCATTTTAAGGGTTTATTATACATATACAATATTGTCTTCATTTTGGTTCAAGCCAAACATCAACAGACATTTATTTACACCAGTTTTTGCTCCAAGTTGAACGGTTTCAGCAGTAAAATGTGACAATAAATGTTTCTGTTAACTGCTGTTGATTATTTAATTGATTTTCAGAGTTGGTTTCAGTCATATAATGTTTTACAGTCTTCACTATCGGCAGGGAGGGTTTTATTATCACAGACCGTAAATGCAGATGTTTCTGTTTTTATCACCTGCAGTTTATCTTTTTTAGATGTACACAACATGATGTATTAATCTGTCAGCACTGAACAACCAGTAAATTATTAACTCAAAATACATCTCATTTTTTTGCCATAGGTTTTTCCTGTCAGGCAGTGTGACACTTACAAAACTAGAGGGAAAGGCCAACAAACTAAACATACTGATAGAACTTACATTTTTGGAGAAACGACAGAAGTAACTGGTGTCAAAGTACAGTGAAAGCTTATTCCTCCTGAGTTACCTTCTATTACCGTATCTTCATAGTAGGTTCAAACCACTAGGAGTCCACAGAAATGCCTTCAACACCTTTTATACATGAACATGATATCTTTAATCAGGTTACACTACATTAATTATGACACATGAAGTATTTACATAAAGAATAAAAGCTGTAAAATTTTCAATGTACTTACTACTTACTACTAAAGTTTTGAATTAAATTAATTTCAGACTTTTTAAAAATCTGTCCGTAAGGTGTGTTCAGTCCTGGTCCTCTGGAATGAACTGATAATGCAGATTGTTACAGGACTTAATGCTGATAAATGATCACTAAATTTTATTATGGGTGGTTCCTGCTATGTGTGCTTGTGTGTCTTTCCTTTTTGTGCCTCTCACAGATCAACGTTCAAAGGTTCGTCACCATCTGAGTCTTCTGCTGGATCCTCCATCTTCACCCCAAGTCCACTGTCCAGATCTACGTCATTAAAGGAAACCTTCGGGGGTTTTATCCGTGGGTTGTCGACTTCATCCTCCTCTCTGCCGCTGGATGACTCTTCGGCCTCGCTGTCGTCCTCTCGGTTGTCTGGGATAATGACCACCTCCTCCTTGGCATTGGGGTCGATGTCCTCCTTAAACCAGACTGACTTGTATCCCTCGTCCATGCGTCTCTCCTTGGTCAGGATGGGTTTCACCTCCTTCTCGTCGTCGGCCTTATCCGAGCCCGCCTGGCTGGTGTCGTCACTCAGTAGGGCGTGCAGTGGTGCTGAAGACTTCACGATGGCCTCATTGAGCAGAAAATTCCTTGCCTTGTTTCTTTGCTCTACACCATCCATTACGTTTACCCCCCCTGGACCTCCAGAGCCAGTGCTGTCTCCATCTTCATCTTTCTGGAAGGCATCATTGGTGTAATGCATGCCCTCCTTATGACCATCTGAACCTTGACCCAGCTGTGGAAGGACGGTACATTCAGAGAGAGAAGAAAACAGAGAGAGAGAAAACAATATTAACAGTTTAAAGCCCTGCTGGCAAACCTGCTGCATTAGTCCAACTATGGTCTCCAGTGAATGTTTGTTCCCAGAGTTTATCTTTGAGACAGCAAGTCTCCCAAGGTTTGGTGCCATTTTAAGAAGGTACTCATGGATGTATTGTACCTGAGAGTTTGACTCCCTGCACACATGAATCTGCTCATTAGATTCAGATTTCTCGAGCACAAATGGAAATTTTGTCCTAAAGATTGTCATAGAGGAAATGGAGATAACCAAAACAGGACTTATCCTCTTGGAGCCATGAATATCCACTGAAACTCTGATGGAAATATGCTTCGGGTTTGGCATTTTGGCTGTCGCCATCTTAGTTTTTTGGAACCATAAATGAGGATGGTGGAACTAGCTAGCTTAGTTAGCAAGGTGCGTCCAAAATGCACCTTTTTAGATTATTTAGATTCAACTTTATTGTCACTAAACAAGTATAGTACAACACAATGCAGTTTGCGTCTAACCAGAAGTGCAAATAGTGGAAGGAGGAACCTGACTGTGATAATAATTGGGATGCAAATTTTAGCTAGCGAAAAACAGGCTTAAAACAAAATGTACTTTCCTGAGAGAAGCCAACTCCTGAGAATGTCTTTTAGTACAACTAACCACTGAACATCCAAACAAAATGTTACAATTAACTTTCATGAACTGATAACACACTATGAAAGGGGTCAAAGTTCTCAGACAAAAACACAGACAGCACTCAAAAACAAGTTCACAGCTTAGTTAAATGCAGTGCTGTTAAATAAGGGTTTTCAACAGTGCCGGTTAAATGTACACAGTGCAGTGGATACGATTCGCCTTGATCCTGACTGGCAAGTTGCTGTCATAGAGTTGTCAATAACAAGGTAGCCACACCCTGAAGCATACCCTGCTTTATCATCTATTTTGCTCTAAATGGGATCATAATTTACAAAATGAACATCATGTTGTACTGAAGAAGACTTAAAACTAGCAATTGAGACCATTAGTTAAGTGTTTAATGAGGTAATAAATTAAGCAAGAAGTAGGGTAATTTTGTCATAGACTGTCTGTCTTCTTTTGCAACCAATAGAGTCGCCCCCCTGCTGGCCGTTAGAAAGATTGCAGGTTTAAGGTTGCCGCTTGGTCTGGATGGTTGGAAGACGTTTTTATACTTCCTGAACTTGCCCTTACTCAGAGAACTTTATCAACCTTTTAAACTTTGAACTTACAGAGCTTTGGAACATGCTGGCATCATAGATCTTCCTCCAGTCTGCTTTCTCCCTCCGAAAACGAAAGGCGAGCACCCCGATGACCACCAGACAGATGAACAGCAGGACACCCAGGGTCGCACCGACCGCTGCCATCTCCGTTGGCCCGTAGCCACCTAATGGTATGATCACTGCAGGACAAAGGTCACTAAATGGAAATGTCACCAAAAAACATCTCTGAAACTAACTCAACTAACTAAAAATCGATACAGCAAAGTATCGCGATATTTTCCGTGGCAATACTGTACAGATACACGGAAGCCAAGTATCATATCTTTTATTATATAAATTGCACATGAGAATTTTACTTTTTTGGTACTATAATAATAAAATCAATTGCTTTTTCAGTCCACTAGAAAAAGAGCTTTCCTTTGGGGATACAATTTAAAGTTGTAAAAAAGATATAATAAATTCCAGTTCATCGCAATATGTTTTAAATCGCAGTTATACGAAGTATCATGATAATATCGTTTAAGCTTATGGTCTATGTAATTAAGCCATAGGCAGGCTATATATAGGCTGACCAAAGGTATAACCAACATCAAAACTAGTAGCTAACTAAAGAGACAGGTACAGTCAAGCTAACCAAGAACAAAGTTAGCAGTCCAGTTGCTAAGTAAAGCTGAAGCTAACAAGCTAACGTCAATGTTAAAAGTCTTCAACTATTAGATTTTGCAGAATGACTTCCAGGGGAATCATCACCTGCTTTAACTTTAGATACCTAATTTACTTGTACTGTACAGTTTGTAAATGTCTTTTCGAATAAAGAAAACAGCTGCATTTGCAACAGCTATTTGTGATTTAAACATCACATGTACAAATAATAATAGCACTATAAATCTCAGTATAAGTATAAATTGAGAACACAGGGGGACCCAGGACTGAGTTCCTAAGGAAAGCCAGTTGCTTTGGTGTAGAGCCAAATTACGAAGGTTTTGCAAGGCAAGACTTGGTTTCATATAGTGCTCAGTGGCTTCATAAAGTCAGATTAATTAGGCAAAAATATCACAGTCAACATTTTGAGGGGTTTTGTTTTTTTTATAGTACTCAAGAACCTTGAGCTAGCTTAGCATTGAGCTCGATGATGATATATATAAGACAATATATATATCTGGTTACACTCTTTCAGACCTGACTACCGTCACTGCACGACAAAGCCGAGCTCTGTGGTTGGTCGCTTTGAATGTCAACAACAAGACACCTTTTCTGGTCAGGCAGCTCTTGAACACATTGTGAACTCTACCTTTCCAGGAACTTAGAAGTGGGCTCTGGCTTCCAGATGACCTCTGCTTCACTTTTTAGTGTATTGTATTGTATTTTTTATTACCATGGAAGGATCACTCTTATGTTAGCTTAATTTCCCTCAATGGTCAAATTTCCTATGACTGAAGCTACTGAGAGAAAACATTGACCACCTGTGGGAAGGTGAGCTGTGGTAGCTGTTGTGATGCTTTCTTCACTGGTCAAACTGGGATTAGTGGTTGAAAAACTGCCTTCAGTGGACATACTGGAGATAGTGGTGGAGATGATGGTTGTGCTATGGATGGTAGTTGAGATGCTGCTGTCAGTGGACGTACTGTGGCTGGTTGTGGATACGATATCTTCAGTAGTCTTGCTGTTGGTGGTAGCTTCCCCTATGGACGTCGTGGTCATAATGTCTGTAGTGCTCAGAGGCAAACTGGTGGTGGTAAGACCTGGGAGGAGAGCAAACTTTGAAGCTTAATTGTTTGACCTCATGTCCCTTTTTTCTCCGACCCGCAAAGGTGCTTCAGAGTGGACGCAAAGTGAATTTCCACGTCGATTTATTTCCACTAACCTGACTGCTGGAAGATTTTTGTAATAACTGGCTACAAACAGCCAATAGTACAGACATGTGCTCTAGCTAGCCAAAGGAGTTCCTGTATCCTCATTTATCAAGCTGTGTGTAGAAAGAGTTTTACACTTGTGAGAAAGGAGTTAGAAAATTGGTATTTATCAAATGTGTGCGCACAGCTGCGTGCTATCAATAAATACCACACACTGTAGAGCTGTACACATTTTATAAAACACTACATATCAATATTTATATATTGAAAACTTTCCTTTTGGATGCCAGAGAAAAGTTCAAGACACAACAGAAGAAACAGTTGTGTATCTAATGAACTTTGTACTGATAGTGCGCAGGTCTTTTTTATTTTAAATAACTTAAGGACCAAGAAGAGACACTTTACTGACAATGATGGGGAGGTAGTAACTGATGTAGTAGCACAAAACCAAATAATATTTGGCACATTTATAGACGGACTATCACAGAAAAGAAAGGACACAGCATGGCGTTGTTAGAAGTTTAGCAGATGTTTAAAAGAAAGTAAACTAACAGCGATTTCCAAAAAAAGGATTGCAGCGAACAGTTAAGTAATAAGTGCCACATGATGAGGGCAGTACACCTCAGCCAGCGGCCCTTCAGCAATCCAGAGAGCGCACTCCGGAGAGCTTCTTGTGTGCTTGGTTGTAGTTACCGGATGCCATTTGGAAATGTTAGCACTTATTGTTTATGCAAAAAATGTGCATTCAAATGGTTGATAAATGAGGCTCCTGGATTGATCTTAAATCTTAGCAGGAACTTCACATGTTCCCTTTAGTTTTTCTATTTTCTTGTCTGTATACGTTTATGAAGTGGAATCATACAGCTTCAGCCTCCTACATTCTCCTACAATTCACTCAAGCTGATGAGAATGCTGCCTATCAAAACAGCTGCACCAAGACTGCATAAAAAGTATGGTCTAGGTCAAGGTATATTTATTATCTCTGTCTCCCACGCAATGGATGAAACAGTCCCAACAAGACTACTACTAGTAACTTTACACCCTGGTGCCTCTAGTTGAAATGCTGGAAAATTGCCTGAATTCATAAAAAGGTTCCTGGAAACGTTCTGTGATGGAAAAGGACCAATTATGAACCTTTAAATTGATTAAATCTAAAAGGCAGGTATCTTTTGGTCTGGGGAAGTCAGCAGCTAATTTGTTTTCATTCTGGCACTCATGTTTGCATGTATTTGATGGTTATACATTGGAGGTTAATGCTGCATTGAGCCATATATGAAGAGGAGCCAGAATTTTTTTGTAGACTACCTTTCATTTTTAGGAGAACCCTCATGTGGAGGTTTTATTCCTACCTGATGTCACGTCCACTGAGAGCTGGGCTGTAGCTGATTCATTGTTAGACTTGTCTGTTGCCACCACCTGGAAGTGTGAAGATGAAGTTGAGTGCTTTGTAAGAAAATTAACTCTTAATCAATCAGTCACTTAAAATTTTACTGGATTTGCAAACTCACTTGCAGATATACTGTTCCCTGTGAGACATCCTTTGTCATGAATAGATAGCCGTGAATGATGGAGAAATCACTGCTCCTGCTAATGGAGTAAGTGATGTGGGGATTTAGACCCTGTTTGAACAGACATGAAAAGGTTAATGCTGCATATCAAGTAGACAGAAAACTCACTCACTTATCAAACACACAAAACAGATACAGTGAATATTCAGTTAAACTGTAGCTGCATCAGCCCGTGCAGTTAGCTGAAGTTAGGTGCGTGTTAAAGACAATATGCAAAGTAGTCTGGAACCAACCCTCTGAATCAACGCCCACATCTCAAATTTGCTGCCATTATAAAACACACTTAATAATAAGGCATTTTTAAACCCTAAATGTTTAATATTAGTAAATGTATTCAGAGCCTGTGTTCGCCGAACTTATTTGCAAGAGTAAAAAGTGAATCTTGAATGCTTACTGTAGCTGATGTTTTTGTTACTGATAAAAGTACAAAAATAATTCTAATTGACTGAATTTCCGAAAAATATGCAAATTATTTTATGTCAATATTATATAGATGATTTACTTTTTTTTTTAACTGTGAAAAAAAGATGGCTCTGCCATAAAGCACCTGCTTTTTGAATGGAGTTTGGTTTAACTCAAAAGACGATGAGATGTTAACGTTTTTTACATAATGACACAGATTATTGATCGCAAGACATAATTGTTTGCCTGACCGGCCATAACATTTACATTTACATTTATTCATTTAGGTGACGCTTTTATCCAAAGCGACTTACAACTGCTATACATGTCAGAGGTCGCACACCTCTGGAACAACTAGGGGCTAAGTGTCTTGCTCAGGGACACAGTGGAGGATTGAACCCGGGTCTCTCACACCAAAGGCATGTATCTTATCCTTTGTGTCACATCCCAAAAAAACTTTTTGGAGTAACATTTCAAGTAGAATTGACTGAATTAAAGTGTACAGAGTCTGGAACCAGTGTTTTACCCCAGGGTAGTCATCATCTGTGGCGATGATACGCAGCGGCTGGTCCTTGTTCTTTGTATCCACTGCCATGGCGCCCACTTTAGTGATGATGCCTTCATACTGAGGCCTCTGAAACTGTGGAGGGTGGAGACTCTTCACCTGAACATTGACTGTGACGGTGGTGGTGGCGAACTGATAACTGTTCATCTTCTGAGCAGCCTGGAAGAGAAAAACATGCCTGATGGAAGATTCTCACTCATAAAAACAGACACAGGTTTCTAACCACAGAAAGCTCAGGTTTGGTGATTTGCAGGTGAAAAGCAGGAATGTAACAGTTAGAAATACTTAAATCAGATATCCAAGTTCCCCCAGCAGAACTTCACTGAAGACTATCCACCAACCAAGCTCAGTGTATTTGTAAATAACTTTTTACAGCATTCTACAGTTTATGTAATGATTTAACCATTCAATTAGATGTTTTGTTAATTTGATGCACGTCCGCCGACTAAAGCCTAAAATCCACTGCAGTCTCGACGCCACCGGTTCACGCACACCTTCTCACCGGTCTGCTCTTCACTCCCGTATCCATCAGCACGGATCCGACTCCACCCCTTCATCCCTCACCTGTCTTCCCCTCAACCCTTCATCCATCACACCTCGACCCTCTCCCTTATCCCTGCATCCCTCAGCCCACCCTCCGGGCACTCGATCCGTTCTTTTCGTACAATCCCATCTCAGCTCCATTATAAGCAATAAACCATCTTAAATGTACATCTTCGCAGGCGTGGTCTTTGTTAGTGAATCAAAGTCAGAGTGAAATCACATTTAGTTGTCCCTTTTTGCAATCAAAAATAATGTCAACATGTTTTACTATTTTGCATAATCAGATAATCATTTAAGTCATTTTTAGTTAAAATGCTCAAAAGTCGCTGGTATGAGCTTCTAAAACATGAATATATGCTGGTTTTCATAGTCTCGATATTAAAATATTTATGTTTGGTTTTGGACTATTGATCGGACAAAGAGATCTGAAGATATCAACTTGGGCTTTGCAAACTTATTATTTTTATTTTTAGGGCATTTTATGGCCTAAATGATTCATCGATTTGTTAAGAAAATAATTGACAGATGAACTGATAATGAATGTAATTGTTAGCTGCAGTCTTAATAATTATTTGTTATTAAATGAGGAAAAAATGGTCTTTAGGGAAAATTCAGAAATGCTCCTTTTATGTTTGTGTGTTTAGAAATAAAACATTTTATATTTGAACAATATAAATTTCCCCCTTTTGGTTTCAGTTTTTTTCTCAAAGGAGAACAAGTCATGTGATTTACAGAGCAGACATGTAGCCTGTAGAAGACTAAAAAGGATATTTAATTCTAGTTGTACTTTAAGAGATTCAGTCAATATATTAGATCAGACTTTAAAAAACACCACATGTGTTTCATAGTAGAATGTAAATCCCTTTTCACGCGTTTATAAACCGTTAACATTTGATTCCTCAGTGGTAGCTTTGGCTTTGGTGAAAAGATGTTCCAGGAGTTAAAACCAAGCTACATGTTTGTTTGTCCAGGATACATGTAACAACATGTTTCTTTAATTTCACTAGTACAAACCCAAAGAAGCATTTGGTTGCAGCATTAGGCAACAACTCAGATGAAGAAGTAACAGAGACACAAAGGTACCATTGTTTGAACAAACTGGATAAAAGAAAGTGAATGTTTTGTCTTTACGAGCACTGTCAGACTGATCGTCCCCAACACGTCGGCCGGCTTCAGCATGCTGATGTCCCCGGAGTTCGGGTTGATCTTAAACAGACCATCACCATCTCCTAAAACACAGACATAGTGAGCTGCTTCTACCTGCCAATAATCAACAACTTGTTCCTGTAGACAAAGACGTCAGACTGAAAAACAAACCACTGTTAATTATAATTACCGCTCAGGAAGGAGTACATTATCTCCTCATTTATCCCAGAGTCCCCGTCAATGGCGTAAAGTGGTGCAGGTTTCAGTGGTAACACTCCGGTCTGCAGAGGAGAAACACTCTGATCATCATCATGTGTCTAGCACAGCGGTGAAAGTCGTCCTTTAGCACGAGCACAGTGGAGAACAGACTTTAGAGGCTGTATTAAGACCTCAGCATACTTCAATCTGACAAGCACTTTCCTTGTCAGATTGTCTCAAATCATCTGAAACCTTTCTGATGGTAGAATTGGCTGCATGTGATAATTTCTGTCTAAAACTTCTCTGTCTGTCTTGAAAAACAAGACATTCTCATTTTTCATTCTTCACACATTCTTCATTCTTTTCGTATGTTCAGCCAAGTCTAACATCAAGAATGTCTTTGAGGACAGACTGTCTGAAAGTGTACACTGTTATCCCCATGTCAGGACATCAAGTCTAGCCTGATGGCAGGCTTTTCACCCCGCCTTCCAATGTTTATATTCAGATAGTAACTGACTTGGTTAGACCACACGACAGTCCAATTAGGTTGTTTCAAGCCTATCTGGACCTTCAGTCAGGGAACTCGCTGGACTTTCCTCATAAAGAGTTATCACATCAACGGAAATGTCGCACCTCTTGTTCATTTAGGATGACCCTGCTGGTGTAGCCGGCGCTCTGGCAGATCACAGCCCCCCCTATCTCGTGCATGGTGCAGGGCTGGAACCACGGCGGTCTGTTGTCCACGTCTAAGATGGTGACCATAATGGTGGTGGTGGCGGTGAATGAAGCCTCGCTACTGGGCGGTTCCAAAGGTGTGTCCTTAAAAAAAAAGAATTATTTCAGTAAAACAGACAGTTTGACAGTGAGCCCAGGTCTGACAAGCTGGACTTAAACTAGGCTCGCAATGTTTAGCTGTTCAAAGAGTCCAGATTCTGTAGTGTCCAAACATTTTAGAGGCTTTTCTCCGTCTAAAGGCACTACTGACAATGTCACCAGATTTTGATTTGTTATTTTGACAAAAAGGTTTTAGTCAAATTTGAGTAATTTCAAATACAAATTTGACAAAACTTGTCCTCTGAGGATTTTGAAGCTAAAGTTGTCGCCATCTTTGTTGTCTACAGTTACTAAGGTTAGTGGAAAAGGCTCTTTCTATGTAACTATCCTGCAGTAAGTCTATGAAGATTCTCAGTCATCCAGGTCATAGTTATCCAACGAAGGTTAAAATCAAGGGCAACTGGACTTGGTTGAAGATACTGGAAGACGTTTCGTCCCTCATCCAAAGGACTTCTTCAGTTCTGACTGGCTGGCAGGGAAACTCAGCTATTTAACCTCAGTGGGGTCGTTATCCCGGGTCATCGATACCGCTGGTTCGTTAGTGTTCCTTGTTGCTGTGACGACAGTCGTTACAGTCGTTAAGACTACCTGTGGCCAAGACTGAACGACCATCGTTGGTATCTTCACCTGAGGTCAATAGGTGGCGTTTGTTGAGTTTCCTGGGAAGTGATGAAAGGACAGCATTGTAAGTGGGGGATAAGTGGTGGCGTAGACCCCCCTCCTCCTCAGAGGAGGGGGTCTACGCCACCTATTGACCTCAGGTGAAGATACCAACGATGGTCGTTCAGTCTTGGCCACAGGTAGTCTTAACGACTGTAACGACTGTCGTCACAGCAACAAGGAACACTAACGAACCAGCGGTATCGATGACCCGGGCCAACGACCCCACTGAGGTTAAATAGCTGAGTTTCCCTGCCAGTCAGTCAGAACTGAAGAAGTCCTTTGGATGAGGGACGAAACGTCTTCCAGTATCTTCAACCAAGTCCAGTTGCCCTTGACTTTAACCTTCGTTGGATATCCTGCAGTAATAAAACAGACAGACTCTCCAGTATAAACTCTGGCTGTATGAGCAGAACCAATCTCCTTCCTGCTCACCTAGCATTAGCATGACATGATGCCATACCGTACTGAAGTATTATCTGTTCACTGTTGACTGTGTGAGCAGCCATGTGGACTGTGAAATGTATTTATATATGCATGTTTATCCAAAGTGTTACATTTTGCCTCTAATTCACACACAGATGGTGGCGAGACAGCACGCAAGTGTCTTGCTCAAGAACGCTTTGACATGTGAAAACGAGATAGGGATCCAACCCTGTGATTAGTGGACGGATAGTTCACCCTGCTGAGCCATAGCCAGCCCATGTTCACTTGCTGTCTGAATTAACATTTAAGAGAGCGTACCTGACCTCCAGAGACTGAAAGAAACATTTGATTTCATTGAGTTGGAAGAAGTAAATCAGTGTTTAGAAGCAGCAGTTAGCAGTACTCACCTGAGCGTATAATATTAGTTTGACATTTTTGACTTTGTCATAGTCAAGAGGTGTTGCAACAAGGAGATCCGGGATGGTAGACGATTTCAGTTTAAAGCCGTTCTGCAGAAATCAAACAGACAATAAAAGCTGTTTAGATCTGCCTCCACCTGTAGTTTCCTCCTGCTTCCTGTCCTGGACCTACAGTATCTCTGTACTAGAAATTAAACATATATCTCATCTGGCTCTAAGAAAGACAAACAGCAAGAGGATTTATCTAAACTTCTGAGAGAAAAAAGAAAAATGAACATAATGTCTCACAGATTCAGATGTCAGTGTATAGAAGATCTGTTGCTCGTCTAAGTCTGTGGCAGGGAAGTGGCCCACACTTGTGTCTACAGAAGACATCTGGGACAAAATGGTACAAACAGTCAGTGTGATAAAAAATTAACATGAAACACAGTTTTCAACATTTCAATAAACCTGAAGCAACCCTCAATTAGCAGCCACAACAGCATGTTTCTGACTCTTACATGATCAGCAAACCTAAATAAAACCTATACCATAGCGTTCCTATTCAGACTTGACATGGCCAAAAGTATTTCCACAGCCATGGGCATTAACCAGCTGCTATAACACTGTCCACTCGTCTGGTTTATGTTATTACACCGGACTTTGGAAACTGGCTGCAGGGATTTGCTTGTGTTCAGTCACAAGAGCTTTAGTATGGTCCAACACTGATGCTGGACAGCGGGTCTGGCTCACAGTTCCAGTTCATCCCAAATGTGATGGATGTGGTTGTGATCAGGGCTCTGTGCACAGCCGTGTTTGACAACACAACCCTGTTGAAATTCACATAAAACGCAAGTACATAGTGCACACAGTGTACTACATGGAAGTATACTAATGGAAGTGTCCGATTTGAGACACAGCTTGTGTCTTTATGGAGCTTTGTGTATGGGGACGTTGGCTGTTGAAGATGGAAGCACACTTGAGTCTGATATATAAATGGATTCTGTCACAGTCAGATTTTCTTTCAGTGGAAGCAAACCATGAAAATCAGCTACAGATCAAAAAAAGGACATTAAAATATATAAACATGGTGTCTACATGCTTCATGTAGTGCACTTTAGCTACAAAAACAATAACCAGAGTATCTGCAATTAAAACAGAAGATAAGGTTGCAAATAAATGAATTCAGAGAAACTTATTAACACTGGAGCAAATTTAATTCAGTAAAACAACATTTTGTCATTGGTCAGGTCAAAAGACAAACAGAAAACGTTATGTTTAGTCAAATGTATTTATCAGACTCTTACCTCATTGACATTGACATTGTAGGCTTCCTGATCAAAGACTGGAAGGTTATCATTCACATTGGTCACAAGTACAACAATGTTGATGCCCAACTGGAAACATGGACACAACCTTTAGTTAAAAAATACTTCTAAGCTATTGATTTTATTTTATTGTTTATTCTAAATATTTTTGCGTATTTACTACAACTTGTAAATGTTATATGAAAATATTAAAAATAGTATATGTAGACAGTTTTACCTGGAGGCCTATGGCTTTGTCAGTGCAGATGATCTGGGCTCCATAACTTTTTATGGTCTGCAAACAAAATAAACTTCATTGCTCAACAGTCATGTTTTTCCACAGATTAGTATCTGAACAGAGATGTTGGTTTGTATCTGGTTGGTAACATCAGTCATGACCTACTGTACCTCATGGTCCAACACCTTTGCAGCTATCAGCGTGTTTCCTTCAAGAATAAATGGGTTGTTGGGGTCTGGGGGAGATTTGAACTCGAGGGTCACCCCTGGTTGGACAGTGATTGTCACCACAACATCACCCACCCTGTTGTTTTCTGCAAATTCCACAGCTATAGGAGCAGAACAGACTGTTGGGGGAGAAGAAGAACACAGGTGTCACAATTAAAGAGACGGTGGCAACGTTTAGTAAATCCAGTTTGTTCTTTCTTCTCCAAAGTCAAATTGGAACATAGATATCATGTCATACATATCAGAGAGCTAACCTGAGTTCTATACACTCAGAGGCCCAAAAACATAAACAAATGTACTTAATGAAACAGGGGAAATTAGAAATAAAAGCCTGCAGACTGTTGCGTCATGCCATGTGTACATTTAAGTGTAGTATTAGTTTGACCAGAGTGGGAAAATTACGTTATAACTGTACAAGTTATAAGTTATAAGTTACAAGTAAGTTACATATAGAGTGTGGTGTTATGCTGCGTTCACTCGAGATGGGGATTACCACTGACACCACCTGGTTGTTTGTAAAAGAAACTCATAACTTTTCAGGTGTTCAGCTGAATGTTTTTTTTTTACCCTTTCTCGTATCTGCATTTTAAAGCTTATTTTCATGTTGAAATGTTGATGGATAGCGCTGTTTGTCAATGACTTGGTGTTTGAGTCCAAATGCTTAACCTCAACTCAACCTCACCATATTCCCAAGAACTATTCAATGTCTAAGCCAGTCACAGAGGGGAATGGTACAGGAAACACAGGTAGGAAAAATACTTCAACACAAGACCGGTGCTGGTTTTAGTTCTGCAAACTACAGAGTAAATATTAGTAAATAAAATCTAAATTTGGCAGTTCTGCTCCATTATTCAGTGACATCAAATACACATAAACAAGTTAATATATTTTGAAGAGCTCTGAGTGTGACGCTCTGCCATATCAGCAGGACATATTACATAATCCATTGAATCATGGAGGGTTCTTCTGCTACCGCAGTCTGAAGGCGTCACTGTGATTTTATGGATTTATTTATAGTAGTTTTTATCTTAGGCGGCTGACAGCTTTTGCCTGTACTGCCCAGCAAGCCAGCATAGGAGCATATTTGATTAGCCTTTGGGTCTGTAAATCTTTTATTAACAGGTCAGACTTGGACTGGTTAATAAAGGCCTCTTCCATTTATTGATATTTTTTCAACAAAATTATCCATAGATCAACTGATAACATAAATAATCCGAAAATGAAAAAATAATTGAACTACAGCACTTACGGTAAATGTCTCCCCTCTCTGGCCTCCACACATAATGTCCATTGTGCTGTTTCACTGTCAAACTACTTCCTGTATCTATCACTTCAGCTCTTTCAGTGGTTTATCTAAATTTACACAGGGTGAGCAGTTAAAACTGGTCTGTTTGTACCACATATACCAGTTGGCACACTGTTATTGAGAGCATTATTTTCTGTAAAGTGACACCATAAGTCAGATAAAACAAAACAAGCCTCATGTGAACCATCAGTTTTTAGTACTTACTGTCCTGGGCCTCAGTGGACGTTTGAAGCAGAATCAGAAGAAGAAAACTAAAGTACGTCCTCACAGTGAAATGTGGACGAATCCCGTCCATGTCTGTTTGTCCTGCTGAACTGATCCTCGTCTGTCTGAGTCCACCGCTTATCTGCTTAGCTTTATGGCTGCAGTGGACTTTCCCCCATCATAAAAACATGATCTTTACTTTGTGACTAATTGTCTTCAGGCATATATCATAGTTACAGGTATACATACGTGGAAAAAACTTATTATAATATTAATTTTTTGATCATCTAAGTATTACATCTGTGATTCTCTCCTCCACTCTCCCTTTATCAAGCGTCCATGTGTCTTGGTTTCCATTTATGGTTGACAACGATGATGTAACCAACGTAACATTAACATTGCCCCTTGATTTTAACCTTCGTTGGGTAACATTAACATAAACCCTTGACAGGTCGCTAGTTCATCACATGTCTGACACAGATATTTCAGCTCACATTAATACCTTCGGGCAATTTAGAGTCACAAGTTAACCTGCATGTTTTTGGACTGTGGGAGGAAGCCAGAGCAACTGGACAAAACCCACGCAGATGTATCCAAAATGTTGATATCAAAATTACTTCTACGGTTCCCAGTACTGCTTTAACATGTCCAAAATGTTCCACTCAAACCACTATGTGTGTGGTTACACTGTAACCTTAGTTCTGTGAGAGCTCTCCAGCTTTTAGGCTGTTCCTTCGTGGCTCTGCGACGTTGGGTTTGTTCCATCCTCCGCGCGGCTTCATACTCTACCGGGAGCGTTTCAGAAGCGAGACTATTTTGCCTGCCCAATTTTATTGACTTGAGATTTCCACTTCACTCTATTGGGTCACAAATCCTCTGACTGGTTCATTTCTGGCCTGGTGCCACTGTTTATGATGTGATGTTAATGATCACTACAAAATCGAGAGAGTTGAAAATTGACTGAATGCTCTGTTACACCAGGTATCTCAGCATGATTTGTGCAGTGAATTGCATGCTTCCAAGAGACAATCAATGAGTATGGATTTTGTCAGTAGCGTGAGACACTTCTGAAAAGCGCCGTGGCGTTGTCTAGAGTGGCCTACATACCGTATCAAACAGATAAATATGAAATCAGCTGCATATAAAGAGCTTTATTCAGAACATTAGTAAAGTGTTTGTCCTTCTAACATCAGCTTTGCATCCCGTTGAACAACTCTCTTAATTAAAGTTACAAAAAATGTACTCTAGACTAATATAATTAACTCAACTTAAATTTTTTGTTGATTCATACTAATCACTAATCATTTTGAGTTCTAAATTTATGTTGTGATGAAAAAAAACTACTTCCTAGGTATGTGAAATTCTACACTGTTGGGATTTTCATATTCATAATTGCTGCAGTCTAGACCCTTCAGTTAATTTTGTAACCTGATATCACAGAGGCTTGAAGTGTTTCGGTTACAAGATTTATGAAAAATACTAAACCATCATCTGCATATAAAGACATTTTGATGCGTCTTTGACAGTTATAGTGTAGAATTATATTGCTTATTTAATTATCATTCAGACCGGCATTCATCACAGCCAGAAGCAAAAGAGGGGCACATACATGTGTCCATTTTTTGTAAAGGTGAGACCGAGCAGACCTGTCTTTCACCTCACCATGTAGAGAAACAGGTAGAGCTTTTATTTTCAAATACAACAATTGATTATATAGGAAAATGTTTGGAAATGTCTCTTCAAATCCCTTGGTGTGCATATGTACCATAGATAGTAATATATTAGCTGTTGTATTACATTGTCTCTTGTATTCACAATGGTCCCATTTCCATCTGGTTTAGCATGTGATCTATATCTGGATATTATGTGTTACTGTATTTACACCTGGTATTAATACACGTCATCCTAATCTTAATTCTGCCACAGTGTGATCTGATTTTGATACACAAATTTGGTTTTGCTTAAGCTATTGTGAGAGAAACAAAAAAAATCCTTACAAATGGTATGCATGTGGGGTGGTGATGGCTCATAGATAAGATGCTTGCCTTTGGTGTGGGAGACCTGGGTTCAATTCCCACTACGAGACATCCACCATTGTGCCCCTGAGCAAGACACTTCACCACTAGTTGCTCCAGAGGCGTGTGACCTCTGACATGTATAGCAATTGTAAGTCGCTTTGGATAAAAGCATCAGCTAAATGAATAAATGTAATGTAAATGTAATGCATGAACAGGCAGAGTTAGGTAACCTTTCTAAGCTGATTTTTTAAAGCAAAATGTGCATTTACACCAGGCTGGCTGAGATCCAATCATATGTGAGCATGACATCTCCATATGTGGTCTGGTCGATCTGTTTCTGTGCATTAACCTGCATGTGCTTTTCTTTATCCAAATAGGATATCCAGATGAGGATTGCATGCCAGGTGTAATGGGGTCATCAGAATATATCAAAATCTTAAAGAATCTAAAGCAGGCCCAGTTGCCCTCGACTCAGTACTTTTAGATATACTTTACCATGACATGGATTACTGAGAGTTTTACATCTCATAGACATTTAAGGATAGCCCCTTTTCTCGTTTCGACCACAATGTACCAGGTACTATAGAGCCAGAGCAACTAATCTCAGGAGCTAAACTAGGAACTTAAAATAAATGTGAAATACAGTTTCACACACACACACACGAAACACCTTAAGTACTTCATAAAAATGTTTAATATCAAAGATAACTGTTTCCACATTAAATATGATAACAGCTGCACATAAAGATCTTTATTCAGAACATAATAAAGTGTTTGTCCTTCTAACACCAGCTTTACATCTCTCTCTCTCTCTGCTGAGTGACTTCTACAAGTCAGTCGCCCAGTTGTTGTAGACGGACGGACACATGTACTGTTTCAGCAGCAGGTTCACCCTCTCCATGTCTCCTCCCACCCCGCTGTGGACAAAAACACAGTCATGGTTAAAGATTAACTGTCATCATAACTCATGTTGTCTTTTATATACAATACATTTAGCATAACAGACATTTCCACAGCAATAATTACATCAGTACAACAACAGAGTCATTATGAACAACAGATACTGCTAAACTTACCATTTCTGTTTAACTGTAATACTATTTGTATTCTACTTTGCTGTTTTTTCAAGCACTGTTAAGCTTAAGTCAATATATGTCAGTATACATTCACATTAAATGCATATCAGGAAAATAATGCCTTTCCAAAGTATTAAGATAGAGGAGTGTTCAGTATTTTCACTGCCATGATTAGTGACTGTAGGTTTAACATAAAGGATAGAGCAGTAGCCTCTGGGTACCATGAGAGTTCAAACACAGGACAGTCAGTTATTTTCTCGCTGCTGCATTTAAAGCTAATTGCTATGAATCCACTGTAATTGAAAGCAACCTAGATGAACAAATCAACATCCGTATCAACATCTCTTATATCCTCTGGATTTTGGCAGCTGGACAGTCCCAAGAAATTTTAGTGAGAGAGGAGATATGTAAAATCTGCAAATTAGTAATGTTTAATGTTTAAAATATATATAGTTAAACACAGCGGCTCGACCTATGTGACGTTTCAGATGTGTGTCTTTAATAAACCAAATCTACCCAACAGCAACGTCTTACCGCCTGTCGGACTAGTTTTGGGTAAGCTCAAGCTTTCATTTTGTGCAGCTCAACAGGAAAATTAGTTCTTCAACCTAATGTTAGTGAGTGTGTTTATTAATGAGATATGGAAGCATAAAACATGGGTTTTAGATTAATTTTAACTTTAAAATAATGTCATGAAATAAGAAAACATTCAATATGTTGCTACAATTAAATTGAATGCATGTGACGCAGGGCTTTTCAGTTGTGTGCACTGCGCACAGTTATATCACTGTTATAAAGTTTGAAGTCTCACACCTCTTCTTGACGCTCTCCATGCGGCGCAGGAAGGCGCAGATGGAGCTGTGTTTGGCTTTGGATCGCAGGAACTCTGCGTATCTGTTGGAGAACTCGATATCTCCCAGCTGCCTCCTGCGGTCCAGACCTGCAGAGAGCAGTTGCCTGAAACACAATCACATCAATAATCATCTATATGGATCTGAATACACCAATCATTTATCTGTCTACCTACCTGTCTTTCAAAAACTGCAAACTGAACCTGCTGTTCCTAAACAAATTCAGGATGTTCGTTTAAACTCCGAAAACTTAATCAGCTGCTAAATGATCCACTTTATATATATATATATACACACACTATATATATATAGTTTAGAGTCGCTTGAAGGGACAGTTAAAACCTTATGCTGTTGCATTTGTGCCTATATAACCACCAAAGGGAAGTGAGGATTAATTTTCTTCACCAATAAGTGTAGAAGCTTTGTTTTTCTTCTTCTTTTGGTGTAAACTCACCCGAGTCTGGCCTTGAGCAGAGTGTCTGCAGAGTTCACCCCCGACATAGACCACGGTGCGTTCAGGTTTCTGATCTGAGTCAGAAAACTCTCCACCTCATCGTCATCCCTGAGGTCACGTTTACACATTTAAACAAACACAAAACACAATATCAGCAAACAGTAAAACTTTCTCCAGAAGAGAATGAAAGGAGGATTTCTGTAATGGAGAACATATACAGAGGAAATCTGACACTAAAGAAGATGATAGTATTTAATACAGATCACTTGTTTGTAGTTTCTCATGGATAAATCAGATTTGTTCAGGTGTTGGTACCTGACAGGAAGTGATATGGTGATGTGGAGAACTGCCAACAGCAGGAACACCTGAGTCACACTCATGGATGGCATCATGAGGATGATGAAGATGAAGGTAAGGATAATGATGATTTCCTGAGGAGACAAGTTGATTTTTGAAACACATACGTTATTGTCCTTTTGGTCTCGGCTGTTTAGTTCCAATGAAAAAGAAGTTTGTGCTTGTCCCTTTCCTGTTTCAACATGATACTGCCCCCAGTTACAAAGCCAGCTCCATAAAGAAATCATTTCCACAGTTTGATAGAGAAGAACTTGACTGTCCTGTTCAGAGCCCTGACCTCAACCTCATCCAACACCTTTGGCATAAACTGGAACACTGACAATGAGCCAGATCTCAGTTGGAATTATCTCAAAACAAAACAAATCTCAATACCTCACTCACATCAGCCAAATTTAATGTAATTAATCTTAAATTTAATGGATATGCTGTTATATTTTCAATGCACAGTATTTTTACCCTAACACAACCAAGTCTGTATTCATACCATATCCTTGATGATGTGAAAGTGCAGTATCTTTTCCATCTCTACCTTCCATCCCATATTACATCAACTAGAAGAGACTCACCTTGACAGATCCTGCTCAGAGACCAGATCAGACCTGCAGACTGGCTGTCAGGGTCCAGGCCACCTCCTTTTGTACCCCTTCAGATATTGACCTTCTGACAGACTTCACTCTAATTTTATTGGTCTGATTATTTACTGTGTCAACATTCTGAGTTGGGATTCGGATTTCCCAACCGCAGCGTTGGTTTGTTTGCTTCCTGAACTCTTAATGAAATTATTGGATCTCACTTCCTTAACGAGCTATAATCACCTGTGAGAGCTGCCTGCTATTTGCTCACACGAAATCATCCTCACATCAATTCAGTTTATTGATCCATAAACACACATTCATGTGTTTTTATTACTTTGATTTTGTGCTTTTATTTGCTCTCTCACAACTGTTCAGTGGAGAACTTGGCCTATCAGGTTATCAGGTTTTTGCTTCTTCGTGGGTTCTGACCTCTTTCACATACAGATGACGGTGTTTGCAAACATCATTTATTTGTTACTTGTTTTAATCCACCTAATTTCTGGTCTTATGATATTTTGCATAAATTATGGGCAAAACTTCCAGCTATTTCTTTCCCTGAACCAGGTGCAACTTTGGCATCTAAGAGAGTTGGAGGCGTGCTACAGGTTTCTTCTCTTTTCTTAGATATTTGGGGGAAATAAATGATGTGGGAGCATAGCCTGTCACACTATAAATGGGATATCGTGATCATAACTCTGCCTTCTACTAGAGAATGTTGAAATGTCCTGATTTCGCCTCGGATAACGTACAATAGCATGTCTAGCTATTTACTTACCAAACCTAACTTATCTGAATTTAAAAAGTAACCAGTAACATAAGTTAACAAATAAATAAGAGAAATAAGAAGCAGGAAAATCTCACTCTGAAATGTAGCGGAGTAGAAGTATGTAGCAGATAAACGAGATGTTTTCACATTTATAACCTGTCTACACACACACCTGCTTTGACACAGCACCCCATGTGTTGCTATGGAAATCATTCCCCATTTTAGGCTCAAATCAGACTTCTATTTCAGTAATTTTTCATTTTGGGTAACACTTTATTTGGATCCCCTCTGCATTTATATGAACAGTATATTATACATGTAATAAATGGTTTATAACTAACTTATATTTGTTTATAACTAATGTAGTTATAAGCAAATATATGATTATTTGAGTGATGTGAGTATTTCTGTATTTCCCGTGTTTTTTTGGGTTTCCCCCACCATCAAAAATATATATGTTAGGTTAATTTCTCCAGTTGATTAGATCTACTGTTGGTCTCCGGGCACTGCACAATGGATGCCCACTGCTCATAATTAAGATGGTTTAAATGCAGAGAATGAATTTCGCATATGTTGTACTGTGTATTATTGTATATGTGAAAATAAAAGTTGATTTAAATTTGATTTTAAAACTGGTATAACCAGATCATGAATGACAATGTGGTAAAACACAGTTGTAATAATATAAAATGTTTCCATAGCTGAAGTTATAAATATAAATTGTAATTGTATATAAATTGAAAACAAGAATGCAGGAGAAACAAGCACTTTGTACACAGAATAGTTGAATATGTTTTTAATTCCTGATAATGAAACCGCTACAGCAGAAAGTAAAGATCAGTTACAGCTCAGATACAGCTAGAGGTCGACTGATTGACTAGATTAAACTAGTTTTTAGTGTCAGATTAAACTGCAGTGTTGAAAATAAAAATAGAGGTTTAAATTAAGAGAAACTAACTTCGCAGAGCTTCTTCTGTAAAAGTTTGACATTTTCACTTTGAGAACTAAAGCTGGACATTTGACTTTATTGACATTTTTTGGAAATAATCAACCACAAAGATAATTAAGATTAATCAATAGTAAAAATAATCATTATTTGCAGTGCTAATCCTTCATTCTACACGTTCTACATGCTGTTAGCGATATACCTAACACAACACTTGTTTCACTCTGCTTAAAGGTCCCGGTCACAACAGCATATTTATCAGCAAAATTTCATGACAAAATCTGTTGATTTCATTGTCTGATCTCTGCAATCAGTGGATTCACTACTGAGAGTGAAACAAATTAGTCAGAAGCCATTGCGTAGACTTCAAACTGGCTATTAGGGCCATTGTAGGTCAAATACATAAATAACAGAGCTGGGGGTAAAATTCTGAGAAAAACTCAGAAATTAAAGTCTGTAAATTTACAAGAAAAAAACAAAAAAAATTTATGAGAAAAAAAACTTGAATATTCTCTGGGATAATAAAGCCACAAATTTATGAGAAAAAAAAGCTCAGAAAATAATAATTATTAAAGGCTCTGTACTCAAGGTATTCAGATGTTAATAACAGCCATCACGAATAAGCTACTTTCACCAACCAGTGTTATGAGATACTTCCTTTTGTTCAAAGACCTAAAGCATAAAAAATTGAGAAAGAACTACAGACATTTATAAGTGACGTGTGACATATACTTTCTCCGCCTATCTGGAATCTCCACCTCTTCTCATATGTCTGTACTGTGTCTTGTCCTGTATTTAAGTATATACGTTTTTTTCCTTGTACATTTATAATCCGATATTCTGAGTTTTTTTCTCTGAATATTACCGCCTTCTTCAAATTCTGTTATTGCTTTTCAACCTACAATGGCCATAATACATCTTAGTATTTGAGGGAATGGAAAGCTGGGGAGTATAAATTTGAGGAGGCTATCGTATCAGCTTTGTGGCACTATTTAGTTTTATATAACCCTGCTCGAGTATAAACTGCTCCACAAAGAGATGCAGCATTGTCTGCAGTCACCCAGCAGTGCAAATAGGTTCCCTTCATTTACTGTGCATTACTGTTCTGTTAGCTACATGGCTAGCTTGCTAGAAAGCATGTCTGCAGAATTTGAAGAATAAAACGTTGTTTTTATCACCAAGCTTGTAGCACCAACTGAAGATGCGCAGATGAATTTTGCTGTCACTTTCTGGTGTGGCCACGCCCTTTTGGTTTTTACGATGTTTGAACGCGACATTAGCTAGTAGCAAACCAGCTAGCTTGGCAACTAGCTATTCTGGCGGGACTGTTTAACTACTGCTTGTCAGAAATTGCGCTAGCTAGGTGGGCTATTAGTATTTTGCTCACCAGCTACAGTACCTTGCCAGTTATTTACTATGTCACCAAGATTTTAGCATCGACTACTTCCCAAAAACATGCAAATGACTTCCAGTTTTTAGTTTAGCCGAGCACTAAATATATGGTGTATAAGCACAAACGCATTTAGTTCATAATTACAGCTTATTTCACTTCTGTTCAGTCGACCTCTGTATGCATGTTTAACTCTTTTGGTTTGTTTTTGTTTGGGGGTTTCACAGCAAACATTCAGACTCTGATTGTACATCAGTATAACATTATCAATCAACATGAGACAGACGGCTGAACTATAGGTCTTCACAGGTCCACTCGGTTCCTAAGACCCAACTTGGGCCGGGTTCGCATTATTGTCAGTGTTGGTGTTCTCTCTCCTGGTCAGGTCCATCACATACAGGTCTATAGGTTTTCTGTAGATAAGTACTTTTTTGACCGGGTCCAAGATTTTGGACCTGTGAAGAACCCAAGGCTGAGCTACAACTGTAGCAGACACAGATTGCTGGTATTTGGTCAAATTAGGATCAGGAGAAAGCTGGAAGCTGACTGATTGGTGTTTGGAGCACAGTGAGCTGCTACTGGTTCCCTCTGTGAGTTTGAGTCCAGCTCTACATCAGCAGAGAGGAAACAGGACTGCTGGTCAACAAACAAACAGACAAAAAAACCAAACAGCATCTGCAGCCCGACAGTCCAGTGCTGATACTCTACTTCCTGTCCGGTTCATCTTAGAGTCAACTTTAAATTATTTTTCCGAACACAGGCAGAGTGCTAGATGGATTAAATGGAAACAATCATATTATTTCTAATCTATTAAAATGTATATTTTGTATGACATTGTCCCCTAGAAGCTGCAATATCTGCAAACATAATATCCTTATGATTTAGATATTAACAGTTTGTCCTGAGGGTGGTGCTGGAGGAAAGCTGATGGAGTCATTAAAATCTTAATGGTTCATTCTCTTGAAAACAGGAATGAGATCGGGACGTTATGATGATCTGAAAAGATGTGTGGACCCAATTGTTGGACAGACTGACTTCACCATCCTGACGTATATTGAAGAAAATGAAACTTCACTTTGAATAATATTAGTAAACATTACAGACAATGCTGCTACATGTAGATTGTATTTAGTAAAAAGAATTAACCCTGTGGACACAGTGAGCAGATGGCTGAATATCAACACTGGACTTTACAATGAAGCTTCCTTCAACAAAACCAGAATTAAAACAAACTTCAAAATCAATATGAACCTTCCACTCATACAAAAGAAAATCCTAACAGGGTTTTGTATCTAACAAGTGAAACAAGCATTTTTCACATTGCGATGGATTAATTTATACACAGACAGGTTTTTTTGGAAACTACATCACCAAAAGTACTTGGAGTACCCTGTCAATACACTTCACTGCAGTGACAAACAAGGCTACATCTACTTATGACCCATTTAGCTTTGAGCTAAATGCTAACAAGCAAATGTTTATCCCCTAGATATTCACCGTCTTAGTTTAGTGTGGTAGCATGTTAGAGCTGAGGCTGCTGGGAATTCTCATTGAAACATAAGTTTGTGTAGCAGAAACACGTTATTTTCCTCAGATTATTTTTGCGGCTCCACGTTGGGAACCACTGCTTTAGTGTTCTTTTGACCTTTTCTTGTATGTGAATCTTATTTGATGGGTGGAAGGTTCAAATGATTATCCTGAGGTTTCACAAAACAAAATTAACCACACAGTTCAACACATCACGTCACACTGCGAGTAAATTGAAGTTCCAGCTACAAACTTAAGCTAATTTTTGAAGACAGAATATCTGCACAGTTTGTGTGAAACATTGTGTTAAAGCGCTACTTCTTCGGGTGATTTGCTGCATTTGCTCTGAGTTCATTTGCATATTGAGCAGAAATGGAAGATTAAAAACAAAACAATCGTGTGTGCTGCTCAGCCACGACCAGCTTGACTGACACATTTTCTTGACAAAAATTGCAATTTGAGATTCGACTTTTTTTCCTAAATAGCTGGGAATTAAAATATGTAAAAATACAATTTCATAGTTAGAACTGAGCTCTGGTCTTCCTGGAGACGACGGGAACACGGAGGACTGGAGACAACTCTAACTGACCTGTTTGAGAATCAGAAAGTAATCCTCACACGGCTTCAGAACAGAGACGGTGACTGTGAAAGAACAGGGGAAAATAAATCTCCAGTCAGCAAGTACCAATCATGTGAAGGGGATTTACTTTCTACTTTTCATAAATGTGAATCAACCCCTGACCTCTAATGATCACATGACCCTACCAATGCCTGGCAGGTGTCTGGCATCCTTAAAACATGTAACAGATAATTCCAAATCTAGGAACATCTAGAGTATTTTAAGTAATTAAAAACAACCCAACAACAACGTCTAATCCATTTTTATGCCAAGTGAGTAGGAAAACTCTGTTCTGTTCATATGGGCTGCAGTCGAGACAAGTCCTAGTCAAAACATCCATAAAGCAAAGACAAGTCAGAGATATCAGAAAAAACATCTTGTGACCGGCCTCGAACCGAGACTACAGCAGTAGTCTGACTAATGTTTAGATTATTTCTTTACAAAGAAAATTCATATAGACATTAGTCAGAGCATTTCAAAGCAGTTTCAAGTCCAAATAGGGGTCACGTCAAGACCGCAGTAACATTAGGCCAAGAACAAAACAAGTCAGACTCAAAACACCCACAAGACTGAGAAATGGCTGTAATGAAACACTCACCAAGACGGAAACGAGGTAACAGATGGGACTTGAGTCCTCCAGCACAGTAGAGAATGTGGAAAAATAATATAAATACAAAAGGGGATATAGACATTCGTCAACCGGCCAAGTAACCTCTTATACTCCACTAGGACGCCTACGTGAATGGAAATGAGTTCTATGGGTATCTCCTTCTCTTCCCTTTACAGACATGCCCTCTTTATACTAATGCAGTTTTTTGCAAAACAGTATAAAAAGTTATTTTCGCCTGTTCTAAAAATGTTTTTTGAATATTTATGCATGATGTCTGTAGGATGGTAAACAGTATTGGAAATGCATAAACTGGGATTTGGTTTTGAATAAGGTAGTAATCCCTGTTGATTGATCCCTGGAGGGATCTCTTTTTGTTATCTTGTATTCATGTTTTCGCAGCACCCACGTACCCAACTTTTGTTGTTAAACCTTGTACTAAACCCTCTTGTGAATAAATAGCTTTTCCACCTTACCAAAAACACCTGCTTTATGCGTACGTCCCTTACCCCTAGTGAGCTGGGACGTAACAGTGCTGATAGCAGCCACTTCATTTAGCTACAACCATTTTTGTTGTATAAAATAATCTACTGTGACCTCTAGGATAATCACAGCCTCATGAAGCTTTACAACCACCACTAGAGGAACCCCCACCCCCCAAAAAGACTAAAATGGGTCAATGGTAGGGAGGAGGAGTCAAAGCTGAGTCCAAATGGGGTCAACACCCATAACCGTTGACTGAAAGCAGCCAGTCTACTAAAGAAAGCCTCTAGACTTGGTCAAAACAAAAGTCTGTAACAGGTGCGACAGGTGGCTGACACTGAAACAAATCCGAGTCACAACACCCACAAGACCCGATTCAAGTCCAAATGCAGGCACCTACAACACCGACTAAACTGTGACAGGTCAGAGTCATGACAAAACAAACGCTCACAAGACTGAGACAAATCAGATTCAAGACACGTCCAAGTCTAAACACCAATGTGACCTGAAAAAAGTCTGAGTCAACTTAAAAAGAGACCAAACTTGAGATTAAAACCAGACTAATAGCCATTCTATAGGCAGTGGCATGTTGCTTTGACATTTTCAACTTACAGCAGCTATCTGTTTACACATTTTGTTTTCTGTAACAGGTGGTGGGGAGGAGGAGTAAGGAGTGCTGTACACAGAGAGCTGGAGAGAGAGAGAGAAACCTGCAGGATGTTCGTCTCTCTCCTCAAAGGTGCATAATGGCTAGCAGGAAGAAAACCCCCAGAACTACAAGGAGGACGATGAAGAGCTACGAGGTGGAGGCCCTGGTGAGAGGAAACACTCGACACAACTGGCAAAACACTTGTTTCTGTTGAGCTCAGTGAATGAATGGTGAATGAGATGTAGTGTAAAAGTGCTTGGAGTGGTCGAAAAGACTAGAAAGGCGCTATACAAATACGGAGCATTTACATGCAACAGGCAGCATTTGTAACCTCAAGGTAACCAGATCATCAAGTCATGATCTGGGGATTATAGGGAAAAAATCTTATCAAACAAGACGGGTCTTAGTTTTAGGACCCGAGTTCAATATTTAAATTAAATCAGGTGCCAGACACCCGCCAACCATGTTCACATCGAAACACCAACGGCTTCGCCCAGAACTAATCCAGAACCTGAGGATGAAGCCTTACTCTCCAGGTCAATCATTTCCTTATTATATCCTACAAACAGCTGCAAGTTACCAAGGAATAGATTTAAAGCTGTTATGGATGATTCAAAGAAACTACACCTCACTTCTTGTCTGGAAATCATTTTGGACTTTCAGACCCAAGTTTTGTTTTGTTTCGTTCTGTAGGCTACCGCTCATCTTTGTTGAGTAACTCATTGCTGATTCAGTAAATCCTGTCGAGTCTACTTGTGAAAAATGTGAAGGAGTGTCATGAGATGGTGGCAGCAGTAGTAACATAGGCAGAGGCTGAAAACAGATAGCCCACTCCAGTGTCTGACAGGGAACAATGGGGGCGAGGGTCTATATTGCACAGGGGTTGGTGAGATCCTCGAACACCAATGGTTCTTCGATCCCTCGTGCAAACAGCTTGATCAACTGGCAGTGCACTCTTGGGAAAAAAAACAGAAGGAGACAGTGGTTTTAGGAGAAATTTAGCCTGGGTTAAAATATTTGACATTGGCAAAGCAGGAAACTCCCAGAGGGTCGTGGTACCTGACATCAATGGCCGTGTGAGTCAGGATCTCGCCATCGCAGTTCCAGCTGCTGTAGGCGGGGGCACAGCCGCATGCCGGGTGGTCTCGGCAGATCTGGCTGAAAATCTGGTGTTTGCCGGTCTCTCGCAGGTCCAGCTCCAGGTCCGAGTCGCTCTGGCAGTGACGCGGTGTGAAGCGGAAACGCCGCACACGGTGGACCTCCACAAAGGTCAGGTCAAACTGGTGAAGACAGAAGGAGTAGACAGTGAGGGAGGCCTGGAGGGAAGCAGGTCTAACTGTGCCAGGTGTTTGGGATTTGCATTAAATCAGTATTTAATTTGTCCAATGAAAACTGAGGTTTTCTTCTCTGAGAAAACCAGAGGTTTCTGTCTTTCAATTATGATTATGTGGAAAGACCATAAACCAGAATTCTGATTTACCTGGTCATCTTTGCTGGTGTGTCGAAGGAGGTGTCTGAGGAAGTCAAAGCGGGAGCATTTTCGGACCAGGATGAGGTCTGTGGTGCCGTCGGCCAGGTGAGCAGCAGGTGAGAGGCCTTTGGGGCTGCGAGGACAAGCACAGCTCATACTGGCAGCATTAATGGCCAGGAACTTCCCTCGGATTGTCCTCCACTCGTCGTCACTCTCTGCAACCAAACCAAAAGACAGACTTGACCTTTCTTACTATTGCTGCTGCCTTTATCACTCCGGGTTGTGTGCAAGTTCTCAAGAGTTTATTTAAACAAAATTAACTGAAGGGTTTCCAGAATATAACCACAGTCAACAACAAATACATTCAGTAGCATCTAAGTATGGAGAGGAAATGCGGAGCATGAAAACCAAACTCCGTCTGCAGATTAAGATCATGGGCTATGATTGAAAGCTCCAGAAAAGCTACTAAATAGATAGAGATCGAGGTAAGATTGTTTTGTCGACTTGCACATTAGGTCTTTTCATGTCAACCCTGGTGATTTTCATTTCTTGTGTACTGGACGATCTTGTGGCGTGCCCCAGGGCTCCATTAACGGACCACTTTTATTTCCAAAAACAGCACAAATATAATCTAAGATTCAAGATATAAATCAATCAATCTTTGGAGTTGTTGGAAGGTGTATTTTCATCACTTCTGATGAATCCATGCTTGCAGTTCACCCATGTAAAAATCTATTTGTTTGACAGGATATCTAGCCTGTGTTTTGGAAGCTTTGGATGAAGATTTGTTGAACTCACCGCTGTTTGATGCTTCATCCATCTTGTATGTCTCAGCTCTCTCTGAAAGTAGCTGCCCATTGTGCTGACAAACCAAACAGCTGAAAATGTACAGACACACGGATGTTACTTTAAAAAAAAAGGAATAAAACAATGTGTTGTGTTTTAGCTACTAAACTGTCACATGAACCAAATCCTTTGCTGAATTCAAACTGCTTTAACCTCTAAATTGAACTGTTAGCTAACCTGAACTGAACCAGTTTTGCCCATTACCTGAACTGTCAACTTACCTGAACTTATCAGTTTTGGTTGTTAAACTGAAGCGTTGGCTAACTTGAACCAGACTTATTCTTTTTTTGTATTTCAAACAAACATATTTTCTCTCTCACTCTCTTACCCAGATCGACACCTGGCAGCGTCCCGTGGCGTTCCTACGATGCCTTTGGCCGGCAGGTAGGAAACTGCTCCTTCATAGTAATGATGAGTCAGGAACATCTTCACACCTGCAGGAGTCGGAGCAGAGATGGATGAGACAACTTTCATCCTCATCATCAGTACAAGGTCTATTCATATACATCTGACAGCTACCTCACCTACTAATCACACCTTGTTATACCTGCTCTAATTCACTTTCACATTCATATCTGTTGTCAATCATACAGCACTTGTATTGCTGGGTCCGCCCTGCACTTTGTTTGTATGCTGTTGGTGTTGTTTCATATGTAACATTGTTTGTTTTTTATTTGTAAAGTTCTGGATGAATAAGGAAAAGAACACCTCTATATACATGTGACATTCACATAAAAATAAACTTAGCTGCTGTTCACCTCATTGCTGCCTTCAGACTTGAATTACAGCAGTCGGTAGTTGAAAATATTGTGTTATGAAAACAGGGAACATTAATAACATTCAGTAAAAGACAAAATTGCCTTAAATTACTAGCAAAGCAAAAAGCTTTGTAGATTATTTGTCTTTTTTTAACACGGCAGCTCTGGGGTTGTACACAGGACTGAAGAAAACGATCTGCTCTGCATTTTTTAAAGCTAAAAACGTATTATATATTTTGATTTCACACTCAGAAGATTCAGAAATGAGGATCGAATTTATTGCCAAGTTGTTTATACACATTCAAGGAATTTGTTTTGGCGACTAAGGTGTGCAGAAACAATATAAACATAAACCTATATATAGATATCTAATGTGTATGAGTGTGTAATTGTTATATTATGTAAGAACATCATTTAAACAGAATGTAGTTAAGGACAGAGGTTTGTCTTATTTTGTTCATTGTTATAGAGAACAATTTCATGATGTATTATTTGTTATATTGACATAATTTGGGTTTAAAAAAATATTACTAATATATTTTTGACTTCACCCTCCTCACTCTTTCTGAAACCAAACCTACACCCTTGATAATATGAGAACTGGTGTGAAACGAATAATGAATAAATGTCTCGAGAGCCCCAACCCACTTGATGGGATGATGGAAATGTTGTGTTGTTGAGATGTATTGTCTACAGGAAGCTCCAGTTACTAATAAAGCAGCTGGTTCAATTCCCAGGATTGTAACTAACACCACAGACTTATCCTGATAACATCTGAACACATGTTGTATTTCTACCTGAGAGGTCGTATCTGGCCGGACCCATCCATCTCTTCCTCTCACTGTCAGTTAGCACGTCCCCGTAGAAACCGTATCCCAGCAGAGAGACGGAGTATCTCAGGAACGTGTTGTTGTGATGAACCGAGCAGACGTCCATCGGCTGAGAGTCTCCTGAACACACCCATAAACACACACAATCAACAATCAACATACTAACATAAAATAAAATGTTTTTAAGAAATACAATTAAAAAACTAGACATGCAACCAGGTTCTGGAGTCTAATAATCCAAGGAAGATAATACGGAAGCTATGTGTGATAAATAAGGCTCAAACAGGTGTTTTGCTCAGAGAGCTTCCTGCTGTGCATGTTCAGGGCCTGGTTTCTCAAAAGGACACTAGATGGCAGCGTGAGACCCTGGAAAGCAAAGTAATGTACACAATGGACTGGGTTTTCATTAAATTTGGATAGAACTTATAATACTAACATATTATCTTGAAAAAGCTTTACAGCACCACCTACTGTTGGATGTCACAAAATAAGGCATGGTTGATCACATCCAGCATTAATGTAACAAATCTGGTGCAATTTGGATTATCGATTGGTGAGATAATGAGATTGGTTTTCCAAAATAGCAAAATTACTCTGTATAATCATTATCCGTCACATAATCAATTTAAACATCTAGATTATAAACACACATAAATCTGTTTAAGGTGAGACCAATTTCATCACTCTTTAGTTAAACAGACTAGTTTGCAAAATTGAGTTGGGCTGAATAATTATTTTCATTATTGATTTATCCTCTTATATTAATTATCTGATGAATCATTTGATCTATAAAGCATCAGAAAACGTCAGTTTTCCCAGAGTGCAAGGTGACGTCTTCTGATGTGTTGTTTTGTCTGACCAACAGTCCAAAACCCAAAGATATTCAGTTTTACCAGGAAAAGCAGCAAATTCTCACATTTGACAACATGAAACCAGCTAAAGTTTATTTTATTTATTCTTCAAAAAATGACAAACTATTACCTGATTATAAAAAAAAGTTAATTTTCTATTGATAAACTAAGCGATTTTTACATATGAGGAATTTGCAAAAACTTGACTTTAAAGGGGACGGACGTGGTTCAATTAATTAATACTAGAGGAGGAACTTCTATGACTTTCATGAGTCATTTTACAAATGAGCTGTTAAATTTCATCACTGCAGGACAAAACCTCATCCTTTCAGTTTTGATCCTTTTAGATGCGTGTTTTGTGTAGAACATGTTAAATAACCTGTCAGGTGCTGAAATGATTCTATTTCATGTGTAGTGAGAACATGTGACTGACCCACAATGATGTGCAGTGCAGAGGTCACAGGGTCGTTGGTGCCCACAGTGGCGAAGCAGATACAGTCTGTTGAACCTGAAACAAACAGACATAGAGAGACGTTCAAGACCCGATCACTTCGTCCAGCTCAAACAACCGAATGTCACATCCTCCTCTTATGTGCGTGCAAAAATGCTCTATAACTATACAGTGTGTAATAACTTTCTGAAATGTCCTCTTTGACATTAACTAATTTTTAGGATTAAGAGTGTAGAATGGTCAACTGTGAGGTGAAGAGAAGGTCTGACAACATCAGATATTCTGATTATATGCATAAATATTGCCTGTTTTATACAAAGCTTTAAAAAAAAAAATTGGCTCATTTTACAACACTGCTGCACGGAGCAACACACACACACACACACACACACACACACGCCATTAATTAACCAGGTGAGCTCCTTCTCCTCTACTGCTGCAGAGAAAAATAAATGTCTCCCTGATGACTGTGTGTTTATAGAGCACTTAAGCAGAACAACAGAAGACAAAAGAGGACACAAACAAACAGAATAAACTGAGAAACAAGGCCACAGTCAGTACCTGCATTTATACACCGGTGACAGAGAATCCTGTTCTCTGATTGGCTGTCAGCTGTCTATTAAAATAATTTTACCTCAAACATAGTTTATTCTTTGACCTCTATTTTAAAGCTCAGGCTATATTAAACTGCAGGAAACTACAGAAACGTCCCTCATAGAGCCTCCTCTACAACCTCCTCAAGGGCCCGTTGAGGCTCCTCAAGGACCTCTACAACTTTACAAACATTTGGAACCTCATCAGGAACTAAATTAAACATCTCAAGGGCCTCTACAGCCTCTACACAGAGAAGCAACACTGCCTACATTTTAATCCAATCAACCAAACAAAAGCTGTATTCTCTGATTCCCTCTCAGCAGGAGTCACAACTGTGTTTCTGACCTGCAGGAATGATTCCAATGCGAAGCGAGCAGGGAAGCAGAGTTTCGTCCACACAGTTTGGATCTACGCCGGTGTCGATCTGTGTCCTCCAGATCAGCCCATGGATGATCTCACTGAACATGCCGTCACCTCCGACACACACCACCCTGAACCGGGGTCAAAGTGAAATGTTAGCAGGGGCTTACAAAAGTGACAAAAACTAACCGTCTGTGTAAACTGTAACTCTATACACAATGTTACATAAACAAAAGATAAATTCTCTGACCAATCAATTTGTTTACTGTCACTCAAAGTGTAAAAAAAAAAAAACTTCGGATGTAAAACACAAGGCAGCAACCTGACAGGTGTGATCTCTGTGGTGCTTTTATTTTGACGGTTTACCTATATTAGCAGGCTTGCAGGTGTTACAGCATGTAATAATTCATCTGAGGTCTCACCCATCAAACTTCTTCAGCTCCGCCTCCGTCCTCAGATGGTCCCTTGCATGATTGGCGTACTCAGTCACTAGGGAAACAAAACACACAGACTCAATGTGCTATTACTGACACAGGAAGCCCAAGAACAGGAAGTGAGTGATACCGGACATACCGATGACATGCGTGGAGACGCCTGCCTGGGCGAACAGTGGAGCGACCTTATGCTCGTAGATGCGTTTGCCCTGTCGCCTCCCGCCGTACGGGTTGATGTAGACAAGCAGGTGTTTGGGTCTGCTGGCTGTAGACAACAACAGACAGATTCTTTCAACAATCACGTGTGTGTTAGTCAGTGTGTGTGTGTTGGTCAGTGTGTGTATTAGTCTCAGTGTAGTCTCAGTAAAGACGTACTGATAGCGGCGAGCTGCTCTCTGATGCTGCTGACCCAGCGTTGACAGAGCGCCTCCTCTGGACACGTGAAGGTCACCTCAGCACACCGCCAGCGGTGCTGCTGGCACCTCTCCACATAAAACACTGAAACACAACAGACACATGTCAGAACTGATCATTTTGATTAGCTGCTTCACATTAAAAACATTTCTCCCATGAGCCAATGGCATGCTTTTATTGTGAAGGAACTACAGAGACAGATTTAGCCCCCAGTTATTGAGATATTTCCAGAATTCATTCTCATGCTGCCTCGTTCAGTTAGCGCTCAGAGCTCTGAGTCAATCCACATAGTGAACATACAGCTGTGCATCCAGATGTGTATATTGTGTTTTAAGGTGTTTCCAGGTGTTTTAACTGTGTTTGTACATTTCCAGCTGTTCATCCTGTGTTTCCAGATTTTTGTTTTACCTGTGAAGGCCTGCCTGCAGTCCTTTCCTTCTCTCTCTTTGATCTTTTTCCAGCTGCCATCATCTCTTTTTCTGCTGCTGCTCTCCTCCTCTTCCTCTCTGACGGAGATGATCTCTGACACTGACACACAGTGACACACACCTGACCACACACAAAAAGTTTGTTAGTTGTTTGTACAGATCAGATATCTCGGAGCCTCTCTGCAGCACCTGAACGCACCATCAGATAGCTGGTTGAGTTTCAGTTCCAGGAATGACGTCACTGCAACCAAATGAAACCTCAAATGCAGCAACATTCACATGATATTTAAAGAAATGAACTGAAACCAACTGGTTCTCTGAACTATATTCTTTGGTGTTACAGAGAACTGAAGTAAAACCAGGACTTCCAGGATCTTCCAGGCCTCAATATGACCTGTGAGGCTCATGTCACACTGGCTCCTGACTGTCCCTCTGACCCACTATAAGGCTGACTGCAGCCTGAAATCCTCTGGTAGTTCTTTATAACTCCCAGGTTGAGACTAAAAACCAGAGAAGACCGGGTCAAGGAAGATTCTCAATGACCTGTACATTATATCAGAAGTGGATTTTGATGAATCATATTTATTTGTGCGATTTTAACATTAATTTCCTAAATTTATTCATTTATATTTCATTTCACACAGATGTAGCTTGGTTTTATGTTTTTTAATAAGTCTACAAAATAGTAGTGAGACAAAAAAACAAAACACCCCTACCTCGCATTCAAATCTAGGGTTTACTAGCTGACCACCTGAGGCCCTTGATTAGCTGTCGATCACATGATCTGTGTCATGTTCACAGATGTGTGATTTAACATGTTACACACTGTTAACCACGAGGGCAGAAACTCTGCTGTACAACAAGGACATGAACTGAGACACTGATATCATCAAGCATCAACGCTTTGCCGGTGTTCTGTTTCCACCTGCGCGATGTTCCCCCCCCCCCCACTAGCTTTCCGACAACTCTGCCTCCGATTGGCTACTACTCGCTGCCTCCATTGGTTTGGTTGGTTAAGGTTAGCCATTCAGAGACAGAGTAGGGGCGAGAAGGGGGCAGGACTTGACACAAAGTTGGCGGAAAACTGGTGGGAAAAATATTAACGCTTTCCACCTGAAGGCGCCATGAGGGGAACTTGTGAATGCCATTTTTAAGCAATTGGTGGACTCTAGCTAAGCTACGCTAACTACGATGTTGCTCTCTCATAAACAATGAGAATAATATTCCTTTAAAGAACGCTTGTTTAAACAGTTTCTGAAAGCAGAAGCGCATAAATCTACAAACAGAAGACACTACAGCAGAGTTACTGAAACTATTCAGACAAACTACACATGAAACACTGAACCAGGAGCAGCGAGGAGGACAGCATGTTTCTGCTGGATTTGATGTTGATGGAAAACGACACCAAAACAGACACTTTCTACTTCTCTGAAAACATGAGTTTTATTCCAAAATGTGAGTTTTGATTCATCTTTAATGAAATCAGGACGACTTAATGAAATAAAAAACAATGGTAGTAGTTTGACAGTAGTCTGGAATCTGTCCACTTTCTATTTTATCTTTTTAAAATACATTTCTAAGATGAATAAGCATCATTTTGGAACATAACAACATGTTCTGTTTGGGAACACACAAACAGCTCAGCCATCAAACATAGAAACATGTCCTAACAGCAGCACCACAATCACTAAATCTGCAGGTCGGTAGGTGCGGGGGCCCGCTGCATTGTGGGAGCAAAATCTCCTACCTGAGTCTGGTCGACGAGGGAACGAAGGAACACAAAACCCTGTTGGAGAACCACACAGTTACCAAACACCCAACAGAGCAGGGCTCACCCAGGAGACTGTCGGCTGGGACACCCCTGAACCGAAGTCAACTGTGGAAGACCGCCACAGTACAGGCAGTTCAAGGTTATCAGTGTAATCAGAAATAAATAAAAATGCCTTATATTATTCCTTTAATGAGTAATTTTACTTTATGCCGCAGCTTAGTTATTGCATTTCCCTGGATCAGTCCTTGACAATATTAAACAGCATCTAGTGGCCCCACTTGATATTGCAGGATCTAGTGTTGTAGTACTCAAGACAGGTCTTGGTCTTGAGACCGGGTCTTAATACCACCTTTTGATGGTCTTGGTCTCGTCTCGTCCTCGACCACATTTGTACTCTGTCTTCTTGTCTCGGTCTCGGACATTGAGGACTTGGGATTTTATCTCAAGATCAGTCAAGACCATAACTTTGGGAGTATCAATAAATTGCTTCTGCATTGTCTGATTTATTTGTTAACATCCTAACCTCCAACAAATAACCCTAATTAAAAATGTGTTGTTCCCGTTAACGACTGTCAGGCCTCCCCCGCGATGGTAAGCATGGAAAAGGAGTGTTGAATAAAGATGTTTTTACGTTGATTTCAGCTCTTAGTGTTTGTATGTGGGTGTTATAATGGGAATGTGGATCTTTCAGATCAATATGAGAAGTACCTATGATCTCGATCCACATTTTATTGTGTGTCATGTAATGTGGGGAACTGGTCTTGGTCTTGACTTGGTCTCGGTTTGGGCGGTCTTGACTACAACACTAGCAGGATCACATGATGCACACCGGCCTTTTTTCCCTCCCATACACAATCATTACAAAAGGAGTTGTTGTAATTAATAAACCCCTGAAATGACTCTTTGTATAATCAGAATTTGATCCCTTCTATCCAGTAACATTTGGAAAGTTTAGATGAGCCATTTGATTAAATCTTTCCCCCCCATTTATATGTGCGGGAAGCCAACAGGAAGTCTAAAAAGAGCCACACAGTCCCAGTGAGCATCTTTCATAGGGATGAATGCGGCGCCATCTTTGAACATCTTTTTCTTTATACAGCCACGTGTTAATCACCGTCTTGGTAAAGCTTGTTTGCACACTAACATTTGCTATTTCGCACTAAACATAAAGTGCAATTGAAGCTGATGGGGATGTCATTAGTTTTGCAGGCATTTGTATTAGAAGAAGTGACCTGATGAAAAGTGATCACCAAAGTCAAACGTACATCCTGAATGTCTGTAATACATTTCATGGCAGTTCATGTCATGGATATCTGTCAAGATATCTGAGTTTGGACCGAAGTTCAACATAGAGCCACGCCACTACAAAAAATAAACCAAAATCTACATTATGACTGACTGTGATGGAATCAGTGTTTTTTTGTCTTTAGCAATGTACCCTATCAACAGTATATCACAAATCTTGTCTATTTGTTGATACAGAACTAAGAATTAGTATATATATATAAAAATAGGTTTGAAGTAGGTTTAAAGTCATTTAGAAATGGTGTCTCCATTAAAGACAAGTTTAATTTTACATTAATTTAAATCTAAGGGATCTGTATCAACACTGTCTGTTTGTGTTGTATGTTTGAAAACATTATTCAGAATCAAAAATCCAGTATTGGTCAGGTTATAAAATATACACACTTGAACGGGAAAACTTTATCAGTAAATTTTAATATACTGAAGTGTAAACGGACCCGTCTTATCTCCCCACCACTCAAAGCACTTTACACTACATACACACACACACACACACACACACACACACTCTTAACACCAACCTTCCAATTAGTGGACAACTAGCTCTGCCTCCTGAGCCACATCAACAATATATTTGGGTAATAAATGTCCTACTATATTTATTAATATGTAGTTTTAAACTTTTGTAAATGTTCTGAAAATAGCAGCAGCTCCTCTCAGCAGCAGCAGCAGCAGCAGCACAGAAAGCAGGTCAGACATTAAAGATTCACAGCTGAAACACACACTGCAGTCTGTTTCAGGTTTACACACCCAGCAGTTTACACATAGCAAAAGCAATGTGGATGATCAACACCTGAACACAGAAAGGAGCTTCAACCTGCTGACACCAAACACCGTCAGTCCTCTCAGGTTCTTTCATGCAGCAACTGGTTCATGTTCACAAAGACAATGTGAGGCAACTGGCAGTTCTGGATCATGAACACTAAACATAATTGACTGAAAATATTTGATTTGTAAAAATGTCGAAATCCTGCAAACATAAAAACTGAAGGAGACAAGTCAACCACGACTCCCAAGAGACATTTCAGTAAGAAAATTCACGTTAATTAACGCCCCACTGAAGTCAGAAAATGTTTGGTTTGAACAACATGGCTGCTGAGTAGAAACGTTGGATTAATGGTGTGAAATCACGTATTTCATACACATTTACTACATATTTGTAATATGGTATTAGGTTGTGTAGCTCTTGCTAGTATCCATCTATCTATCTATCTATCTATCTCATGCTTTGTTGATGCTTGTGTGTTGTTCCTCAAATGCAAGTCGCTTGGTATAAAAGTGCCTGGCAAATGAGTAAATGTAAATGAGGTTCTAACTGTTGGTTTGATGTCCAGTTAGAGTGGCCTAGATTAATTCGGAAAGTTATTGCAGTAACAAACTATGTGACAAAAAGCACTGTGTAATAGAAAGCTTCATACTGTTTCAGCATACTTGGATAACAGTGCTAATCCAACACATCTTTGTAGCAGCGTCCATGTTGTTTCGAGGAGCATGTGAATGAAACATAAAATCCCGGCGTTTCTACAAAGTGTAATCTTTACCTGCACAAACATTCAGCAGGTGTAAAAAAGGTTTCTGATTCTGGCTGAGGCAGCCTGCGGTCAGTCAGCAGGTCACAATGCACCCTGAAAACTTCCTGCTCTGCTGCTCTGAATATTCAAATAAGCCATTTCCTGAACACCGCTCACCTGACTTAGATGATACTGATTATTTTTTATTATGGTTGTGTAACAGTTATTATTATTACTACTACCAAGCCATTCATCATCAATATCTTACAAAATATCATCACAGCACTTATTTTATCACAAGCTCTACAGATTAATACAGATGAGAAGCGAGTGAAATCCCATCAGAGGCGGATTGATGCCGGAAACAAGGGTGGAAACGTGAGTTAGACTTGGAGAAAGGTGTTTGTTCAAAAAGTCAAGTTCAAGTTTATTTATATAGCGTCACAAGCCAACTCTTTGCCCTTGACAAAAAGGAGGTGAGACACAACAGGTTTGCAAGCCAATGGTATGATTTATTATAAAAGTAAAAGAAGAAATCAAATGATCACCAATAATATGTGGTGTGGCAAAGTATGACTATCAGTTATCAGTATGTGTGTGTTGTCAGGATTAACCAAAGAAGAAACACAAGACAAACCCGGTAGGATGTCGGCCTAGGAGGAGAGAGAACAAAAGACTGATCAGTCCTGGCTAAATAAGCTCTGAAGGTAGAGCTGCACAGGTGATTGTCCAGCCCAATCAGCCTCCCTGCCTGCAGCCAAATCTGTCCAACACAACGCTTTCAATGTCGGAGACCCGGCTTAAAAAAAAAAAGTAGTCATTAGCAACCATGTAAGGAGCCTAGCTAATAAGGAGAGCTAAGTTAATGTTAATAATACAGCCGGATTTTCGAGGCTAGCACGCTGCATATAGCTGGTGGTCAACATCGATGCACGCACTCGCGCACGCCCCCTGTCATTCTGTGGGAAACACTGAGCACATTTGACCAAAATGCTTTACAGGTTCAGAATACACAACAAATATACACAACAACAACAGTAGAAAAGGTCAAAAAAATATCACTACTCAACTCTGTTTGAAGGCCAGTGAATAGAGATGGATCTTTAGCAACCATTTGAAAGTGTCAGCGGTTTCAAGTGTTCCAAAGATTTGGAGCAGCTACTGAAAAGTCTCGATCACCTTTAGTTTTTAACCTGGATCTGGGGACATCGAGGAGCATCTGATTGGATGACCTCAGTGCTTTTCAGGGAGTGTGTACAAGCAGAAGTTCTGATAAATAAGAAGGTGCCAAAGCATTTAAAATTTTAAAGACAAGCAATAAAATCTTAAAATCAATCCTAAAGCGAACAGGAAGCCAGTGGAGTGAGGCTAAAAACAGGGGTAATGTGCTTTTTAGTTCCAGTTAGAAGTCGAGCTGCTGCATTTTGGACTAACTGTAACCGATGGAGAGACGGCTGATCCGCACCAACATACAAAGAAAACAGTAGTTTAGTCGAGATGTTATAAATGCGTGAATTACCCTTTCAAAGTCTTTGCATGGCAGGTAGGGTTTGACTTTAGCAAACAGTCTCAGCTGAAAGAAAATGGCTTTTACAACAAAACTAATCTGTTTTTCAAATTTTAAAGCACTGTCAAAGGTCACACCTAGAGCATCTACACAAGCACTTAAATCTCCAGATCAACCGAACACAACAACCTCAGTCCTACTTTCACTCAGAGAGAGAAATTCTGATCCAACCATATTTTAAGATCTCTCAGGCAGTTAAAGCAAGGACTGAAGTGAGGCTTTGTCATTGGATTTTAAAGGCAAATAAATTTGCATATCATCTGCAAAGCAATGAAAGGAGATATTGTGTTTCTTGAAAATGGACCACAATGGCAGCATGTACAGTGAAAAAAGCATGGGGCCCAATGTGGACCCGTGAGGGACCCCACAAGAAAGAGGGGCAGCAGATGAAGAACATTCACCGAGGTGAAAAGAGAAACTGCCAACCATTTGAGTGCTGTGCCCCTAATGGATGGAGTGGTTAACACTATCAAAGGCAGAAGTCAAATCTAAAAGCACTAAAACAGCAGAGTTTCCAGAGTCAAGATCATTGAAAACTCTTAAAAGGGCAGTTTCAGTACTGTGATGGGGCCTAAATCCAGACTGGAATTTTTCATAAATACTAAAATCATCTAAAAATGATTGTGAAGTTGCTTAAAAATCTCCAAGACTTTTGAGAAAAAGGGGAGCTTAGAGATAAGTCTAAACTTAGAGAGAAATTAAGTATCCGGATTCTTCTTTTTTTATACAACAGGTTCCAACACTGAAGAGAGCTGGAACACACCCTGAGCAGAGAGATGTATTAACCAAGGTGACAAGTCAACAATAAACTCCTCTCTCCGGCTCTGACTCACGTTTCCACCAGAGTCTTCCTGCATTTACTCCTCTCTTAAGGGATTTCAGAGCAAGAAATGTCCTTGAGTGAGACCTCAAGTTCCCTGTTAAAAAACCATTTAAAAACAAAGGGTGTCACCAGGAGTCACTCTTTGGGATTCTTTCCACCTGGTACAACAGTTCCAGTTCTTCAAACACATTTTATCTCCTGCGTTTCTCCTGATGTTCCTGTGTTTAGAATACGATAGAAAATGTATGAGGTTTGGTTTATTTTTCCTCACCCCCTGCCTGCAGACTCAGACCTCCACATACCAGAGTGTCAGACTGGATGTTGTGTGTTATGTAACCGGATATATATATAAACATATTTTTTACATGTTCTGATCTCTGCATTAGCTTGTATCTAAGGTCCAAACATGTCCCTTTCTGTTCTTTGTTTATCTCGCAGGATGCCGCGGTGTGTTTAAGCCCGACAGACACACAAAAGGGAGTCAAAGACGCAAAGACAGACAGATTATCTGGGTCTTACTTGGTCTAAACGGGTGGTACACCGGGCTGGAGATCCGTCTCTTCCAGGTGAGCAGGGACCGGCTCAAGCTCACGTCGTATGCGGCGTTTCTGACGCGGAGCTCGGACAGCAGCAGCAGCCTGCCCGGCCTCTCCATCTGCGTCTCTCCGTTCTGCTCCGTCCTTCAGCCGGCTGAGGGGGCAGTGACGGCCCGGGTACGGTTACCTCTGTCCGGGCATGTTCTCTGTGTGTGTGTCCGGGGAGGCTAGTTACAAATGAACGACTATCAAACAGCAGGAGTTTCAGCAAACATATGTCCGTGTAGCGGATTTTTCCACACGGGAGGCTTTTTTTCTGGCAGATAGCGGTTTCCTATCGGAAGTAGGAGGGGCCTGCTGATGCGTTCAGGTGCTGCCAGAATGGTTTTGATTTTGGGACTTTTATACAAAACGACACTAACAACGTGATTATCAGAAAGTATCAACTAAAATTCAAAATTTAATTTTATTTGGAAATTTTACAGTTTATATACTGTTGCAATTTTTTGTCAAGAAACTCTATGTTTTTTTTTAAATCTTTTTTTTAAGCTGTCGTGTCTTTATATGTGGCCCAGGATGTAGAACCCATTAATCGGAAGGTCGGCGGTTCAATCCCCGGCTCCTCCAGCCTGCATGTTGAAGTGTCCTTGGGCAAGATACTGAACCCCGAATTGCCCCTGGTGGCTGTTCCGCCTGTGTGTGAATGGTGAATGCAGATGTAGTGTAAAAGCGCTTTGAGTGGTCTAGAAAGGCGCTATACAAATACGGAGCATTTATACATATATATATATATTAAACTAAATTGGTATCTGGACATATTAAAATACTGCATGGACTCTAAAACTAGAGCCTCATTTAATTTAATTTAATTTGTAATATTTTACATTTTGTGAACTTAAATATAAAACCTGCTGTCAGTTCTTTTTTGTTAATGAAAGGAAAACATTCAGAAATTCAAAGTCTTAAACATGACGTATTTAGTGATATTAATGAAAATCTAAAAGTTGGTTTGATGTGAATAAATTATCATTTTGTGCAAAAATAAAAAAAAAATTTTGGGGGGAGTTGGAAAAAATAATAATCAAATTAATAGATGGAGTTGATATTTAAAGGGCGTTTAAGGTGGTTTTGAAAATCTTACATAACCTCCTTAAAGACAAAAACAACAAAGCAAAGTAGGCCTACTTGCAATTAAAATCAAGGTTCTGGTCAAGTACAGGCAATTTAAAAAAAATCAAGGGCTTACCATTTTTGAATCCTAAAGATCACATATTAAACAGATATCCAATCTTTTGAAATCAATAATTCTCCCCGAGTCTTTCTGTTGGGATGTTTCTATTTTACAATTCCTACATTTCACACAGCACCTGAAAGCATCTGTCGTCATCACGTCGTCTGATCCTGTGACGAGGTACGCAACTGCTGGAAACCAAAATCTATTTTTCTGCTCACTGAGGAGAAGTTTGTTTTGAATTTATCAGTTTTAAGATAAGAGTTTCTTATTAATTTTTACACGAGAACTCACAGCTCATTCACCGTGATCTTATAATATAAGGCAAACCTTTTGTTTCCTGTCATATAACTTTAAAAAAAGCCTTTTACAGGTTTCCCACGGTCATGGAATTACTGGGAAAGCCATGGAATTTTAAAATCCTATCCCATTCCAGGCCTGGAGAAGTCATGGAATTAAGTAAATTCATTGACATTTTGGAAAAGTCATGGAATTTGATTTTGTCAGAGAGGGGCATAGGAGATAGCAAATATGAAAATAACTGACATTACATAGATGGAAAATGTTGTTTAATTGTCATATAATAATTAGACACAGACTTTGGAGTAAATAATGCAATTTTAATGTATGTACTTGTATGTAGTGAGAGCTGATGGAAAATTTAATTAAATGTCATTATTAATTAGCCTATTATTAATAGTCATGGGAAATCTTGTCCTTGAAAATGGGTGGGAACTATTCTTTTATGAATGCTAGCACAATGTTTTAGTGTTCCAAAATGTCTTATCTGGGGCCTGTACCACGAAGCGAGTTCAACATACCCAGGATATGTTTTCGTTATCTGGCTTAACTAACTCTAACAATCGCGATCGGGATTAGCGAACAAGGATTCAACTGCAACACTACAGATATACGACAGTAGCACGGCTGCAGCTGACACATGCAGGGAGACAGAAAATCGCAGACAGCTTAAATGCCTAAATAAACAGGCGTAGGCATAGTCTATAATAATGCGTTGATTTAAAGTGTTCTTATGAGCTGTATGAAATTATCAGCCTTATTCTTTCAGCTCGGCTGTGTGTCGGCGTTTCCACATTGAAAAACTTGTCGTCACTTCAAAAATGACATTAATTTATTTAACACACTCAAAAGTGTTCAAACATTGTCCTAAATTAACTTCATAAAGCAATGAAACGAAAACTCCATTCATGCCATAAAATGTGCTCAAATAGTGGTTGAAAGACTGAATCTCAACATTTAGGCTACTGAAAACCCACCTCATTACCTGCACCCACATAGACATGACTGCAATATCCGTAGTAGACCTAAGAAAGCTATACTAACCTAAAATAGACAGCCTACGTTCATATTAAAATGTAGTATTTCAATATCCCTAACAAACTGCTCATAATATTCAGCCTCACATAAGAAAAGTTTTATTATTATTATTATTATTATTATTATTATTATTGTTAGCCTATTATCATTAGTGGTAGTAGTTGTAGTAGTCAGGATCAGTGGCAAAGTGCCGAGACGGAGTTGTGGACCCCGATGCAGGACACTGGGGACACTGATGCAGTTTAGGATGTTTAATCCAAACAGAAATACACAGGCTCACAGGCAACTGTAGGCAGAGGTCTGAACAAAGGTAACTTTTAATCCAAGACAAATAGGAATCCAAAAACTGGGTTAAGTAGCCTAAGCCGAACACAGAGACAGAACAGAAACTCTCAACACACAATGAGGACATGACAAGGGCAGAACAGAGCTGAGCACATTAGGGGCAAATGAGCAGGGAGGGAGTGAACAGGTGAAACATATCAGGATAATCAGACAACGGGAAACAAAGCTAGACAAAGACACATGACAAGATAACACAGGAAGTCAAGTGCACATAACAATAACCAGCTCTGCCTCCTGATTCAGCTGCAGCAAACCACATGAGGACAGATTAAGCAAAATAAAATAGAATACATGGAGTGACTGCAATTTAGAGAAACTAAAACACACGGGGACAAGCAGAACCTAGAACATCAAACCCAAAACCTGATCTGCTTTTTAAACTTTGTATCTGTATGTACCTTTGATGTTTGTGAAGTTTCTTCTGCAATGTAGCCTACAATAATGTCTTGGTTTATTATTTACTGCTTACATTTACACAGAAGGTTGAAGTCAGTAATAATATTTGGGCATAATGGAATAATAATGATAAAATAATACTAATAATCACTATTTTGATAACTGTTATGTTAAAACATTTCATGGTTCCAGCCTCACACACACGAGGATTTGCTGGTTTTCCAGACCCTGACCCCGGATAAGCGGTTGAAGATGGATGTTAAGGTGTCACTTTGGCCTCTGGGTAACTGTGACGGTATTTCTCACTATTTTATTTTTACAAACCAAGCAGTCAGTCGATTAAAGGAAAATTAAATGAAAATAATTATTAGTTGCACACCGATATAAAATACTTCGAAATGAGCTCCACCTCAACCAACTACAGCAGTAAAATCCTGTTTGACCCTCACAGTGTGAGCGGGATCTGTGCAGTAGGCAGATGATGACGTCATCCACCCCAATGCACGGTTGGGATGCAAATTGCATGGGGTCCAGCATTTTATTTATTTATTTTTTAGTAGCACAAAACACAAAAACAAAAATATACTGTATGAATTTAATAAGCAGGAGAGGTACAAAACCCCCAACGGCTTACAGTGAGACCTCCCTAGATTTTCAGTTGATATTCTACAGAATTATAATAGAAACAATGACAATAACCATGACATTAAGCATTTTTTCATGTTTGACTTAAATACAGACAATGATGGATTCTTTGTGTTACTATCCCTCTCAGGAAACTCTGGAAGCACAACCAAAAAGACTAACATTGGAAAATACCCATTTGATTTGTAAAACTCAAACTGCTGGAACCTCATATTTGCTTTTGCACAGAACAAGGACTTGTGTCTCCCATCATATACATTGAAATTATGAACGTGATTATGGTTTTAACAGCACATCCTCATACCTAAACGACAAGATACACTTGAAAAAGTGTAAGTAAGTAGTGCTGCAACTCAAATCCCTCAAAGATATTCAGTTTACTGTTATACAAGAGTAAATAAACCAGAAAATATTCACATTTGAGAAGCTGAAATCAAAAAAATTGGACATTTTTCCATAGAAAAAATTACTCAGAACAATTTTTCGATTATCAAAATAGTTGGCGATTAATTTAATAGTTGACAAATAGTCAATTCATTGACTAATTGTTGCAGCTCAAGACACATCGATTCACAACTGACAACTGTGATTAAACTCCCAATTAAACATGGAAATGCTCCAGTTCCAAACAACCAACAGTGATAACCAAAATGCACAAAATGAATAACTTTACTATGGAACTTTTCTACTTTACTTTCCATTTATATTTTGATGAAAACAAAAACACTTCTGTGACTATTATGTGCCTTAAAAAACGAACAAACAAGACTTGATGAAAGAACTGACTGACATCCACTCACTGTTTTCAAAGACACATCAGTTTATTTTGACATTTTGCAGGACGTTTCCATGACTGGAAAGATTCGGGTTTCCCGGGATGTGTAGTGTGTTTCCACCGCTCTTCATTCCAGTTTAATTTCAAACAAGGAAGTTTAGTTCAAAGGCAGCAGGGGGAGCTGCTGCTGCACTCAACGCACTGTGTGTGAGAAGCTATTTTCCTTTTCAGATTTTATTCATTCTTCTTTCATATGATGACTGTAATTTTGAACCAATGCATTTTCAAACTGCCATTAATTTCAGCTCAAACTGTTTTAACCTTTAGCTGAATCTGAACTGAACAACTCAATAAAAATCATATTGATTTTAAATTCCTGATTTACCCACATACCTCTTTGTAGTGTATGTTTCACTGTGTTCCTATAAATCCACTCTGTCTGCAGGGCTCCATCTTTCCACTTGTGTTGCATTAAATTCATTTTTAGCTGCAAGTCCAGGAGGGTTATAGGATGCCCTGTAATCTAGGTTTCAACACATCAAGTAGCTGGATATTTTCATTTTAAACCTGTTGTTGATGATTAGTGTGTCATCAGCAGCAGGTTATTAAAACTG